AGCCGCCCAAAACGCTGGATTTGCTTTGGGTGTGAACGCACCTTTATTTACACTGGGGACATGTCCCCATCACTTTTTGAAAACGTTAAAAAAAAAAAAGGCTTTGAAAAATGGCTTGCAACATGAAATGGTAAGGAAGCAATGAAAGAGCTTTGAGAAATCTTTATTTATGTTTTAAGTAAGAAAAAACAAGCTACTGATTATAAAATAACCCCAAAACGTGCAGCACAAGTCAGTAACTTTAACAACTTCACAGTTTCTATTTGGCCAAATTTTACGTTCTCTCCCTGTGAACATAACAAGAGTAGGGAAGACTAGATCATGCCTGCATGTGTGCTGACTCAGCAGGGAAGATATTGCATGAGAAAAGTTGATCTACAGGTGAAACATGTGATCACAACAAGTGTATCGTCATATCCCTGATCCGAGCCCATATCTCCCCACTACTTTTCAACATAAAGTGAGACCCTTGCACATTATCTACACAACATGTAAGCTTAAAAAAAAAGACCCCTCTTACACGGCCTCTGTACATTTCCCTGCTTGCGTATTCTCACCTCTTTTACCCATGACCAGTTTGCATGGCTGGTTAATTCTCACCTTCTAAAAGTTATATACTGCTTGTATGTCATTATGGGCCCACTTTAAACTTTCAACACTAATATTTTAAGAATAAGCTTAAATTTTTTGTGGTCATGTTGGGAGTCTAACTTTAGCCAAATCCGGTCTTTCCAACAATCTAAAGCAAAACGCTTTAACTAGCTTTATAGTAGCTTACACAATTATGGCTCTATTATGCGACCATGTTATTTACTTACTTTTAATATTTAGACATGATTTGATTTGAAAAAGAAACTAATGATAAAAGTCAGAGTGGAAAAACATTATAAAGGGGTGTGTGTGTGTGTGTGTTACCAGACATGTGCCTCAGCTCCTCAGAGGGCAGCGAGGAGCTGCAGAGTCGCTCCAAGCTGCTGCGTCTTCTGGACGCTGTAACGGACGCTCTGGTGTGGGCTATCGCCAAAACTGGCCTCACCTTCCGCCAACAGTACACCCGCCTCGCCCACCTGCTTATGCTGCTCTCACACATCCGCCATGTCAGGTAAAAGGATCCCATGACATGCCAATGATGCTTATGTAATGTTGCAAAAATTGGTCCTCAGATCCTTAAAGATTTACTACTTTATTTTGATTTTGTGCACCATTATAATACAAAGCTGATAATTGCTGCTCACATGTGACACACAGGACTATCATAATCTTGACCGAACTACTTTTGTTATAAAATGTCATCACGCCCACTGCTGTGCCAGAGAAAAATCACCTGCCTCTATTACTCTCTTCTTTCTTTTGCTTTTCTTTTCAAATGCAGTAACAAAGGCATGGACCACCTCCACTGCATGAAAATGAAGAACATGGTGCCTTTGTATGACCTGCTGCTGGAGATGTTGGATGCCCACATCATGCACAGCTCCCGTCTGTCTCACCAGCCCACACAGCAAGACGCAGAGGACCAGAGGGAGGCTCCTGCTCGGCCACACAGCTCTGGTAGCTGCCCTTCAAATACCTGGACACCAGGTGGAGGTGAACCGCAGTAGTCCGATGGAATGAATTTTCAACGCTTTGCACAAAACTAGTTCACAAAACTCTGCAGCATGCTGAATTCTGGGAAACTCAAGTTTTGACACACTGTGCACTACTTTTATCGAACCTTTTCAAATCTTCAAAGTTGAATCCTAAAGATGTAATTCTGCAGACAGTATTCATTGCCTTACCACCACATATTAAAAAGCCAGCACTGAACAGATTAAGCAATTGCTGTCATAATTTGGCCAGTAGCACACTCATATGTTACTCAGATCCTGAGATGAGTGTTACCTGGATAACAAAGCTTAAGGGCCCGTATCCATCAAAGCGTTTTTTCCTGAGGCCAGGAAATTCATTCATTCAATTCATTGCAATTAGAGTACCGCGTTTTTACAACATGGTGAAAACGCCAGCAGCGTGACGAGGTGCTGAGCGTCCTTTCCTCGCTGGGCGTTGAGCCCGCTAGTGCTCCCTGCTGGACATTTTCAGAAGAGCAGGTGCTGTTTTCAGCTGGAAAAAAACCCTTTGGTGGACACGGGCCCTAAGCCAGACAATCTCAGATAAAGACAGTATGAGATAAATAATGTATTTTCTAACCATTTAATCCATGCAGTCACATTTCCCATCGTCCACTGTATTATTCTGGAGGCCCAACAGAGAATGCTGTGTATAAATAATAACTGAAGAGATAAACAAGCCCATGTTTATAAACACAGGTGTAGATTGGGATAGGCTCGGGTGAAATGAGAGAGAGAGAGAGAAAGAGAGAGAGAGATTATATATACACATACATACAAGCACACAAGCAAAGGAGATTTTGTTATATAGCTTATATTGAGGTAGCTACTACTTTAATATTGCTGGGTATATATTGGATTTATAGAATTTTTGCATCAACATGATTAATTTATCTACATATTCTCATCCAGTCATTTTACCATTAAAAAGTTTAAGAATTGAAATTCCAGATAATAGTGGAAGAGTTTTTCTTTTTTCTTTTTTTTAAAGGAATGACATTTTGGTAAATCTTATTCACTTTCTTGTTGAGTTTGATGAGAAGATCAATACAACTCTTACATCTGTATGTAAAATAGGTAGCTGGAGCCTGTAGCTGGTTAGCTTAGCATAAAGACTAGAAGCTTGAGGAAACAGCTAGCCTGGCTCTTTCCAACAGGTTAAAAAATCTGACAAACAGCACCTCTAAGCTCACTAATTAAAATGTTAGGTTTGTCAAATTCGTACAAAAACCAGTGTGACATTTTTAACACAAATGAGATAATGTTTTAGTTGCTGGTAACGATAGATTATGCTAAGCTAAGCTAACCAGCAGCACCACAATTACCGTACAAACATGAGTGGTTTCAATCTTCTCCTCTAACTCTTGGCAAGAAAAGCAAGCAAGTGTACCGCATTTCCTAAAAAGTTAAACTATTCCTTTAATACAAAATGACATAGCGTGATAGACCGTATCTGTGGCACATGAGATGAAACAGTTATTTTGTTAGCATTCAACTGCTCCCATGGGATTTTGGCTGTTGTTAAATACTAACAATACTGTTTTATCTTGGTTAAAAGGACATGGTCAATTTTTACTGTTCAGTACAGTAGCAGACCCATTTAGCTTAATATATAGACGGACAACGTTTCAGTAAGGCCACTGAAAGATTGGAATAGTAACTAAGAACTGAAAGCTAACAGAACAGAAGCTAGATTGGAAGCAGACTTAAGCACTCAGATCTACTTTACTGTAGTCAACAGACTGACGTCATAAAAACTAGAAATTGGTCAGTTGTCATTAATGTTTCCGCTCAACCCCAGAAATCAACTGTCTGAATTCTGTCCAGATATTTGTTATTGCTAATTCTTTTGACAGCTAATTTGTAATTTTTGGCTTTTTCGAACTGTTGTTGCATCACAGCAAACCATTGTTTACCACAAGAGGGCGTTTTTATAGCACAGTCACACACCTGAGGGCCAGATTACTTTTTTCACTGTACAGTCCTGGCTTTATTGTTAAAGACATCAACAATTAAAACCACTCTTGCTCTTAAGACACCTTTGCACTCATACCTGTCAAGTTTTGCTTAAAGAAAAAGAAAGTTATTTTTGTATCTAAGAACTCGCCACAGTAGCCATAGCTGCAGAAGGGCGCATAGCATGAAAATATGTAGACTTTGAAATCATTACCCCATTCTGTACTAGTTCAGCCCTAGTGCTCCTCCCATCACACTGTCACCATACATTGTAAACTGTACTATCACTGTGTCCATGTACTCTGTTTCCAGAATAGATTGTTATAATGGATCTGGCGTTCCTAACTGGATTTCCGGTGGTCACTTTTCATGTGTTTATTATCTCCATTGTGTTCCTCCACCTTGCAAATCAAGGACAGAGGAATCTTCAGGGATTTGAGATGGCAGGTGTCGACTCATAGCGTCCCACTCTGCATAGAAAATGCAATTTGCAGATGATCACGCTTTTTTGTCATGTATAAACATGTATTCGTTCACACCATGAAATAAAGCAAAAATATTGTACAGGTAGTGACATTCTCCACTTGTTTATCAAAATCCAGATTGATGAAAAAAGCAACACATGATTAAATTAAGAACAGTGTAAGATTTGAATAAATCCAGTGAGGAATGTTGTAAGTCATTGTTGTGTCCCTCGAACGCAGTGTGTATACTGTAACCAAGACAACTTTTTGACTTATTAGTGATCACTGACGGCCGAAAGCTCTAGAAAAAGCCAATGGACTTGCTCTTACCTCTGAATACATTTTAAGTTGCCCTATGGTATTTAGCACATTAGTTTTAAAATGTTTTGATACATACTGGGTGTGGCTTGATAAATTTAAAATTATTCCCATTTCCTAACTACTTCACATTCAATCCTGTCTTTAATATTAAAACTAACCAGAATATTTTGTTAAATAGTTAAGAGAATAGTTTGACCTGTTTGTAAGAGAGCTTATTTGCCTTTTTCACCCAAGAGTTTAAGAAGTTTGATACCACTCATGTCCCTGCGCCAAACATGAAGCTGGAGCCAGGAGGCGCTTAGTGTAAAGTCCAGAAGCTGGGGGAAGCAGCTCGTAAGTGGACATTTAAGTTAGCCAGACACACTCCAAAAACCTGCCTACTACGCTGGTGTAAAACAATTTGTTATTTTAAGGTGAATTAGATGCTGTGTAACAGCGAGATCCGATTAAACAAGTGAGATGTATGTTAAGCAGTGAGTGCAGAAAGAACGAGGCCAGCTGATTCCTCCTTCCAGTCTTTGTACTAAGTCAACTGCCTCCAGGCTCAAGCTCTGTATCTAAAGGTACAATCATGAGTTGTATACATCTTATTATCTGACTCTAGGAAAGATACAAATAATCACATTTCCATAAATTAAACATCTTAGTAGTTTGGTGTATTTTAAAGGTTTATTCCCTGACCAAAGCTTACTGTATCTTTCTCTCAAAATCATAAATGGGTTCATTTCTGAACATGGGGAAAAAAATCATGAGTAAATACAACTAAGACAGTGTTTACTACTTAATTAGGAGCATTATTTCCACAATTACAGTTATAAATAAGCATTATATTACATTCTCTACATACACATCATCCTGCTAAATCTATAGTGTTTAAACAGGCATGGAAATGTACTCTGCTCGAAATCTACTCAAGAAAAAGCATCTAAAAAATATGCATATACAATGATGTGTATAAAACTATCATTTTGTACTGTTGGCCTTATAAAGATTACATTCCAATGTAACTAGTATCTTGTTGTAAAAAAAACAATGTTTCATAATATAACAGATTGAACTGCTTTTTGTATGCAGGGTCAAATTAGACAAAATGAAATGTCAACAGTTCATAAAATGGAGAGTTTTAGGACCGAGGCAGGAGACATATCTGAATATAAACATGTAAAAGAAAATACTGTTTTACTGTTGTTTTTTCCCCTCATCATACTTGGTTGCAACCTCTTATTACCCAGTGGAATATATGTTTGCTGGCTTCTACAGTAGCTGAAGGATATTTAAAGTATCTTACCTGTTACCGTGTGCCTCTTTGCAGTCGCTGCTACAGTATATACTGTATGCTGCTTTACCTCTCCCCAAGTGTCAGGACCCCATCTACTGTACGACTCCTTGCAGGGAGATCTCCAAGAGGATGCAGTGATTCATTTCTTGGAAGATCTTTGCATTATTAAACTAAAATATCAATTTCTTTTTACCCCACACATGGTGTTTTCCTTACTGAAATAGAGACAAATGGGAGGTTTTGTTCATGGAATAAATATAAGATCAAATCTTTAAAAATAGACACTCAAATACAATTTCTGCACTTTGGATGTTTTTTAGAAGACAATCGCTTCATCAACTTAACATTTAAATTTTGTTAGACATTTTGTACTCGTGGTTATTGTGTCAAAAAAGGTGGCATGTGTTTCTCAGTGTCCGATCACCCAAAGTACATCTCTATCAGGTGGGTGGTGGGCCGTTGGTGTAGCGTAACATGGGGTAGAAGGACCAGGCAAAGTTGTTGGCCCCTGTACAGCTGGGGTCGCTCTCTGACATGGGAATAAGACAGGGCAGGAGGAGGAGGAACAGTAGGAGGAGGTGGAGGGGAAGGCTGCACGAAGGACCCGGGAGAAGAAGGAACGAGGTGGGGGTGAGTCCCTCTTCTCTCTGCAAGACACATTGATAAAGTTTATTACAGGAAACAAATACACACTACTGAGTGATAAGGGCATAAGTCAAAATCAGGAGAGCCTGCAAATACTTTTTAGTAGTTGCAATCTCTTGTACACAATCTACAAATCACCATTTAACACAATGAAATAGTATTGTACTAATAAAATATTGATGTATTTCTGCATACCTTTGACTAGAGGAACCTTTCTTTGAATTTGTGGCCTCCTCAGAAAGATCTGCAGAAGTGCTTTGGCCTTGGACTTCTGATGATTCACGATCCTGAATTAAAGACATACAAATGTTTCCATTTCTCTTATTTCAACATACAGAAATCTATGTTCTTGTGCTTTAGGCAAAGGGAATAAAACCCAAATAAAATGTCAACCAAGAATAAACATCAACGGTTAAAATGTACGTTGTGATTTCTCATGTTGTGAGGTGTTTTAAATTGATTAGCTGGACAATTTAAAATTCTTAATTTCGGGATAGTTGTTTGCCACGACTAAAAGAAAACTTTTAAGGTTAAACTCTTACCAGGCGCTGTTGCAGGGTGCTGAGGTCTTGGTCCACCTGCCTCAGCAGTAACTTCAGTTTGCTACTGGTCACGTGGAGTTTCTCCTGGGCCTCGTCGCTCTCCTCAGCCTCATCCTCAGGCTGGAGCTGAGACCACAAAGCCTGGAGTGAGGCCTGCTGAGTCTGCCTGCCATCTAGCTCCTCCTGCAGATTCTGCAAAGCACAAAATTAGAGATGGTGACAGTGCATCCTAGCTGGAAAGTCAATACTCAACTAATTAATTATTGTCTGCTTACTGTGAGTGTCTTGTGGTGGTGTTGCAGGGCCCTGACAGGTGTGTCTGGGTGACTGATGTCCACCGCATAGCGCCTGCTCTCTGCGTGGGCCAGCCACAACAGCAGAGAGTGGAGGGTCTCATGGAACTCCTGTATGGAGAAGGGTAAAGGTTATTTCCTACAGTATTAATGCCAATCAGAAGCAGTTTTGTGTTAACATTAAGCAAATTTTGACACAACAACAATATACTACAACTATATTTCTGGACTGACAAGTCAAATGTGATAAAAAAAAAAAAACTATTCAAGAGCAATTAAACTGAAACTCACTCCTGCGCTTACGGGGCAAATAATAGTGCAGTACTATCTCAAGCATAGGAACAGTGCTGTGGTTAGGAATTATGGTATATGTAAGACTAATATGATGGATAGACAGAGTAGAGTGTTACTGTGTATACTTTCTCTGTATGCTGCAAGACTCACTTGAAAATCAAAAGGTGAGAACGTGTGCAAAATGCAAATCTTGAATCATTAAATGAAATCACTGGAGCTACTAGTCCGGACCTAAATTCATCACAATATATGATGAAATGATAGTACTGTAGTTGTATTTTTATTTCCTTCACTAAAATGAGCCCAAACTCTGAACCACTGTAAGGTGTCTGCCATAATGAGAGTCGAACAAATGTAAAACAAAACCCACTATGTTACCATGTAAACAGATCATTGTTTGTGGGCAGATAAATACGTAGTGAAAATGTTATAAGACTGGCAAATTTAAGCTCCATTTAAGAAAATAGGAAAATCTATTAAGGCTTTAACATAATCGATTGATCCACATTCCATAATACTTAGAAAACAGTAGTTAGAAAACATACAGAGCAACAGATGTTTCACTTGAGAAAGTCATTCCCTGAGGTTATTATAAATACTTGGTATTTTCTTCGGACCTGGCAGCGCATCAGCGTCTTCCTCATACTGGTGTCCCACTGCTGGAGGCCTGTACACGCTCTGCTCCAGTCTCTGTTCATACGTGCCAGTCTCTCCTGAAGCTCTGGAGCTTCCTGAGCTCGCAGGTTGACAGACAGCATCACAGACTTGTAGCGAGTAAATGTCTTCTGCATCTCCTGTGAGACAAAATACATGAATATAAACACAAAAACTGAATATTTATCATCAGAACTGTTGTTTTTGGTCCTAAATTTCACCTTTAGTTCTTTGGCTCTGGTTGCCATGTCCTCAACACTGGCTGCTGGGTCCACCTGCTGGAGGCGCTCTAGCTCTGGGATCACGTCTTCTAACCAGGAAGTGATGTCATCAAGGTCAGAGATGAGCTCTTGAGGTTCCTGAAGGCCATCGTGCTGGTAGCTCCTGGACCGAGCCTGAAGGAGCTCCCAGCGTTCGATCACACCTGAGAGAGCACCAACATTTACTGATGTACTGTCGTGTTTGTTTGTTTTTTGTCACAACTCGCTCTTGAATATTGACGAATCTGCGATAGCTGTGTCTCCTGTGGATGCAGATATCCTATCTTACAGCTTATCAAACAGAAATGGCAGCAAATGGGGCCTGTTTACAGAATATTTTACATCAAAGCACAACACTCAGAAATGTCTGTCTGACAAGCTGGAATATCCCTGTTCATAGGATCAGTAGCCTGAGCTAATGCATATGGACTGATATCACTACCACTTAGTAACTCATGGCATTATTAGGGCTGGGCGATATGGCCAAAAATGTTATGACGATAAAAAATTCACATAATTCTACATCTATAATTAGCGCGGTAAATGTCTAATGGCTGATTTTTGCGCCTGAGTGAAAGTTGAAGAACCCTGATAGTTACTTGTGGTTTTAAACTATTCTTTATGGTCAGGCCATGACAAACACTTGATGCCAAACAGTGGATCACTTAACAAATCTGAGAACATTCAAATTATGATAAAATCTTTTTAATCAATAATTAAGCAGTAGTACAGTTAAGATCTTTTTTCTGTCCTTTTTCCTCAACAAAATAAATGTTAATAGTTGCTTGTTTTCACTCTCTCTTAAAATGTGAATTATGAACCATTCAGTCGTTATTAACCTTGCTTACGAGCGTCTCTCACCTGACTGTTTGTCTGAGGCAGTCAGTCCTGTGAGACCGAGCTCCTCTGGCTGCTCCTCATCGTCCAGGATCAGTGAGACTCTTTTAATGTCCTCGATGCTGCCGCTGCACTGAGACATGAGATGCAACTGGAAACGCAACAAACACACTGTTAGTGCACTGTTTGTATAAAGCATCTACTCAGATTCATTTCAATCTTTCCTTTAGACATACACAGTTACTCATTTTTTCCCACCTCGCACCAGTTAACTGGTATTGGTTTACTTCATTCATGTTTATTTTTCACATGTAATCATAAAAGGTAAAATCACAGTGAAATCTAAATGTCACGTGAGTGGAATCATCTGGGCGATATTTTTGAAACATACATAGCCCTGCTTTAGAGGGGTGCTGGTGAGATTGGGTGGAGCCTCGGTGTGGCCCTCCGAGTCCAGCTGGAGAGACTCTGTTTCCTTGTCTTCCTGTGATCGCCATCTTGGAGAGTCATGTGCGGCCATGGACCTGCTTGAAACTGAAACACAAACAAAACACAGACATGAATGCACAACACCCTCACCTAATACACAGTCCCGTAATCTAATAGTATTTCCTACCAAAGATTTATAATTTGGGTATACTGTACGTCTCAAATGTATGAGTGAGACAAATTGTTAGGTACATGTCATCAGACTCTTATGGTTCTGAATGTAACCTGCTGGGAAGTTTTGGTTCTTTGGCTCGCGCTCAGTACATTGCCCGCCTCAGGAAATTGAAGAGCGTGTGGTAGTGTTTACTTAATGCCATATTTCACATGTTTGCAGGAGAGAGAGATTATGGCACCAAGACCCAAGCAGGGAAAGCTGAAGCGGGAAATTTAAAAGCAGTTCACACCAGTTATTTAACAATGAAGGCACTACATTTTGATACCTCAGCAAATTATAGTGAATAAAAAGGCTCAGCTGTAAAACAATCAGTAAAACAATCAGATTTTCCTCAAAAGGCAACCTAAGTAAAATGCATTGGTCAGTTGAGGTGGCTGATCATCTCAAAGGTCTTGTTCATTTAGGGTTATTACAGATGTGTCTAGAAATAAATGGAGTGGAGTGGGTGAACAGAAATGTGGTACAACTAAGTGTGGGAGGTCACAAGGAAGAAGAAGGAATTCACAAAGATGAGTGAAATGAGATGGGATAAAATTATGAGGAAAGTATGAAAGAGAGGTAGATTAAAGACAGGATGTTGGAGGATGATGAAAGGTCATGCAGGAAGGAGCTACAATTAACAATACAAAACAGATCGGACTGGTGAAAATAGGAGGTTTGGTGGGGAAAGACAGTTAAACATACGAATTCTTATATGTGGAAAAATAAATGACAGATCTATCCTCACAAAACCTGATGTGTCCTTTAAGTGACAAGTTTTATTAAAAAAAAAAAAAAAGACCCAAAACTAATAATAAAAATTTGACACCAGTTATTTTGATGTTTAGAGAGGTTTACCTTTTATTATATCCCACCCATTAGCCTGTTAGTGTACTTCTTAAAGTTCAGACCACACTGCGTAAAATGAAGAAATACCATTAAACAAATGTGTGTCAGGGAAATAAAAAGACAGAAAGGGGTTTGCTTTGACATTGAAGGATTTTCCAAACCACAGCTATAGCAAATACGAGCGATTAGATACCAGTGATACATGAGCAGCTGGAAGATATTTGCTGGAAACTGATTTCACCATGAAGAGCTGTGAGTGGATTTATTAAGCAGAATGTGAAGATGATCTTTTGCCTACCCAGTGAGGAGGCTTGTAGCGCCTCTGGGGCTTCGACATATTCCTCCTGGCTCTCAGTCAACTCCACCTCTGGGAGGAGAGAGGGGTCAGACTAGAGGTGTATGGATGTGTGGGTCGGTGTGTGTGTGTGTGTGTGTGAGAGAGACAGAGAGAAATGGCTGCTACATTGTCATATTTTTTAAAATCCCATTAAATCAGCTGTTTGTCAATTTCATTGTAGTATGGCAAAATTGTAGTAATCATTTTCCACTGCAGGAACTTTTCCAGTAACAAACAAAACTAGTTTACTAGTTTTTCGACTGAAGAAATGGAGGCCTAAATTTCATGCCAGTGTTCATGCGTGTCAAACACTCCCTGGCTTTCTAATGTTTCCAGTGTCCCTTTATGTGCTTGTCTCCTTTGCAGCAACCATTAAAAACATCAGTCACATAAGGGATTATTCCCGAAAAGTTGTTTATGACATCTCGGTTTTATGATCTTGTGACATTTAAATCCCTTCCTGCATTAAAAATGAGGACATTAAAAAGAGTGTGTTAACCCTTGATGTGCCGTAAATCTACATGTTTTTCCTGTGAGACACTATAAATCTACCTGATGCGCTGAAGTAAATTCTCTCATCTTCATGTTCCCCCTCCTCCACCTCATCATCCTCATGTGAGGATGACCCTCCAACGTCTCCGGTGTGGTCCCACTCCAGCGGCAGGGAGTCCACGCTCACTGGGGTCTCCCGCCCCGAACGCTCCAGCGGAGAGGCCAGCAGGTGGGTGGGTGTGGCCGGGAGGCTTCCTTGGCTCCGCCCCAGCCACGGCCGGCCAATCAGCTCCAAGCTCGACTCCAAAGAAAAGGATGTACTAGAGATCTCCGGTTCTTCTTTGATTGTCTAAGGCAAAAAAATAATAGGAGTGTAGTCAGATGTGTGAACAATAAAGTTTTATGAGTGAGGATCATTGAAATGTCCTCACATTGTCGTCACTCATAATTAGGATTCATTTTAGGTAAGTGTCATAGTCTAAGAATCACTTCACAAAACTAACATCAACAGTTTTGAATTTAATCAATTGTACAAGTTGTTTAAAGAAAATGTGTGCTCCCTCTCACCGGGGGCTGGCTGAGGCGCTGGTGGAAGCGGACCAGTCTGCTGAAAACCTCCTGGCAGTAGGAGTGCAGCTCCTCCAGCTCGTCTTCAATCAGCGCCGCATCCTGCGGGGAGCTTTTCTGGATCAGACCCTCTCCAAAGACTATTAGGCCGTCGATGCGCTCTGTGTTCAGGGTGATCTCCTTCTGGAAGCTCTGCAGGAGGAGGGTTGGATTGTTAGATGACCAGTGACTCAGTCAGGAAAATAAGAAGAATGTTACAGCAACCAAAATGTGTGTAGTCGGGCTCTGGTACTGAAAGAGAAACCATCTTAACATGGAGTTCTTCTAATGGCTGCATGGTGTAAACAACAAGAGAAGTGACTGAAGACATATTTTTGTAAGACATTTTGGTCATGATAGATTATATCTCCTGAAAAAGACACTTAAGGCTTAAAAAGAGGTATTTTGTTAAAAATTAGGAACAAACTGAGGAGAGCTTCTCACACAGTGAGTTTGTTCCTTATGCGGTCGCTATAAAGCAAGTGTAGGTTGTGTGAGCATCTGTGTGGTTACAGTATGTCCTCACATTGAGCTGTTGTATCTTGTGATGGATGTCGCTCTCTGAAAAGTGTTCGACATTGGTGAGCTGCAAGTCCAGCTCGGTCAGCCACACCAGCATGTTCTCCCTGGTGCCTTCAAATTCCTCCCTCTGGCTGGTAAAGTACTGCGAGGACAGTGAAGAAAAAGATGAGATTAAAAAAGGGGAGAGGGGACAGACATTATCTTATTACATAGCAAACCGAGTGATGCCAGGAAATAAAGGGAAAGGGAGATGAGTAATGGGAGAGAACAAAGAAGATAAATGGTGGACGCTGCGGTTCATGGTCAGCGTCATTAAGGGTGCTTTCACACCTGTAGTTTGGTTCATTTGGTTCAGATCAAGTGAAAAATTATACATTGTTGCATTTTAGTTCTGGTCCGGTTCATGTTCACACTGCACTTTTACAAATTAGCCAAGAGAATTAATCATGACGTTACACTGACAGGTAACTTGTTGATTGGACAGCTTTTGCGATTGTTATCCTGCATCATCAGGACCCACGTGGGGAAATCAAATTCCAGTGACTGACAGAACTTTGTGCAGCACTTTAATGCTTCTGATCTGTATTGCAAAGATCTCATGAAGTAATAATTTATTATAAGCATGATGAGTAATGCTAGACCGTAGATCAATCACATAGCTTATTATGAATAATAACGTAAAACTAGGATAAGTACTACAGTAATAATTCGGGGCTTATTAGCCTTTAGTATACTGTGGTATCACTGTCACAAATGTTTTATGGACTATGAACTGAAAGGTAAATGGAGTGCTACTTGCTCTCCTTTTTCAAAGCATACGTTACCAAATGATTTTCATAAACATAGCATGGCTTATACAGATCAATTATAAGATCGCTGAACACATTTCGCGGTCGGCACATGGATTTATTAGTGGTTTAGCTTTGGAAATAATGCTCAGATCACAGCTCTGCTATCATAAAATCCTGTGGTTGGTTTGTTTTCTTTCACATCACAAGCGAACCGCACCAGAGTTTGAAAGTGTACCGAGATCACCTCTTCAAGGAGGTCTCGGTACACTTGTTTGGTCCACTTTTGGTGTGCACCCAGGAGCAATTGCTGTATTCACACCTGCCCAAACGAACTGCACCAAGGGGGAAAACGAACTCTACTGCAATTCAACTGAACTAAATGAGGCAGGTGTGAAAGCACCCTAAAATAAAATGTTATAATTAGGGTTGTGTCGAGATCTTGCAAGATTAAATTATGACAAGATTTCTCGTCAGGTAAAAAGCTGTCTAGCAAGAGTCACGCAAATTAATTTTTTTTACACGCTATCACACATTAATTTTCTCGCACAGTGAAATACAAATGTATAGTAATCAGCTGGACCCGCTGGCGTTGAGTCCGGATCTTTTATACACATTCAATGGTCCAGACAGCTGTGACGAGTGGTAACAGAGTTTTGCAACATAAACATCTAAAAACTGAAGCACAACCTTGCTCTGTTTGAAACTGTGAGCACTTTATGAGCTGCTGATGTTAAAATGTGAAGATTTGTGATGAGATTTCTGCCTGATCATCAACAAGGGGATAACGTTACTACCAGCGGGTCAATAACATGCAATGCACAACAGGTAGACTTCTCATTAAATGATGATGTTAGTCTGGTAATATTCTGCCTTTTCTCTGGACTTAACAGGAAAAACAGATGGCCTATATGGTAGAGATTCTGAATGTGCAGAAAGTTTTGAACATGCGCAGAAAATCTGCTGACACACAGGAGCTATTAAAGTCCAGGAGTTTATTACTAAATTAAAATGAATTCATTTATCATTGAGGTAGCATTAAAGATTTCTTGAAAATAGTGTTTAAATCTCGTCTTGAGGGTTAAGTGTCTCGTTACATCCCTAGTTTTAATGCAAAAAGTAAGAATTAGCAATGAGTCCCATTGGCTAAGAGATAAATACCGTTAATCTTCCATTAATAGCCTGGGCTTGGACTGAGGGTCACTCAAGGTTCACTGACTTGATTGTTCTTGAGATTTTGGGGTTCTCTCTTTTGCACTGATGTCATTTCGGTTTGGTTTTTAACATATTGTTTTTTTTATGTCACATGTTTTGTATCTTTTATTTAATGTCTTGTTGAAAATACGTCTTTCACTTTCCCATGTTATCCCTTGGATTGGTGTGTTTTGTAGATCTATAAATTAATCGGATAGAAAGTATATAAAGATAAAATAAGACTGAGGAGGGAAGCAGACAATGAAAGTCCCAGTCCAGATTTATACCCAAGATGTCAGTGTTAATGGTCATGTATTTATGTCATTTTGTGACAGGAACAGTGAAGCTTGTTTTAGTCCACTTTCCATGTTAATAAATCACCAGTTGGCCTTTCTACAACATTACTAATTACACAATTAATATTTCAAACTTTTCTGAGCTATGCTGGAACAGGACAGCCTGTTAAGCATCAAAACAATTTCATTATGGCCCCTAACCCTAACTAATTTGCTCATTAATGAGATATGACGCACAACCGCCCCCCCCCAACATACATCACTATATGCTTTAAATAAGTACGTGCCTACAGTGATGCGTGTTGTATTCAAGTCACATAGAACACACAGTAACTGACTTGACTGTAGCTCACTGTATAACATACTGTATGTGCAGGTGCACATTGTTATGAATAAAAGTGTTGGAGAAAAAAAATGAACAGGTCCTCCTCTCAGCTAATTAAATTATTCATCTCATATGTTTTAAACAGCTGTGCTGTTTCACACCCTCTGCACTGTACCTTGAGTCTGCGGAGGATGGCGGCCACTCTGCGGTGCAGGGTGTCCCAGCGGCGGTTGCCTTCGTGCACCATGGCTTTGAGTTGGCTGGCTCGGTCAGTGCGGTTCTCCCTGGCCAGGCGGCGGTATTGGTTATTGACCAGTTCCAGCTGGGTCAGCCGCTCATTAACCTGCCTTTGGAAACTCTAAAGACAACAGGGGAGGATGGGATAAAGCGTAGATTTAGAGTAATAAAAAGAGCTCCAAATATTGTAGTCTTTGTTAACACACCTGCACTTGTTTATGCAATTACATGTTCTTCATAATGTCAAATAGAGCTGAAACAACTAGTTTAAGAAATTAGTAGTTTTTAAAATGATCAATTTAAGTAGTTTAAGAAAAAAAAAAAGCTACTTCCAGCTTCTACTAAGTGAATATTTACTGTATTACTAATATTTATTTTGTATTTTACAAAAGCAAAGTCAATATCTGGTGTGACTAAACAAGCTATTTAAACATGGAAACTGTGATCTCTCACTGACAATTTATTTAGACTAAATGATTAACTGAGAAAGTAATCAGCAGCTTAATTGATACTAAAAATAATCTTTAGTTTCAGCCATTATAAAAGAAAAATGGAGTAGGAGAGACCAAAAACAAATTTATCAGAGACCAGAAAGAACATTGTGGCAATGACTGGTCATGAAGAAAAGTTGTCCCTACAATTTGAGGAGGGTTTTTCTGTTGTTTTGGTTGTGCAATAGAATAAAGGCAAACACCCTTAAAGCCTGTCAAGCCAACAATTCAACATTCATAAATTCAGTCACACAAACTTTAATAAAGAACAATGAGAATGTTTCACTTTGAGAAACAAACAAGCTAACAAAACACAGCTTCTCCAAGTCTGTTCCATCTGCCGACCTCACAACTGACCTCAAACTTCTTGAGCTCCTCCTTGGCGACCGTATAAAGGACGTCTGCAGAGCTGGGGTTGGCAGCGGTTCGCTCGGCTATCTTGAGCCAATCCTCGAACCGCGAGTAGTCATCGAGGAACTTACACCACAGTCGCCACGTCTCCTCAATCCTACAAGAAGACATGTACATGACATCAAGAAGGCTTTTCTAACCAATAAGGGTTTTTATGAGTAAGCCTTGCCTTGATAGTATGTATGCTAATAGCATTAGCATAAAATTTAATCTTTAAATGATTCATTTGGTTAGAAATAAATTCTTGAGTGTAGTGTGACATACTGGATATAAATTAAGTACTGCCTATTGTCTATATAGCCTGTTACAGCCTGTTAATTGATAATTCAGCCTAAGGTGTTCAACAGAGTTGTAATAATCATATAGTAAAATCAATAGGACTAGAAATAGACAAGAACCTAAATAAGTTAAGTTCTGCTACTGTGGAACACCTGTTGAAAACAGACGCCCCCGGTATCGGGGGCGATGGTGCTCTGGGGCATATTACTGATTGAAAAAAAAAATTGCGCCGTTTTAGCGAAACCCGCCTATGTTGTTGCTCCGAGTCTAAGCGGGTGTCATTTTGATTATTGCGCAATACCTGCAAGCTGCCTGCCTGCTGTCCTCTTTTTCTGCAGAGAAGAAACATGCCACTTGAGAACACACAGTGTTTTTTGCCATTTTGTGGCCGGTCGGTTGGAGATATATAGACATGCAGGGTATCAAATGAAAGGTCTGCTAAAGCTGGATCGATTGATACCATCCCCATCACTGTTCCGTTCTCAATCTACAGGCCTGTAAAGCATGGGAGTTGATGAATACTCCTGTTCTTATCAATATTTCAATGTTTTGTCATTTGGAAATTGGTTGTATGGACTGAAAAAGTGTTTTAAAGATATCAATAAAAGTCAGCATTTTAACAATAAATATTGCCAAAATATGGAAATTCGCCAGGTATATTTGAAAATGTAGTCCATGTAGTCTGTAAAAGTAAAATAATTATATTAATACACAATGGATTTGTATTCCTTAGCTTCTGACTTTTCAAAGGAGACCAAAATTATGCATCTAGGCCAAATGGTTGAGGAGTTATTCCTGATTCGTTTTGGGTATGTAATTTTAGGTGTTTTTTCTGGAAAAAGGTGCCTGTTTTCAACAGGTTGCATGTAAGGATTGAGATATACATGTATATGTAGTGAAATGTGTGAGGTTCCCATACAGTTTGTGTGTGTGTTTTAGTTCCTACCTGAGCCTCCTGTCTAGAGCCATGGCACAGATGGTCCTCCAGCGCTGGTCCAGGCTATGGCTGGTCTCCTGCAGGGAGTCGTTCTCCACCTCAGTGCCACCAGCAGCATCTTCGTCCCGCAGCAAAACATCGCACAGACTGATTACTGACACTACGCCCTCCGTATGCTGCTCAATGTCCCGCTGCAGCTCCTGCACAGACACACAGACAGACATGAAAACAAACATCAGTACACAGACATACAGACAGAAGCTCACTGCATGAGACCACCCCTCCCAAAATTGAACAAAGGACAGATATGAATTATTAATCATAAGAGACAAAGTAAGAGGGAGTGACAGTGAAACAGAAAAACAAAAGTGTGACAAGAAATATAAAATTTAAATGTAACAATACTGTAAAAACAAAGACCCTAGATAAACATAATAGAAAGAAGAGTGAAACACAAAGAAACAGATACTCAGAAACAAATAAATAATAAAAGTAAATCAAATTTAAAAAAAATTAACTACTGGTGTGTGTAGTTGTGTGTGTTTCTGTCTACCTGCTGCTCGGCCAGCCTCCTCTGGATCTCCTGGTGGTGACAGACGCTGTAGGTGATGGGTCTGGACAGCTCGGACTCCATGCGTGAAAGCCACGAGCGGAGGTTACTCATGTTCTTATCCAGCTGCTGCACCGTCACCAGAGTCTCCTTCAGTTTCTTTACCCTAAACACACACAGACACACAGTTTTAGAAACTAAAATTTATTTTTTATTATTTTATTATAATCAATTTTAAAGTAAGCAATTATGACTATTAGTAACATCTGTACCAATTTATTGCGTGTATAAACAAACATCTAACCAATTGGTTCTCAACTCTTTTGGCATGTGACCCTTTAAAATTAAGTAATGTCATTGGTTGAATATAGGTTTGGGTAATGACCAAGTTATCTAAAAAGGGATTAGGAATTTTTAGCAAGGCGAAGAGGTAAAATTATTCAGTAATCATAGAAAAAAGTGCTAATAAGTTGTCTCTTGACTCCTCAGATTTATTTTTGCAACCCCATTTGGGGCCCCAAATCCCAGTTTGGGAACCACTGATCCTTTAAACAAAAGTTAAATGAAGACAGAGAATCTAATAGCTAAATTTGGGGCAAAGCATCTCTTTCTTAGTAAGAGATTGATGTTTTTTGGACATGGTCCAAGAAAGAAAGAAGACAATCTATCTGAATTTGTTATTTTTGTTTATAACTGCTAAATTGAATGACCTTGATTGCATTAATTCACTATCTTGTTATAACATATTGAAATGTAAACTTTTTGATTTTGCTGCAAAGTGCTTTGGCAACACTATCCAACGAAGGTTGAGGTCTAATGTGGATCCAACTGACTTCTTCAGTTGTTCTCTTCAGAACTGAAGAAGTCTCTTGGATGAGGGACAAAACGTCTTCTAGTATCTTCAACCAAGTCCAGTTGCCCCTGACCTCAACCCTCGTTGGATAACTATGACCTGGATGACTGAGAACCTTCAGACATTTTGGCAACACTGTTTAAATGAAACATTCATGTCAATAAAGGACAGTCAACTTGAAGAAAAAGAATGAGACAAAAAAGGGAAGAGATTGAAAAGACAGAAATACTAGTAAGATAAAGTCAAAAAGAAAAGAGAAAGACACCAAAATGAGATAAAGACAGGAAGAGAAAGAAAGACAGAATGAAAGACAAGTATTAGAAAGCTGTTCACTAAAACATTCTCAGGTAGAGCTCTCAGCTACTTTCCAAAGTCACAGTGACAACTGACCGCCTTGTGAACGAACACCCACACACACACACACACACACAGCGCCACACTGACTGGGTGTCATAGCAACGCTTGGGACAATAAGCGCTCTCTTCTGAGGCTTAAAAGCCTGAAGTGTGCCCCATTTGGGAGTTTGAGTTAATTTCCCCATTTGATCCGTCCTCCTCTGTCGAGGTCCAGCAGCAGGGCCTGTCAGGGCAGGGAGGGAGACACCCTCTACCAAAATAATAAGCATTACAAACTGCAGTGAGTGTAAGTGGCAGGAAGGCGCAGATGCCGTACATTGGGACGAGTTGACTGTGTGCATGTGTGAGAGCCCTTTTAGATCTGTTACTTTTGAGTATCAACCGAAAACGGTCACATGATTGAAATCATATTTATTTAAAAGACTTATTATACTAAGTAATGTATTAAAAACTGTCTGTTTTGGTCTTGGTAATGCACTATCCAAAAATCTCAAGTCCTACAGATTAGTATCACACAACTACATAAAAATAATGACAAAAAAGTACTAACAAAAAAAGTCTGTAACACAAGGTATCATCTGGACTAATTTACGTAGACGGAGTCCATGTATAGCAGCTTGTGTTGAGAAATATTTTAAATGGAAAAAATTGACTCCTTAAAAATACTCTATTTTGTGGGTAAAACTCAAGTGTTGGATTAACACTAAGACATTCTACTGATTCCAAGCTCTTGTCAAAGTTCAGGAATAATGTACAGTATATAGTCAGTGGAGGTTTGTGTGGCTTTATGTTTGTGACCCTGTAATGAAGGCACAATAGAGTTGATGTAAATTTTGTCCAGAATATACTCGTCTCTCCTCTGCAGATACAACCATCCTAGTCAACCGAATGATCTCTCTCCCTCTTTCACTCTCTCTCTACCTCTGACAGTCTAACAAAGACCAGTAGCTTCATGTGGAGGCCCAACAAAGACACAAAACCAGGGTAGGGGTCCTTGGTGAGGAAAAGGACAGAGTAGAATGGATGGAGCAGAAAAGAGCTGGAAGATAAGTCAGGATATATGGTTGGAGGACAAGGTTAACAAAGTACAGCTAACCACAGGGGGGCTCACAGTTACTCGGAGATTAAACTCCAACTGACATTTACTCTTAACGCTGTAATTGTGCTGCTCTTTTACCCTCCATGTGCTTTCTCATTCGTGTGTGTGTGTATATATATATATATATATATATATATATTTCATGTTATTTCATCTTGATTTTCGCATTGCATAAAATTAATTGTTGCTAGCCAGTGAACTAAAGATATAAGACACCAAAGTTGCTGCGGGATACACCACAGGTTCTAATGTGGCAGCTTTGATTTCTAACAAAGTGCAATAAATGAAGGGCTATCATACTCTCTCTAATTGGGAGGATTACTTTTTTTAAGGAACCCCAAGAAAAAATTAAAATCAAGGGTTTTTAGTATTCTACATCTTGCATGGGATCAGGCTCTCTGAAATATGCTCATGGAACCTCAGTTTGAGGGTCAGCGATTAATGCATGCCGACAGACCCGGCTCCTCCCATTACTAACCCACCCTCCCTCACATCATCTCGCTCTGACAGACTAGAAAAAGGGAGGGAGTCTGTGTGGACATATGGTACTGTCTGAGACCTAAGCATAGCTTTTTTTCCCTGTGGTGGTGGGACGGGTAGGCTGGGGGTGCGCAGGTTTAGGAGTGAAGCCCGTATCTCCAGCCCTTCCACAGGACTGTCCATCTGTCTGAGGAGGGTCGGGGGCATTAACAGTTTATCATCACAAGGGCTTAACTTACTGTCTGTACATTAGATGCCATGTATTCCTGACAGCTGCAGAGCACGACTATCACAACAGCAGGTGGATGGATCTGCATTAGAGCTATTGTTTAATTACAGGCTCTCAGTTAGAGCCTTTTAGTTCTTAATGATGCTTTTTAATATAGAGTGGCTTCGCTGTGAAAGGTGCTTCTGTGTAAGTCTAATAATGGGGTGACATTTAGTCCATAGAGTGCGGCAAAACAGAAAACCATTCACACACACACAGCTAAACACACACTTTTTAAATGTAACAACTCTTTTACTAAGTGCTTGCTCACTGACATCCACACACTTTGTAATTATTGCAATACGTAGTCATTAATTTCCAGTATTGTTTGCTTCAATTTTTGTCCTCCTACCTAAATCACTTAGAGCTTACAGCTTCTGTGACGACTGTGGCTGCTCTCACCTGGCTTCGATGTGGTGGAAGAGGTTGTGCCAGCGCTGGTTGACCTCCAGCAGCGAGCCGTGGACCCGGGTCTGCTTAGCCTCATCACTGGCTAACAGCAGCTGCTCACCCAGCTGCTTCAGGTGGCTCTTATTCTCGCTGAACAAGTTGATTTCCTCCATGCAGTCCTGTATAAACATGATAAGATTAGGCTGCTTAACAAACGCCATGTCCTAAAGAAAAAGCAGGAAAACCCTCATAAACAGTATCTATCCAATGCAGTTGGAATTAAAAATTCAACTCTTCTTGTATTTATTTCTATTTATCAGTAGTGTAATCCCTATGTAGTATGGGAGTAAATTTCAGCTGGAGTTGAAAATATGAATTATCATGAAGCATAACATTAGCTTAAACATGGAGTTTACTAATGTTCACCTATTTGGCCAATCTGTGATCACTTTAGAGTAAGTAGGCTTTGTTTTGACATACGCTTGTCAATTAAAACTTTAAATGACCAGCAAAGCAGCAGATTTCAGTTCAGTTTAAAATAAAGAGGGATGCTTCAGTCAAGAGCTTGCATCCCATTTTCATCATCCCATTCATTCAACTTCAACCTGTTTCCATGCCCTGGAGCAGTCGCTTATCGCCAGGAAGTGCCATCTTCAGCTATACACATAATTAAAAAGGGACTATCAAGTGTCTCTAATTTTCTGATCTCATCTGACAGTTCAAAACAACGATCCTGCAACGTTCAAACCAATTATTATCTTGTTGACTAAATAAGCATGCCTCATGATGAGACAGTAAGGTACAAAGGGCTTTCAGTCACTGAAAGGAAAACTGTTGAGTATGAACAAAGGGCATGCGGCCATTCCCCATTCCAGGCCACCATCTGGTATAAACAGCATGTTGCTCATGTATGGATGGACCTACGCAAGTGGTGACCATGCCCTAAACCATAGGTTTATTGTGGGTATTACAGAATGAATTGGATAGGAAGATTTAAATATTCCTTAGATCTTGTACCTTTTTCAGTTTCTCCACCATTTCCTCGATGCTCAGATCCCCGCTGTGGCACACCTTGTTCTCCATCTGAGTCAGCCAATCATGGAACTCTTTGTTCTTGTCATTGAAGATGGTCCAGGCATTGAGACGGTCTGCAATTTCTTGCCTGCGCAGGGACACCTGGGAAAGTGATACAAGTGGCATTTTATGGCACACTTTATGGCAGGGATACGAATGTCAAAGTCAGTATCAGCACACAGACTTCATGGTGAGCAGACAGGTGTAATAATGACTGCAGGTGCAAATTCATGATCCATTAGAATACTTTGTTTTAAAAGAAATAAAAACCTTTGTAGTGCTGGTGGGAAACCTGTGGCTAAGCTGCAGTAAGAATATTTTAATTTATATTTTTTAATATTTGCACTAGCAACCTTTGCTGCCTCAATCATGCTCTTTTAGGGTAACTAGATGACTGTTTTTCAGAGACAAACCAGGGATTATGGTGATTTATCCACACCAAGCCCTAAACATTTATAGTTTCTAAAACAAACCATGAAACTGACTTTTTTTGCCAAATTTTTATTAATAGACAGCTGCAGGCAAAATGGTCATAACGTTTAAAATGTCCTGGGTTTGGTGCAAAAACAAAGGCTTGAGAACAGCAGTGCCTTTGATTTTAACAAATGTCAGTCCAGTCTGAATCAGGGATATTTTCTGTGATACTTCGTATGTATCCGGGAAACTCCGACCTAATTCTACTACACAACAGTATTTTGTAGATTTGAGCTTGGTGCATAGGAATGCATAATCTGGTACATTACTGAAAAAAACTTCTCAAAATCTGTAAAGTATATACGTATTGTTCAACTAAAGAGATTACATGGTACAGAAGTGAATTAAAAACAGAAAACTGAACTGAATATTTTCATTACATTGAAGCAATAGCAGAGTCAGTAATCAACTGAATTGAGAGAAATCCCCAAGGGACACTGTTTAAAATGAACAAGGTCCATTTTCCTAATGACAGCTTAATGCCATAAAACACCCCATTACATAGCTATAGAGGGGGCTGATGATCTTTTTAAGGTTAAAGGGCTTAGCGAGCCCATGGGGCATGTTTGAACCAGCTATATTTTACTGTTCAGTGGCATTTATTTGATTTAAATGAGCCCTGCTTTGGTTTTAATATACTAACACTGCTGGACCTTTTGGGTAATTTTAGGGTGCTTTGTGAGCTGCTGTCCCCCCATGAGGACTTTGTGCTTCCCCAGGAACAATAGAGCCTGTCCCCTGAATCCTTTACCCCAGCCAGGCCATCTGCTCATCAGACCCATTCCAGTGGCTTCCCCCACCTACAACCTGTTAACTATGCAGAGGAAATGGCTGTGGCTCAGATCCATGCCCCCCAGCCAGGAATTAATAGGGATGAAAACTCTTGTGTGATCTCACAGTTGAAATTAGTCAGTGATTTCTCAATAACCTGACTACCATTTTTTCCAGCAATTTAATAGTTTAGCAAAGAATTGTCATAATCAATTTTGTGATGGCTGAAGTAAGTTGTTCTATCAGTCCGATAAAAAACTTAATGTAGGCTTTTACATTTCATATTCTTAACTCTCAAGTGACTGGTAGGTCTTTCCTGAGACAGTATGTTTCAGGTTTCAGGTTTGTTTTGGGACAAACATATGAATTAAGTAGTTAAGATGAGCACCTACCATTATTGTACAGATAACAAAGAGACTTACAGATGGACCGAACAGCAACAGAAAGCTAATGACTGGACAAACTGGTTGCTGTTGCTGCATCTGTGAATGCCAGTAACCCCTGCCAAGACAGGAGCAGGTGGAAGTGGCCAGTCTAACTGGGGACTCAATTAGCACACTGCAAATCATCCCATGGCCCTAATATCTGACAAATACGTTGCGAACATGTCATAACCGTTTTTTCAAGAACAAGAGTGGGTTTGTGTTTAAGCCAAAAGACTTAACTGTAGGAATTTGAACTTGTGTGTATACAGTAGAGCTACTTTCACCAACAATGCAGTTGCAGAAAGAACAGTCTGTTCTGTTCGAGTATTTCATGTGATAGCACAGCGAGTCTGAGTCAGGAGCAATTTACAACCTGATGAGCTGTCAAGTGAGTATTTCCATTTATGTAAACTGCAAAAAGCTTCACATTTCTTCATAAGGTGATACAAGCAGAAAGACCTCCAATTTAAAAAAGTGTAATTTTCCCTCCATGAACCTGCACATGGTAGCTCTTTTCTTAACCAAATGAGAGAGAGAATGTGTGAGTGTGTGTGTGTGTTCAGCCCCAGTGGTGCAGAGGCTTTGTGCTGCTGGTTACTGCTGGTAGCAACTTTTCCCTCCTTCTCTCTCCCTCTCCCCCCCAATCCTTCCTCTCCACCTGTACCCTCTACAATTTCTTACTTTCTCTGGTTCAATATATGGCCTGTCTTTCTCTCCATTTCTTTTTTATCAGTGCTCACCTTCATACACAGCTCTTCCCATTGGCTGTGGAGTTGTTCCAGCTGCTGCTCCAGCAGAGCCGAGTCACCGGCCGCAACGTACTGGGACAGGTCCGTCTTCATGGTGGTTAATTCCCTCAATCCACTGGCCAGACGCTGCAGAGAGAGCTCCGTCTCCTGCATAACACGCACATACACAAGCACTTTAACACCCTGTCAGACGGCCATGCACAAGCTGTGTGTTCAGGCTTCTCTCCCTCTTTCCTCGCTTGGACCGTCCAGATTAAAGGGCTATGGACGGGACAGGGGGAGGGTAGAAGGGGCAGAAAGGGGGAGGGGAGTGAAAGCATGGGAGTATTAAATAAGGGAAAGGGGGGTAAACTCAGAGGCACTCTGTGGTAGGATTGAGTGCAGGCATGGATGGGAATTGGGGAACTTTGGCCAGTTAAAGATCAGCTGACCTGCTCGGTTTTCTTCCAATGGATTCATGTTGCTGATTTGTTAGAAAGTATTTGGCAATTTTCTGCATTAATCTCATACACATTGTGCGATAACCAATTTTCAGACCATGGAAAGTCTGTTATTATATCAGGTTACGCAACAGTCAGTTCTCAGTGCCTGTTTTTCTACAAAGTCAAACATGAATACTGAGAAGTAATTTGGGCCTTAGATTTTTTGAATGTTTGGTATTTTGCAGAAAATAAATGCTAAATGGGATTCCTGCTCTGTTAATATAAAGTGTCTTTTCAGTGTTGTGCTAAGGTTGTGTTGATATGGACTAACATTGTTGCTGCAGGAACATAGCTAGGACTTTAGAAATACCAAGTGAGTCTAAGTGTCAGTACATGGTCACTATAGTGTATTGATTTTGGAATAATGCATTTTAATTTTTTTCTATTCAATTATATTAGCATTAGCAAGTTCTTGTTAACTTTTACAGAGGAGCAATAGAAAGCATCCTGACTAGAAACATTACAAACTGGCATGGGATGTGCGTGGCCCAGGACAGGAGGGCTCTCCAGCGGGTGATTAAAACTGCTCAGAAGATCATTGGTACCCATCTCCCGAGCATCAGTGATATCTGAGAGATGAGGTGCCTACGCAGAGCCCAGAGGATACTAAAAGACAGTACCCACTCCAGCCACAGACTCTTCAACATGCTGCCTTCTGGCAAGAGATACAAAAGTACCTGATGTGTTGTAAAATGCTAAAATACATCTACCTAGTAAACTTTAAAAATATATCGAGTGTAAATCACTGGAATCAGCCTGCAAAATACAAAGGACATGATCTCAGTGTCTTCAGTGGTAGCTCTGACCTTGTTAGCCACTAGCATTATTCTAAAATTGAGGAAATAAGGAACTGTAGATACTGGCAGCTTTGTCTTGACTGATTTGTATAAAATACATTACAGTAACAGTTAAAACACTGTTTTGAACTACCTTCCTTGTTTCAATAGTATGCAAAGTTTAATTTAACTACAATTTTTATTTAGTAGGGAAAGATTATATTTCTCACAGTACTTTGAATAATGTTGTATTACCATTCAACATATAGTATGTATGCTGTAGTTTGGCATGGAGCACCAAAGCCACCCATGTACCAGGAACAAAGGGATAATTTCTGTGTCAGTGTTCTCTTTTTAAGGGCCCAGTTGATAAAGGTTGATAAAGTTTAAAGTTTCTTTAAAAATGGCTGTGAAACAACATTTTTCCATTCCTTTATATTATGGATATATCATCATCATCATCTTATAAGGAATACAGTCATGGTTATACACAGACTACCTGGATTGTAACTACCTGAAGGTGTTCCTTGTCCTCTGAGCTGTACGGTCTTTCAGGCAGCGTCTGTTTTATCATGACTTTCAGCTCATCCAGTTCAGACATGATGCTGGTTATCCCATCCTGACACTGAGAATACTTCTAAATAATCAGCAGCACACAGAAGAATGAGATTTCTGGAGTCAAACATCTGACAGTTTTATTAAAGCAAAAAGTATAGTCATTAGCTCAATAAATCCAAATGTAAATTGTAACAATTACACCACCTTTCTGACCATATATGACCAAGTTAGTCTCTTGCTGCGAGTTCTACTTTGTCCAGTAATGCTGTTCTCTGTGTGATCTTCGACATGTTGCTCAGAGGCATTTCTCTTTTCCCCAGGTGGATTAAGATTAGTTTATAAGAGGGGTTAACACAACTTTCCCTGACCTTGCTCAGCCTGGGCATCAAAACATTGCTCTAATCAACACAGCTCGTGAAGCTGGGCAGCCCTTTCTGTAATTCAGACTGATCAGTGATCAGCCAGAGCTTGGAGTAAAACGCCATTTCACTAAAATATCAGCAATGGCATTTAAAGTATTAACCAAACAGTATTTGTCCAACATTTCTGCCTGAAAGTCAAATAAAAAAAAAACCTTTAGCAATGGTGGCAGCTTTTCTCCTACACGAGTGTGTCTGTGTGTGTGGATAGATTTCAGCTTCTCTTTGATCAGTCTTGTGGCGTGTGTGTGTGCGTGTGTAGGATCAGATTCTGGATATGGGTCTTCCAAAGCTGACACAACCTACGTCCTTGTTAATAGTGTAACACATGCTCTTCTTTTGGGTTTTGTCAGTACTTGATACGCTAAAATTTTGAGCTAAAATCTCCATGATTCACTAGATTCTGCTGCCAGGACAACTAACATCCACAGCAGAGCAGCGTTATATTTCTGTGCAGTACTGAAAAACTATTTCTGAATATTTCTATATTATGCAGTAATGTTAAGACAATATATTGACAATAAACTTGTTTTGTCAAATGTAACATTGGAAATGAATCTTAAATATTAAAAATAATAAATATGGGAGTCATGGGCTTTGATGGAAATATGACTGTTACCTGAACTGTTGTGCTAATTAGGGCTCTTCTCCTCTCCAGCAGTGAAGTGGTTTGTTCCCAGGCCTCCTGTATGGCCTGGAGGTCTGACTGCAGTCGGCTCTGACACTCAGACCCCGTCATGGTTTTACATAAATGCCTGCCAGCCTCCAGAGTCTGGGTGTACACAGTGGAGTGCAAACCCAGAGCGTCTTCCACACACTGTGAAAGATGTAGGGAGACACAGCTTGTTGTTATTCATTCTGAATACATTAAAAAATCTGGCACAATTGTATTTTTCCCGCCACTGCAAAAAGAGTCGAAGCTTTCTGTCCATTAAGCTGACGGACATAATTAGGAGTATGGTACATTTTCCTGGTATCCATAAATACTAACCTGAAAATTATCTGTGCAGCTCCGTAGCTGATGCAGTGTACAGAGAGCAGGTCCAGCAGGGGGCAACAAAGGGTCAACGTCCATCATCAACTTCCACAAAAGTTTCAAGCCATGATGGTAGACTCTCCACTGGCCCAGTTGTTCTTTTATCAGGGACCTGTGCTGGTCAGCCAGAGCCACAGAGTTCAACCAGCTCTCCCTCATACAGGTCACTTGTGCCATGAGCTTAGATCTGTGCAAGGAACAACACAAGAGCTTTAGCTTGTTGTGTTAACACCTGTTGGCAATTGGGGGATGAGTGAAACAATCAGTAGTCTCTTTGGGGATATAAGGTTTTTGAAATGGAATTTACCATAATACACTTTCCTTGTAAACAACAACAACAACAAAAAAAATCACATAACAATGGTAGAGGCAACAAAACAAAAGGATAAAAAATTACAAATGGGTCTGTCATAGTTCATCCAGAGTCATTTCTAAATCAACACAAAATCAACAGGATTTTGAAGCCTGTTTAATAGCCTTAAGTAGCAATCACAGCAGATTTAAATATAAAAGCCTTCCAAGTTTTCCAAACAATGCACAAAATGATTTAAGGATAGCTGCACACACTGCATTTTGTTGTGTGTCGGAGTACACCCAGAATGTGCGATTCTTACAAGAAAGCAATGCTTCTGGAAAATCTCAAATCTAATTAGGTGACAGGTGTGATGAAGACTTCAAATCAACATGCCCTGATAACACAGATTACTACCACAGTTTTTCTCTTGCAGTACACCCAGCTGAATAATATTGATGTTCTGTGGAGTAATGAGAAACACGGAAACTGTGCGGAAGTATTTTGATTTAGATTTTCTCTAAAACCAACATAAAGCTGTCAGTAGACAGCCTGTACGTAACCGGTATAGCTGCTAAGCTTAACTGTAAGTCCCCCACAAAATTCCCCTAGAACTGAGTATACTTAGAACCAAGGTAAAATAGAGACTAAAGGATAAAGCGGTCTCATTATTTTAGACTCTCCAACTAAAAGCTCATTAAAATTATTACATGTTTAAAATGTTTTTAAGTCTTAATCTGCCATTTAATTTCTTCCAAGATGTTTACTTACAACTTACCTTTTCTCTCCCGTTTCTTTTTCCACAGACTCGACGGCATGACAGAGAATACCCTGCAGAATCTGATGTCCAATATTCATTACAACCTCAAGTCTCTGTGGGAACATGAGATAACAACAGGAGAAAGAACACAGTGAGAAAAAAAAGATCAAATCTCTATTTAAACTTTGACTGATTTAAAGCAAATGGCACTCAAGCTTCCTAATGTCCTGACATATTCACAGTGACACATTAGGCAAGCACTTGTGCTGATGAGGTCATTACTTTAGCTACTGCAAGCCTAATTACCAAACTTTGTCAACATGCTTGTCATCCAAAACACATGAGCAGTATACAGATTATCTGTTTATCTAGAGTTCAGACTAATCTGCAGATGTAAGGGAGGGAAAGCCAACAAACAATTTCACTTCAGTTTTCTCACAACAAATGAGAATAGCTGGCCAGTTAACAGGGTTATAATCATTTAAATTTGAGTAAGATGAGTTATTTGTCATTTCTGTGTCCCTAATTCCCAGAGGATTTCAGAAGTGAAGTCCTAATGCCATTTGGACATTGGTTCCGGTTGTCAGATACAAATCTAATTAATGTCTCAGAAAAGTGTGTTGTACCTGATGGACAGTCAGCATCTCTTGGAGACTGGAGTAATTTTCATCTTTTTTGGAGATGAATTGCTCCTCAAGCTTCGTCTGGATAGACGTCAGGTTCTTACACTTTTCCTGAAAGCTCTGAGAATGCTGATGCTCAGCCTGCAGCTCTCTGGAGAGAAAAAAATACTTTAAAAATGCACACATCCACTGTATTCTATCAGAAAAGAAGGCACAATCTTTCATTATAATTGTTTATTATTTAGAATGTCAGTAGAAAATAAAACTATACATTGATGTTACAGCTCTAACATTTTGTACTCCTCATCTTGAAGGAGTGGTTACGCGTTTTCAAGTCATTACAGCCTTGCACATCTTGTAAATGCATAATAGCACACATTCTGCACAAAGCCAGAATAACTTAAGGTCGCCAACAAAAAAAAAAAATGGCTATATCTCTTTTTTTAGCAAAATGTTCTGTGAACCTTCAAAAAGCAACAATGAGGAAATACACAACACAATTGCACAGTATGGATTTTTATTTGTGCATCTTTTTGAATTGAACTTTCTCACCTGTTCATGTCAGACAAGCGAGTCATGCTTTCAACCCATTGCCTGCTGAGCATGTGCAGTCTTTCTGTGTAATTTTTGTTAAGGGTCACGTAGCCACTCATCTCCCTGACATCAAACAGTGACGGAAACAGATCACTGAGCTCCAAGAGAACCTGCTGCACAAGACAAAAAAAACATGGCACATTTTCAAATTGCTTTAGATCAGGGGTTTTTATCCTGCGCCCCCTTAACACCCCACACAGACTCACACCTATAAGACTCAACATTCTGATCCTCTGGAATATCAATACTGATAAAAGTAAATGATAAAATTTGGTATTAATGGATTTTGTCGCTCCTATTACTATTAATGTCTTACTTGTATTTGGGGCATAATCATGCTCTAAATTTAGGAACTACAGCTCCCATAATTTAGGAGGTTTTGCGAGATGTAGACAGGAAGTGTAATGTTGCCATGGTAGTCACTGAGTTAGCTGTGGGGTATACGGTACAACTTGAGACCTGTTTTTTGGCCTATATGTATTTACATTTTGACAAATTGGCACCATAAAAAGTAGGGTGAATTAGCTTTTAGCAGTTCCTGTTTGCAGTGCCCCCATGTATGTACAGACATTACTGGATTACTTTGATACTGAAGAAAACCAAAAAACTATTATTTTGCGGCAAGTTCTGAAGTCTGCTTCTATTATTTCAAAGTGGAAACGCATGCTTCACGTCTCTCAATCTGTGCCACCCTTCAACTGTCCTTCATGGTTTGAAAATCTCTGCTTTAGATTTAAAGATAAATCTAATCCAAGATAAATAGCACAGAAGGAACATACAGAAAAAGTTAATTCATGGGAAATAATAGGGATTCTGACCAACCTCCACAGACTCTGTGTGATTCAAGCTGGCCTTGAGTTTAAGCTGGTTGCTACGCTTTTCAAGAGCCTCCAGTTGAGCATGAAATTGTTTCTGTTGTTTCAAATCCTCCTGGACACAGAAATGTGATCATGTTATTATCATCCTGGATTTGTGAAATATGAACGTTAAAATTTATGGAAACTTGTCTCCATTCATTAGGCACTTAATAGATTCAGTTTTGATGATAGATAGCTTTTTGTTATGTTATTTTCTGCTATTGTTAAATTAAGGTGATATTGTGACTTATTTCCTCACCTGAAGACTTTTCTTTTTTCTTGACATTGCCTGGCTCAACAGCAGGACATCACGTGACAGCAGTCTGGTCTCTGATTGGATTAAATTTGCGGCCAGTGGTTCTAGACGGCCAATAAGAGGCTTGGAAGCTGCGAGAACATCTCCCACTCTGGTTTGCAAATCCTTAGCAGCATCCTGCAACTTCTGGCATTAATGAGTGAGACAGAAAAAATACAGTTAGATGAAGGAATGTTTTAATTGGACCTTTAATTGAGTTTAATAATTTAGTATTTACTTTTTCATTTTACTTTCCATCAATGCACTTTAAAAAACTAAAAGGTCACAACACAGTAGCTGCATTTGGAAATGGAACAGAAATCTTCTGTTTTGAACAAATAGTGGAACACTTTCAGTGCATTTTTGATGGAATGAGAAAAAAAGACATGAAGGGAGGCTCTAAGACTTTTTTTGCATGAATATGCAAAACAACACTTAATGCAGCATCTAGACTACGCTGGTACAAGAACAAGAGAGACTATTACTGATAATTCTGCCTAATAGTACATGTTGTCTGCTCCTTTCTGAGAATAGGAGGCCTGCCATTGAAAAAACACGATGTGTAGGTAATGCATAGCCTCTCTGAATCAGCTGGGAATTGACAATTCTATGAAACTGCATTACCGTTTAAAAAACAAGTCAACAGTCTAATACGCATGTTATCCAGCTGGTTCTGTCACCTCTATTAGAAAAGCTTAAAATACATCAAAATCACAAGTAAACAAGTCGGTGTTGCTGACATGAATGTATAAATACGTGGTACAATGTCCTGTTGATATATGTGGATGTTTTAAACTAACAACACTGCATTTCAAAAGGCTGTAAAAGCTGTGATCAGTGTTATTTATTTATTTATTTTTTTACATGTTATCTGTTCATTATTATCATTATCAGCTGATCAACAATCACTGGATTTTGGTGTACACAACTACACTAGATTGCATATTCAAACTCTGCTGAAAGCACCCTGCACTCACCTCCACTGAGTGAACCACGGCCTGAGTGTCCTGTTGAGATGAAGCTCTCGACAGCCCCTCACACTGATGCGACAGGTTTTGGAGGTGAAGGGAGCATTGATCAGAGAGGTGAATGTACTCCTGCCAGAGGGAAAGTGTCTCGCCGGTCTTCATGTGCTCATCTTTTAGCTCCTGCACCACGTCCTGCCACCTGACATGAACACAATACATGTACTTTATAACTAACATATAGCTCTATAATGTATGTACGTTAAAGCTACAATTGTCTGATTAAGGTGTAGTGTATGGTGTTATTGGCATTTTTAAAATGAAAATGACAGTGTGTGAAATCTGAATACATGATAGAAAGATGGATAAAGATCCATAAATCTACTGTATGTTTCTGTGAGTAAGTAAGTACAATAACAGCAGAATGGAACGGACATAATCGGAGCTTGGTACTCTTATCTCAACAACTACATAAATCACCTCTTCAGTTTTAGAAGAGCACACAATACCGGTATATGCATTTAAGATAACATTGTCACTAGTTTTACTCTCCTGATGTACCCATTTCTGGGGGAAAAGATATCTTACAATGGTAGCAGTAATATATTTTTAGATAACAGATATTATGTATACATGCTATCATCTGACACCGTGTATTTCCAAAACTTCAACATATCATGAGCTAAGTAAACAGCCCTGTTTGTAGCTTTGTGAAATGCATCAACTGCATTCAATGTTTTTCACTCCACCTGAAATACTAAAACTGTGATTTTTAAACTTTTTTTTTTGGTCTTGAATTTGATCCACTGATTCCATTTTGGAAATGTCAGGTCACTGACCGTTTTCGCTCTTCTTCCATTTGATCCTCCAGTGCCTGTGCTGTTCCATGATGAAGAGTCTTCACTAGACTCTGATAGGATTTGTCCAAGGATGCCCAAAGCTGCTCCCCTTTTCTGACCTTCTCCTGGAGTTGCTGTGCACAAAAAACACTTTCACTTCAGAGGTGCATTTACTTCCCCAAAACCTAAGTGTAGTGACTAGCAAGTACTGTCATTGCTTGTCATACACACCATCTGTCAAAACAGAATTCATACAGCTACAACTCAGTAACAAAAAACCCTTCATTTTACTTGTCTAAAGTGTAGCTTAAAAGCTGTCAAGCAAGTTGATCCAAAATCTAAAAGGCTTAAGGGGTTGAAGCAGCAACATTTCTGTAATTAATGTGATCATCATTGTTATGATATACGTGATTATTGCAGCTGTAAAGCGTTCATGTGCACATGTGTACAAGATGGATGGTCAGTGCTTTTGTTCACCTGGAGAAGGTCCTTGTATCCTTCTGCCTGCTTCAGTGAGAACAGCGGCTGATACTGTAGAGCACAACGCAACCTAGTGGTGCAGAGAAACCTCCCTCAGATCGCTGTCAAAACAACTCCACTCCTCCACAGTCTGTTGTAGAGCTGGTCTCAGAGATTCCATCTGCAATTTACCATAAAGGAAGACAGAATGCTGTTTGGTAATGCTCCGTCTTGTTACTTTCAAATATTTGGGGACTACAGTTGAGTAAGAGGGCATTAATGGTTTGTACCTATCATGAAGAGCTACACATATAACAAATAGCATATTTGCTGATTTGAGTGATTAATTGATTTTGCTGACTTGTAGCATATGCTTTTTATGTGTAATCAATTTTGTGTTACTTTTACCAAAATAATATATATATATATATATTTTTTATTTTTTTTTTTTTACCTGTTGACAGAGATCTCCACAAGCATGACAAATACTCTCTGTCTGGCCAGAGAAGGAGATATCACAAGGGTGATCCTCTTCCTTTTCAACATGCACTCGAGGGGCTTTCAACTCCTGCAAAGCTGCAGCCTCCTCCTTTCCTTTTCCCACAACAGCCTGGAAGAAAACCAGAGCAGTCAAAGATCAGAGGACAGCAGCAAGAGAGACGGTTCAAATGTGCACCTGCTTACATCCTGTTAGTTTACCTCCAACTCCAGTAGAGCCTTACGAGCCACAGTTCGACTGGTGGGCTGTCTCCACTGATTCAGCTGCTTTTTCTGCTGTTCTATCCAGCCGTTAAGACGATGTAACTGCCTCTCTCTGTCTGTACAAGTGTGATGTATCTGTTCAACTTCACAAATCTGAAGGGGACAAAACAAACAGTGGCTGATTCATGTGTAGAAATAAAAGTCAGAAAAGTTATTTATTTTTAGACAATTTGAAGAGTCACATAGTGCAAGTTTTTTCTATTGTTGTGGGCATAAATTGAATTATGTTTATGGTCTGACTAATGGGTTCCACTGACTATATAAACCATCAGTCTATATTTGTGCTGATAAAACAGTTTTGACAAAACATTAAAATACTTCCGCTGGATTATTTGTCAATATAACTTACATCCATTTCACACATTAGCAGGCTAGCATAGCCCAAAACAAATCCTTTTCCTGTTTGTATACAACTGCTAGCTTATCCTAGATATGATATCTAGGTGATATCTAAAATATTAGACCAGAAAATAAAGAGAAGGTTACATTCGGATCATTTAATTTCAGCTTCTACAGGTTGTGGTCTTTTACTGTATATTGGCAGCTGAAGAACAGACCTGGCTCTCCAGCTCTCTCTGAAGGTGCAGCCACTGTAGTCTGACGGCGCCTAGTTTCTCGGCAAACATTGTACGTTCGGAGCAGAGAACCTGGGCGTCCACTCCCAACACCTGAGGCCCAGACTGGCACAGGAAATCAAGAAGGAGCTGCCCATTGATCATCCCTGCCTTTAACTCCTGAGAAAGAACATTACATAGACAGAAATCAATTAAAAACACTTAAAGGAAAAAGATTTATAGTTATCATATATTTGCATACATGAAAAATCCGTATATGTCATCCACCTCTAAGATCATGGAGGTACCACTGACTTTGTTCTGACTCAATGCCTGACCAGAAACATATTCCATTATAATATGCGCATTTCCCTACTGTTCTTAGTGCCATAAAGCTGTTAATAAATATTTGCTTTCTTTTGCCTTTCAAATATTTATTTGAAACAATTCTGTCAAAATTATACTACTACTACTCCATCTTTCATTTATGTTTCCTTCCTTGTATGGTTGGCTGATTTATCTTGTAGAATATCGTGACTGCAGAAAATGTTAGGTCTGCGAGGGGAAGGGATGCTGAAACCCAGTGCTTATTAACTCAGTGTCATGCAATTTTCTCTAAATCACTGAAATGAACATTCTAATATAGCCACTCTTGAAAGAGATGCACAGTGGGTATATAGGTACCTGGTAGTGCTGCAAGATTTCAGTGATCTGAGCAGCATCTTTGGCCTTGAGGACTGTTTTTTCTCTTGGCTCAGTCGAGCCTCCAGCTTCTTCAGCCAGTCCTCTAGGTCAGACAGCAGCTTCACCGGTGGCCATGCTACCAGCAGCCGCTAACGGACACATGACAACAGAGGAGAAAGGGATTTTATCTTTACATGAACACTTGAACCTTTCTTAAAAATGTTGTACTTATCCAGTTAGATAGTTATACAGTAAACAGTTCTATTACAACTGATTTTTGTGCCTGTCCAAATTATTTAACAAAAAATCTAATTTATTATATTATTTAAAAAATGTATAATGTTTGGTAGGTAGGATATTTTCATCATCTCCTGAAGTGACTGCCAAAGTGTAAGAAATCTAAATGAACCTTCTGCAAGCTAAACTTGGCAAGACTGGTGTAATTACTATAATCTAGAATATCTGGTTTCATTCACTGGTGATAAATGATGAGGAAAAATTAAAAGTGTCCTTCACCTCCTTTCTAAGTCCTCCCAAATTCCCTGTCCTCAATCACCCCAAAACTGATTTCAACAGGGTTTACACTCCCCTTCAGGAGGGGATTTCTCAATGCCTAATTATTTTTGAAAACTAACAGCATGTCCATGGTACTTGGACCATTGCATTTTAATTAATTGAAGGACTAGAATATAGTGATGTTCAAGATTTATAGGACATTGGGTCCAAAATTTGGAAAAACTGAGTGAATATGCGAGATCACTGCATTTATTTCAGGTAATTATATGACAGCGTAACAATTCATGTTACATTGAGTTTTTTTCTCCAGCAGAGGGTGAAACCCTTGTGAATACTGTACCTGCTGCAGCTGGTCTTGTATCTTGGACAGATCAGAGGTCAGCTGGCTCCAGTTGACCTCCATCTTGGCGAGCTGAGCTCTTAGCCTGGGACAATCAGCTTCCCTCAGGCGGAGCACCTGAGTGGCTTCCCTGGATACAGATGTCCTTGGCTTTGACATGGCTTTAAGCTCCATGGAGAAGTCCTGGGTGGGTGTGGCGTCAGAAAACATGTCCATCAGTGTCAATTTCAGTGTCAACCCATGCATCCTTAGATAAAGAGAGCGGCTGGTAAAGCCTGTAACGACTCTGTTTAAATAGCTCTACTCGTCAACATTTAGATCCTGATCTGCTACTAATATCAGTGTTGACAGTGTGTTGTTGTTTTGTAGCATATTGTTTAGTGGGCCTACAAGCTACATTGTTTTAACATTACGTTTTGTTACTTTCACCTGCAGATTGGTGCTGCTCTAAAAGGATTCAAAACCCCAAAATGACAGAGAAAATTTGTTTTTTTTCACCCTGGGTGAAAAAGCCATAGTTGTCAATAGTCCTTCTCTATGTAAGATTATATAAATGTGCTGAGTAGACAAAAAAGCCATACCAGCAGCTTGATAAGATTGTTGTTAATCGATTCCTCGTTTAGGTCAGGGGTGTCAGCCAGGTTTGACCAAGTCTTCAAACGTTTGTTGGCACCAACCAGCCATTCACTAACTGATGCAAAGTCAGTCTGGAATCTGTGGGGAGGGTGAAAAAAACAGATAGCTCATCCAGTGGTGCAGAACATGACTGCTCCTTAACTAAAAGGGAGTTAAGGACGTAGGCAGGAGTTCAATACTGCTGAACAACATTAACCCATGTGAGAAAAGAGATTGTTACTGTAAACTGATGATTTTTAGGATCGATGAATTTAGGAATTAATCCAACAAATCAATACAAGACTTCTTCACAGTGCAAACCCCAAATAAGACACAGTATGCCCATGAGATAACATTTCATCCTAGATGCCGAAGTGATTTTATTCTGGAGTAATCAATAACTTTGGCACAATATTTTTACTCAGACAATAACATTGTCTAACTGCTCAGGTAATAATTAAAACTGCCTGGCCTACACTGATAGATAAAATGTCTTCTAGATCGTTATTTTTTTTTTTTTTCAACATAAGTTGGCAGATGGTATTTTTGAGCCTGTCCCACCTGGCCTGGCTGTCCCGCATATCTCTGCAGCGTTGAATCTCCTGCTCTGTTCGCCTGTAGGCCCTCTGCCATCGCAGCTCCAGGGCGCCTCCTGCATGACTGACTGTGGCAGCAAACCCTGGATCCGTCTGCAGCACCTTCCCCTGATCCAGGAGCAGTCGTAAAGCAACTCTGCTCTCATCCAGCTGGACCAATGTTTGCTATGTGACAAGGAGAAGCAACAGTGCTTACGCTGAGTTTACATCAAGCTCCATGAGATTTTCTTGACAAGCCAATTTCACACAGAGACAGCATGAACCAACTGTTATGCAAAGTAGAGAAAATGGTGGGTTAAGGAGCATGATTGTGTGAAATGTGAAATGGCAGGGGATGACAGAAAGGTGAAAAGAATGATAGAAGTGAAAATGATAGAAGATAGCAGCAGATAAGAAACATAAGGGAAAGAATAAAATACAAGAAAAACAACCCAACTTCCACTATATATGACTGATCTTTGCCGCTCCTTTTGTCTCTACAAACAAATGTCTTTGTCTCCACCAATCTGACCCATACCATCTGAGAATATATACAGTAAATATGAGAAGAATTTAACAGAGATAAAGTGGTCTAAAAAACATCTGCTTCCCCGATGTGATGTCTGGCAGCGACAGAGAAATTGTAACTTGTAAAGAGGCCAAAAGCTGTAGGATTCATGACCAGACCTCTATCAATCAACAGGGTTTTTACCTGGCAGGCATCTTGTCGGTGCTGAATCACCTTCTCGTCATCTCCTTCTGGTTCCCCACTGCTGATGAAGGCTTCAAGATCATCCAGCAGCTTGCTCAGTCGACCACAATTATCCTCCCACCGGGTCCACTCCTGCAGCAGGTCCAACCATAAACCCACACATCAATTTTAACATTTAGTTTGTGAGTACAAACACTGTTCATGTATTAATTCATATGGCCCTCAGCAAATGTGCATGACAAACCTGGATCCTCCTTTGACAAGCTACTTCCTGTTCCAGAGCCTGTTGCTGCAAAGCTTTAGCTCTGACTTCCAACTGTACCCGCTCATCCTCTTGACACCTGAGCGCTTCTGGCTCACGTTGGAACAGATGCTGCACAAAAGCCAACTGAGACCTGAGGACCTGTAGGAGCTTCTGGATCACCAAGAGAACAGATTTATGATAGAAGTGAAGTGAAATAATTGCAAAGTACGCCTGATAAATGAGACAAGAGAAGCGATAACAGACAATGAATGTGACTGAGGTCTAAATATCTTTGTGTTAAGTCTGATCATTAGTTGTTTGAGGTTGTTTTAAGACAGCAGCATCAAGAGGATTCTACACACTCTTAAGAAAGTGCCTGGTTTAAATCTGGTCTTTGCCTGCCTGTTGAAGAACTTGTTGAAAGCACAGTCAGATACCTTGTGTCTGCAGAGAACGGCTTGAAGTTGGCTGTGGTTGTGAAACTGGCTCATCTGCCCTTCTGTTATGCATTCTTCACCCAGTTCGAGGAGACGAGTTATCCCCTGAAGCAAGGACTGGGAAGCTTGCTGTAGCTTGGCTGTTCCCCCTGGAATCTCCCTCAGATGTCTGCCCAGCACACACTGCTGAGAGATGCAGGAAAAGTACAAAGTTTAAGGAAAATACTATTAACTTTTGAAACACTGATCCTGTGACCCCCTACTTTCATATTAGTCTGTATTATAGTATATAAATTGGTGGTTTCTTTTTATGCTAAGGGTGTAGTCAAAGTCATTTTAGTGGGTATTATTTGTTATTTATGTAGAAAAACTGAAATGATAGCCATTAATTATGGCACCCACCACATCAGGACAATACATTTTAAATTCAAATTAGTCTTTATCCATGAGTCAAATGATAATGTAGCAGTTAGAGCCTTCAAGGGTCAAAATTTCTGCTATTTGAAAAAAGCTCTTAAATTAGCCCCCCCCCCCACACACACACAGGTTACCTCCAAATTGGGAGCATCCTTTATGCGGGGGAACGTCTCACTTGGTCCCAGCTCAAACTCATCCAAAATACAAAGCTGGTTGGAGGAGGGCTCCTGTGTGTTGTTTAAGAACAGTGGTGGAAGAAGCATTCAGCTCCTTTACTTAAGTAAAAGTACCAATAAGTATAAAAACACTGTAATACAAGTAAAAGTGCTACAATCTAAAATGTAAATAAATATTATCACCAAAATATACATAAATTAACAAAGTAATAGTTGTCATTGCTGCAGAATTGCTCCCGTCACTTTTATATTGTGTTATATAATAAATATTTTTAGTTGTAGCTGGTCGACATGGAGCTTAATATAATGACTTTCCATGCTGGTGTTAGGGGTAATCTATAGCAATGCATTATATTCCATTAACTTAGTATATGTCTTGTGTGAATAATATTTCTGCACATGTGCAGATTGCACATATTTGTTGTAATTGTTTTACACATTACACATTTATGTACACAATATTCTCTTCTGTTGCGATACATCTGTACAACACGAATCGGAGTAACGCACGTGTAAATATCTGCCACATTGTTCTTTCTCTGCAAATAGTTGTATTATTTTTTTCTCTATTTTTAATTATTCTTATACAACTTGCATTTGTTTATTCCATATTTATATATTTCTACATTTATTTATGTAGACTGTATGTTTGTCTATCTTTGTGTAGCACCTTAACACCAAAGCAAATTATAATAATAACTAATCATGTTGTAAGCCAAAAAACCCAAATTTCCGCCCACATCTTTTTTTGGGTTCCTTACAAGTTGAAATTTTGTAATTTTACATCATTAAATCACATTGTGGTCACGTGACAGTGGAGATGTGCATCTTTAATGTCTTCCAACTGTTTCAGATCCAAATAGTAAAATGTATATGGTTAATGGTAATTATCACTTGAGTCTGTGAAAAACTATAACTATAAAAAAAATATTCCTGGAATATACTGAACTCTGTGAGTAATTTGTATTCAAACCTGATGTTGGTATGTGATGCCAAAATGTTCAATGAGCTGTTTGTGGGATGAGCTAAAGACCAGCTGGACTGTGTGTAGGCAATCCTGAAGGGAAGTCAAACAGCAGAGAGCTTCTGGTTCTTTCTTCGAAAGTGCAGGCCTAGTCTCTGACTCCACTTTACTCAACAGCTCAGCCAGAGTCACCAGCTCAGTTGATACACACTACGCAGAAATGTAAACAGATACAAAAAAACGCAAAAACAGAAGAGTGCTTTTAGAATGAATAGGGGATCTACATATAAAGAAAAGGCACAAAGAAATTAATACACATATCCATATTGTTTGGTCAAAGAAGTTAAGAGGTGGAAAAATTCATTCTGTTTTCATAAGTCTGCATGCACCCATTTTTTTTTTATTTTAAGTAGATTTTACATAAAACAGAGCTATCATGTGTGTCTTTGAGTAGCATTATGTCAGTCACCTCCTGCTGTAGCAGCCTTAGCTGGGGGGCATCTTCACCAGCACCACCAGGAGTCAACAGAAGGTCAGTCAAAAGCATCCAGACAGAGGAGGACCCTCTGTACACCCCTGTACAACTCCTCATTTCCACCTGGATGTGAATCATCTGCAGAGGTCACCTGGGAAATAACCAAATGCATAGTGGTCACTCAATGCAATGTTTGCCATGGTAAAGAAACATCTGATTTTAGGAACATCTAGGTTCTTGCTTCATTTAAATTGGCATTTACAGAAGAACCAACTACTGCTGAAAGGATAAAGCAAGTTTTTTTCTTAAATGATAAAATGGAAAACTGAAACATTTCATAAAGATAATTTCACAAATCATCATCTTAATATAATTTCTAGCAAATACATCCTTTTAAATGAAAATGCTTACACAGACCCATGTTTATTGATCATTTGTGGGACAATTTATCCAAAACAGTGTATTATTTAAAAGAGTGAACAATCTCTGCGTCTACCGACAAGTCCTTTTGACTAGGAAGACACCTGTATTCTTTAACCTCTGTTACAACTGTACATACTATGTGTCTCAGCATGGTGACGGACTCATGTGTCCGCTGGAGAACAGCAGAAGTAGAACCAGTTAATATCAGCTCCATTTCTGGAACCTAAAGGAAAACGGACATAAGTAGTTTAGGTTTCACTGTGAGTGATGAAAAAAAAAAAGATGCATGTAGGGAATGACTGGACAGAAAGCAGAAATGAAATGAAAATGACTCCTGCATTCAATTATTTTCATATCAGGACAAATACATTCTCACTTGTATTTCTTTTGACATAAGGACAATCAAAATTTTTCTTCCTGTGTAAAAAAATATTTTAGTGGATATCACTTACCTGCAGGCACACATAAAAATTGCAAACAATAATTTATTTTGGTATAATCTTTCAAGGTTCGTGCCATCTGTCCCTCTTATTAATGTATGTCAAAGTAAAGACTTAATAACTCCTAAAGTGAAAAGGAGTGTCAGCATACAGGGACAAAATCCTCCTCATTTACTACAGTACATGTTTACCAAAGGTTTAACCACCTGTTGCACTAGAAACAGATGTAACGGAGAGATGGTAGCGTAGCATCCAATTCTTAGAGAACATTTTACTTTTATCTATTGTGGTCTCATCTCACCCCCCCCTCATCACGACTATTCCAAGGCTCAACTTAAAAAAACAACAACAAAACACCAAAATCTGAATCAACCTGTCTTGACCCTCCAAAGATTCAGAAACAATCCTTTTCTGTATTTTCCGACCTTTTCATGGGTCCCTCCATCGTCTGAGCTGATCAGGGTTTCATGCTCCTCCTTAACTTTATTCAAAGTGGTCAGTTTATGAGAGATCTGGGTATAAAGTTGTCTCCACCTTTGCTGCTCCCCATCTTCTTCATGTCCAGCCAAGCTAGGGACCAAAGGGAACACACAATATGCCTGAGACTACGGTATGCTATGTCCATGTGAGTTGTAAATCATCTATTCTGATGAATGGCACTCTTCCTACCTGATCGGCAGCTTAGACGACTGAGATTCTTCCGCCAAACTACCACGACTGTCTTCACTTTGCTCATTCAACATATTTAATGTGTCCTGGACATTGAAAAACACAAACAAATAAATTAATTGCAATATTCTCACTGTTTTTATTGTATATTATGTGAATGTCACATATGAGAAACATCACATTTGTCACAATTCATGTTTTAAATCAGTGTTAATTTAACGCCAAACATAAAAACAATCAAGCTTTTATTGTTCTCCTCAGTTAAATCTGGATGTCACACATTTCTAGGAGAAGTTAGATAATTATTTTAAAGGGTGTCTCTTTTCTTTCTCAGACACTTACCAAATCTTGATGGAGAGCAGTGGATAAAGATAGATTTCCATCTCCCTCTTCTGTAAACTCATCTGATGCTCTGATGGAAGTGAAAGGTGTTATAGGTCTAGCAGGAATCAGTCTTGTGTCTTCCACTGGAGCTGCTGCCTGAAAGGACTTCTTTGTATGAGGGGCGGTGACAAGGGTTTCATGCTTTGGTGACCCATGTTGGTCCAGTGTAGCAACAGCAATTGACTTGTTTTCTGCTGCTGGAATGGCTGCAGCGATTAGTGTTTCAGGGCTAAATGCTTTGCCAACATCAGCTTTGGAATCCATTGTTATTAATCCCGTTTCAACTGGATCATTTTCTGACTCAGACTCTTTTGTATCAAGCCCAGACTCCATAGATAAAAACCCAGTTTCAGCACCTTTTGTGCTCATCTCCACTTCAGAAGAAAACTGACTTGCCAAACTCTTCAGTGCCTGAAAGATGAATACGATAATTTAAGGTTTAACTAAAAATTTATCAGTCTCTGTCATAGTCATTGAATAAAGACAATAAAACGAGAATACAAAATATATTACAATTTGTCATTATCATGGTTACTGTCATATTAATTTATCTGAATGTGTGTGTACTTCAACCACGAGGAAATAAATACACTAATAAGAGACTTTTAAAAAACACTGTAAAAAAAAAACTAAAGTTAAGGATTCAAAACAAAATGTGCTAAATGTTGAAAGTGCTCATCAAAAAAAAACCAATCTCTGAAATGAAAAATATTATTTACCTTAACTTCTGATAGTGGCTTAATTTCATCAATATCCTCTCGTTGCGCATCTGAAGCATTGAGTGTCTCCTCTGGGTCCTAACACATGAATCATATAAATGTAAAAATGCAAATGGAATACATGCGCACACACATACATGTCATTGTGTGTAGGCTTGTTTTTATATATTCGTGGGGTCCAAAAACCAGGAGCCCCCAGGAGCCCAAAATGAGGGACCTCACAAATTTAAAAGTTGTTTAAGGGTTAAGACTTAGTTTTAGGGTTAGAACTGAGTTAGTGGAAGGGTAAAGGTTAGGCACTTAGTTGTAATGGTTAAAGCTAAAGTTAGGGTCTAGTGAATGAGGGGACCCCACGAAGATAGTGACACAATGACACAAGAGTGTGTGTGTGTGTGTGTGTGTGTGTGTGTGTGTGTGTGTGTGTGTGTTTTTCAGAGGAGCAACATATTTCAAGCAGCTGCTTCTGACAGTGCCAGAAGTGGCTTCATCGGGTAACAGGACACAGCTTGCTTATAAACATGCATAAATCTGCTAAACCCCTCCACACCGCCAGAAAAAGATGCAACATTATAAGGATGAAAACTTTTTAATGAATCAAAATATGAATAAAAAGGAGGGAAAATACAAGAAGGAGCCCAAGAAATTTTGAGTTTCATTCCAATACAAACTCTGTGTATTTTGGAAAGTCTGTCATGTATCTCTGTGTGACAGGTTAAAAAGGTATAATATGTAACATCTGCGCATTAAAATGTCTAAAAACGACGAGACCTGTGTTACATATTTTGTTGATTTTCCAAAATGTTTTCAACTCTGTGAAACCCATATTACTTCGTTGGTGAACATGATTTCTGCCTGTTAGGTATTTTAATCAACAATGGTGGTTGTTATGTGAGAGACCCCTAGCGGCATAAATGACACATCATGAGTTTAAATTAAGTGATTTCTAATAGTAAAGTTTTAATGACAGCCGTTAAGTGTGACATATTAGAATGAAACCCAAAATGAAAGGAGGTAGCCAGAAACATGCTCTCCTGAGCTCCTGTGCTCTTTTTTCAGATTTACCTCTGGAATACTGCATGTTAGTGTGTCAGAGGACGACGAGTGACAACTCTCGTTTTCCTCATCCTCCTCTTCCTCTGAATTAGACACCTCAAAATCCTCCTGATTTTAGTGATAAAGGTGAGTGATACAATCAAAGATGTGATTTAAAGGAAATGGAACAAATAACAGTCTAACGCCTTCCTCAGTTATATTAAATATAACTTTCCCGTAATGTAATTTTCAAGAAAAGTGTTTTAAATTTTTTTATTTCTTTTCAGAAGATTCATAATAAAAACAAAAAAAAATTTACCCAGGAAAAAACTAAAGTTTCAATTGCTATGTGCAGGCTTAAAGTAAATCTAAATGTTATTCTACAGACACACAAAAGATATGCTAACTGAAATAAGTCCAGATGATTGTTCTGAGCTGCATGCAACAGATACAATATGCAGTTTTCACCTTTCAAAATTTGGCAACCAGTGGGAATCTTGGACTTGGTGACTGTCACTTTCCCCAAACAGTTCAATAAAAAAAGTATTAAATGATTTAAAGGTTCAGTGTGTAATATTTCTGAGAATACATTGACAGAAATGCAATATTATATCTATAACTATGTTTTCAGTCGTGTATAAAGACCTTACATAATGAACCATTATGTTTTTATTACCTTAGAATGAGCCATTTATATCTACATAACCGCAGGCACCCCCTTCAATGGAGGTCGCTGTATTTTGTCGTCATGTTTCTACCATAGCCAAAAACGGACAAACAGCGCTACAGAGTGCGTTTCGTCATCACGGCGTTCTTCTTCTTGTATAATTCCGGCAGTGTCGACACCGTCACTACATTAAATGCGTCCATAGAAGAAGAGGAAATAATAATAATAATAATAATAATAAACAGTCTGAGTAGTCCTCTCGTTTATTAGAAGTAAGAAGAGAAGTGACATTTGGACAAATGAATGAGCAGACACGTTATTTAGCACTAGAGCAAACAGCCTGTGGATCTTTATACCATGAAGCAAGAGGATTCGGGACAGATGCAGACAGCTGACCGCAAAAAATCAGGTATATAATCTGTGTGGATTTTCCCAGATAGAAGGCTTTGATGTGGGACTGATGTTTTCAAAGCAGAGCTGAAGTTTTCTGATGGACAGGTAATTAAGTTTGTCGGAATTGTGTAAAATATGCGCTCTGTTATGGCTTTGCTGCATGGACAGAAATGTGCCCATACCTTCCTCAGACAAACCGCCGATGAATATTATTGGCAATAAAACGGTAACAGCAGCTAAACTTCTGTTGAATACTGCCCTGGTGGAAAACATGTATTTATTTTACTGCTAATAGGCACACGGTCATGTTATTTGTCACTATCAAGTGACCAATAATGAATACTTTCAGAATTTGCACAAGCCGAAATTAAGGCTGTCAGTACTACTTTGTGTTTCTGTTGTATTTTTAAAAAAAATTAAAAAAAACATTTTGGGAAGATTTGCAGAAGCAAAGTCAGAGGAGCCTTGATCCTCACCTGACAATGCTTTTGTAAACTTCATGTATTATGTGGTTTATAATGGACTGTGCTGAGGCTTCCATTTTCCTGTTATCTGTCAGTGGCCATATTTAATGCACTAGATGTGATAGTGTTTCTGAGATGTCATTTTCTTTGGTATGTTAGTCCAGATGAGCCAACCCTCCCAAGTTGTAAAATATTGTATTACAAGAGTATGAGACATCCTGTAGCACTTACTTTCTTGATGTGGCTGTTGTTTATTAATGAACAAATAACAATAATATTCATATTTTTACTTAATAATTAGATATATTAAGAAATTATATTTACTTATCTAAAGAAACCTCATTTTTTGACTGGCATCTTTCTGCAATCTCACAGAGAACATCTTTTGTCCTGTCTCAGGCACCGGAGCTATACAACTCGCTTGGATAGGGGAGTGGGGTGCAATTCCCAACCCTCACCACTAGATGCCACTAAAACTTATACACTGAACCTTTAAGAGGCTGAGTTTTATTGATTTAATTCAAAGATATGTCCAACTCTTAAAATAAAAAACATAAAACAAACATATCACTGTTGTTATTGTTTCAGCTAGTGATGAATTCTACCTTATTATTATTTTGATTTTTATTACCTTGAAGTATCTTTGTGGAGATCCGTCTAGCTGCTGTATTTCTTCAGGGGTATCAGAGACTGTAGTGATGCAAAGATCCTCCTCCCTAATCTTGTTCTATGTAAAGAGCCAAGAGCAACAGAGCGAAACAGGGAGAGAATGTGATAAGAGACAAAAGTTAATGATAAACATATTCAAGGTTGTACCGCAGAATATTGGGTTTGTTTGTGCCAAAGGCTGAAACAACTGAGACTCAGCAAACCGGTTCCATTAAAAAAAGATAAAGAGCAACCTTGAGTGTGTTTTGTAGAGAAAAATTACATAAAAACTGTTGGCCTACGTTCCCTGTTGCTAACAAGAAACATCCTTGATTTAATTCACTGTTCAATGAAGTTATACCTGCACAACAAGTACAGTCATTGTAAGTATTCATGAAACAGCTTTTGTCGAATATCTCTACTCTACTCTTCCAGAGTAACAGATTAAATCAATACTTATACATAAGTGCAGTGGCACTTTATGCTGTACCTCCAGCATCGTGGCTTGTTGCTGGGTGAGCTGTTCCAGTTCCTCGAGGGGCTGCAGGAGTTGTCTGGCTCTGGAAAATATTAGTAGACTCTCCTGTGCTCCCTGTGGGAGGTGAAGCTCTTTTTTGCATCTCTCCACCTCCTCCAATGTCCTCCGCATCAACTGCATGTTGGCCAGTATCACCTTCCAGTTGAAACAGACAAACTGGTTAAACTATAAAACTTTTAAATTTTTTTGTCTTGTGAATAACTTAGATCTATATACCAGTTGCACTTTTATGATCCCGGGGGACTAAAAAGATACAGATAAAAAAATTATTCAACAGAGGCCGAGAAATCCTGACTTTTAGTTTAATTTTAGTTTAGAATGGCTAGCATGGTCAATCTCCAAAAATGCTGGTTCTTACAATGTTCCACTGTTTTCACAGGATGAGTATGACTCTGCATGACAAATAAACTGAGTGTCAGTTCATGTGTCATGATGTGTGGACAGATTTTCATTTTTAACACTGTCAAATCAGTACATATATAGAAAAAGAAGTGGTGGGATGTCACATTAATCTTTAGGAAGAACTGTATGCTTCCTTCCTTAATGAGGCAGTCCTACATCTAGAATACTTTTTAGTCTTAGGTGTTTCATATTTTTATCACTGGTTGCATGTGTGTCTTACTATTAAAAGTATTTGTGTGAAATTCATAATTAAGAATTACAAAGTCATTCTCTCACCTGTCGGTTGTGAAGATGCTCCGTCAGAGGTATGTTGGAGTTGTCCATGGAGGATAAAATTGCTTTGATCTTCAGGACATTCTTGTCCATGGCCTTAAGCTCTGCCTCTATTGCCTCCACCACCTGAAATGAAGATTGCCAGTAAATGTTTCAGCAACTTGACTTGTAATCTCATAATAAGTGTAATAAGTGTGGATGTTCACATAGAAGAACGTAACTGCACATGAAACTGTCTTGTTGATCGAAGGCAATGCACTTTCAGCCACTATATACCTGGTTCAATTCTGGCAAGGGATTTTTTTTGCATGCTTTCTTTCATGTTTCCTGTCATTCCTACTATTTACAGATGTATATGTCTGCCCAAAATCTCAAAATGCAGGCACCACACTATCCCATCCAGTTAATCTGTCAAAATGGAAGTCAGGTGTTCTGCACAAATGAAGTGGGAGGAACCAAAATATAGGGTGGGGACATATCAGTTTCCTCCCTCTGCCATTTAGGGTCACTAACAACCTGACATTTGAGGAATCCCTCTTTCTAAAAATCTTACTGCAACATCCTGCAGGAGCTGCTCCAGCGGCTCTAGGATCTTGTGTTGCATTTTTTGGACTTGTTGGTCATTCTGGTCCAGCCTCTCCACCTGGGTGCTGATGTCACACACAGCAGAGATATCCTCTAGGACTAGCCTGAAATCCTGCAGGGTGTGCCTGATCCTCTCAGAGTCATCCAGGACCAGCTGTAAATTATTGAAAGTGAAATTACTCCTCAATATGAAATCTCTGAAAATGCTTGTAAATACTCTGGCCAATACTAAATTATGTCTCTAATAATAATAATAATAGGATATATTAAATAAAACTATATTATAATGTTAGTGTTAAAATGCATACATACATGAATGAAATGAACAAATAAACTGTAAAAAAAAAAACATACAGGGTGTGCACAAATGACAGAATGATGGCAGTATCAATAAAAACGCATCACAGAAAATAAATGTTCTATTAAAACAAATGCCCAATACAAAACAGACAAATGTGAGAATATAGAGAAAAAAACATAACACATTATACATCAAACAATGTGAAATTAGTTATCATGGTTCTTCCCAGCTCTTTTGTGTTTGTTTGCTTGTTACTTGGTATCACTGACCTGCAGGGAGTTTGCATGATTCTGGAGGCTTCTGGCTGTTGTAAACGAGCAGGGAGCAGTGAGCCATGACTGGGCCTCATCTAACCAGCAGGTGGCGCTGTACAGAATATCTTCAAACTCCTGAAGACAGGCAGGGATCTGACAAAGTATAGAAAGTATAAAGAAGCAGAATAGAAGTTTTCTAAGAGATTTTTAGAAGCCTTTTCCACTTTGTACCTGTGATGTAGTCCATTTAAAAGATACACAATAAGCCAAACCATGGTTCCTGTTCCCTGCTGTTTGAGAGCTCACATCCCCACTTTTCTGTATTCAATACACTACAGTACCATGTTAATGTAACATAGTATGCCTGACCTTGCTGAGGAAGGCAGTACGTTGCTCGGCCATCTGTGCTGCGTTTTGGTAGAGCTGCAGTGGTTGGGTGAGTTGGTCCATGAGTAGGTGAGCTTGATCTGGATTCTCCTCCGCAAGATCCTGCACCTCGTTCTCCAGGAGCATCAAGCAGCTATGCCATGCATCCAGCTCATCCCACACATGCTGGAGAACAACCAATATAGGGCTTTAAGTCATACTGTAATCCTGGATTGTCATCAGCTCTTAGTAAACATTGGCAGCTAGGTCTTAACTGCTACACTGTCGTTTCTAGGCCGTTGGTCACCCTTCTTATAGCCTACATACATTTGCACAATAGCTAACGTAGCTAGTAGAGGCTACTGTTTGTGGTTGGCAGCGTTTTCATTCATTCATGACTAATATGGAAACATGTTCAAACTCGTGCATATCAGCAGGTTTATGTAACATGCACACACAGACTCACATACATAAACCAAGAAATACACACACCTTGAGTACATTTTGAGCTTCATTGACTGTTGGACTCCTTTTCTCCAGTAACGCTTTAACTTTCTCCAGGCCAGAACCCAACTCCACCACTTGATCAGCCAGCTTCTGAACAGGGTCGCTCTTCTTCATAAGTTGCAGAATAACCACACACACACACACATTTAGAACAATATAAGGATTTGCTAAGGAACAGTTCATGTGACACTGAGGATGGATTTCATTCCTGTTCCAGTTACCTTCTCCTGTTCTCTTTGTAGAGACAGCTGAACTTCTTGTAACCTTTTGCTGATATCAGCTGGTATCTCAGCATACTGGCTCTGCAGACTGTCCATGATACACTTTAGTTTGGTCTTCTGGGAGGACAAATCCCTACTGAGCTCCTGTCAGTGTGGAAATGAACAAGACAAAAAAATCAGAAGGACAGGAAACATGAAAGATAGACAGCAAGAAGGGGTCAAAAGTTTAGCTCTAAACCCCTTCTTTCAAAATTACTTCAACTTATTTTCTAGTTAAAGGTTGAACATAAGCTTACGGGTAGCCCCTCACAAGTTTAGTATGCTCTGTCTTTAAAAGAGAAGGATGACCTGCAGCAAACCATTTACAGAACTGCTGATTTTTCACAGAGACAGTTTAGACTTGAAAAGACCACAGTCTTGAATCGTATTATTGAAGCTACATGTCGTCTGTTGTCACACCTGACAAAAACAGGCCTATAAACACAATTTATATTTCTCACTGGCGCTGTAAAGGGCTTCTAAATAAACCCTGACATTAAACATCTCAAACACTACTGTAAACAATATACAGTAGTAAGTAAAATCAATTGGAAGGTACTCTTGAGTATTTGTCATTATTTTCCTCATGTATATATTATTATTATTATTATTACTTCAACTCTCTTATAAACCTCATGCTCAAATTTTCAAGCGTGGAATATAAAGCATAAAAAAAGAGCTTGACCTGTTGTTTGTATGGATTTGAACAGGCTTCCAGCAAGGGAAGAATGGCAAACACATGTTGCTCCACCTCTCCTATGTCCTCTTGGAGTTGCTGTCTCTTTTTCTCCTCTGCCTGGGCTGCAGCTACAACCAGCAGGTTTCTCTCTTTCAAGCTGTGGAGAACAGTATCTTCTCAGCATCTCTGACATAAATGAGTAATCACTTTTCACATGTATATTAAACAACTCCCACCTCCTGACATTCTCTTGGATCTTCACTAGTGTTTTGCCAATAGGTCCAGGGCTGATGGGATCCTGGGAACTAGATAGGCTCAGGGCGTGCTCCAGTCGATGCTCCAGGGAGGCCAAGGCCTGCTGCTCCTGCTCCAGCCCAACCTGGTGCATCTCAGCCTGAACCAGAAGCTCCTGGGGTTCCTCTTGAGTGAAGCTCACGGTGGAGGAGTCAGGAACCTCAGCCTGAAGACTGGCCAAAAAGCTGCAACACTGCTCCATCTAAAGAGAATGGGATTTAATATTCAACATCTCTACTTTTCTTTGTCCTTTGTGTTCTGTTACCAGTGTTGTCTCAATAAAAGTAACTTAACACAGTCCTTTAGTTCTGTAACCTCACACACATGTGGTAGCCAGAAAATACAATAATACAGAAAACCGGAAAAAATACTTTTTTTAATATGTTCATTTTAGATGCAAAAGCTGTATAAGGAATTTTTATTGGTAAAACTCACACTTGTAGTGATATCCTTCCATTCCTCTGCCCTCTGTTCTGTGTGTGCCATGAGGAGACCAACACCACGTCGTAATGACACCCAGCGCCTCCAGAGGGTGTCTAGCTCGCCCCCCTTTCCAACCCCACAGCCCTGCATCGGACATCCAGCTCTCAGTTCTTCTATTTTACCAGCGAGACTGCGAACATCCTCCATCAAAACCTTTATAGAGATGAAATAAAGCTAAAATTAAGGTTTGAATCAGGAAGTATTCCTTCTACATGAACCATATATCGGTCAAATGTTTAGTACATTCCTGTGCCCAGTACAGGTACACGTGGTACTCCAAACAAGTAAAAACAAGACAAGAGTCTACAGCCAAGCCGGCAGCTCTGTGAGGTTGTGCTTATGCAAAAAGGTGCTTTAATAGGACATGAGCATGCTCACATAATCGCAATGAAAATGCCAACATGTTGATGTGTAGCAGGTATAATGTTTACCATGTTCACCAGTTGTAGTTAGTACAAACAATTACAAGTATAAGCTGATGTCATTAGTTTTGCTGGTATTTGGTCATATATTAAAATATATAACATATATTTTAAATGATTATGACGCCAAATTAAAAATCATATACCAATTCATGCCAATCATACCAATTCAGTTTGGTATTACCAAATGGTGCTAGAGGGAAAGTCAGGGGATCATGCAAAATCATTAGGGTTCATCAACTAAGCAGCATGGATATCTGTACAAAATGTCATGGTATTCCTTCCTGTAGTCATTGAGATATTTCACTAAAGACAAAAAGATCCACCTGCTGGTGGCGCTAGAGAAAAACTCAGGGGATCATCAAAGTCAGTAGGATTCATCCTCTGGTGCCCTTTAATATCTGTAAAATATACAGTGGTGGCCCAACTGATAGACCAACATTGCCATCCATAGAGCAATCCTGTTAGCATGACTAAACAGCTAATTGTAAATTTTAAAAATCTATTACATGCAAGATTCAAGTACATCTAATTTTTGTGTAGACAAATACATGCTGAAACATTTTCTAATTACCAACAACATAATGCTGAATCAAACCTACCTTGGCTCTTTTTTGTTGGGCAACACATTTGTCATATGATGTCACTTGTTCTGCAGCACATTCTGAAAGCTTTTTTTCAAGCGCTGAAAGATGCTGACTAATGTCTTCATGACACTTCCTGTGGATTTCTTGTCTTATTTCGCACCTGTGAAGAATTTGCCTATTAGGTGTTTTTACTTTATTAAAATTATAAACAAGAAAAACACAGACATTATCACGACAACGCAAGAGAAAAAGCTAAATAGAAACACTTCACTGAGGTAAGAACAGCCAGTACCTCTGCAAGGTCTCCAGCCTGAGCTTGGCTTGGGCCTCTAGTATGGCTCTTCCCACCAACAACTGACTGAGGATGCTGATGTGGAGCTGCTCAGTCTCTGGGCAGGACAGCAAGGTTTGGTGGGGCACCACGTCTGCAAGGTGGCAGATATGATCCTGAAATCCATCTTCAAGAGCATCTAGAGCCTGCTGAGTCTGTCTTTGTTCCTCAGTACAGTCCAAAAACCCTCCAGGAGCTGATAAGAAGGTGGCTTCAGCATTATGAAGGAAGCCTATTGCTACCTGAGCAGCCCATTGGTAATCTTTCAAGGATTCTCTAGCCTGGGATAAACTCTCCTGTTGGATACATGATCAAGCACAGTTTAGAGAAACAACACATAAAAGTATAAAATTGCAAAGTTGAAAATTCTCAAAAGTAGGCTGGATTAACTTTGAACATTTAAGCTTACCATTCGTAAACTGCACTCTTGCATGGTTGTGTCCCTAAGAGAGTACAGTTCCTTGTAGTTCTTCAGGTTAATTTCTTCTTTCCGTCCCAGACCTTCCAACACCCTCATCCCAGACTCCATATTTCTCCAAATAACCCAATACCTTCTTAGTGCAATATCTATGGCTTTTTCATCTGGATTTACTTGTTCTGCTCCCTCCAGCTCCACTTTTGTTCTTTGGAAAAGCTCTATTAAGGCAGGAAGCTCTGAGGAAAAACGAAGACCCAGCAGAAGCTTGGCCTCTAGGTTTTTGATATCATCTGTGACAGAACACTCCAGGGAGACTAAAGTTTCCACAGTGCTCTGGATCTTCTGCCTCTCTGAATTAAGCTCAGATGGGTACAAGTCTTGAGCGATGGCTTCCAATTGGTCAGCTGCTTCTTGGCACTGTGTTTTCACCAAAGGAAGGTCAACTAAAAGTGTTTGGCATAGTCTGAACCTCTGACCCACACTGATTGTTTTATCTTTGGCACGTTGGGTTTGCTTTTTGGCAATGTCGCAAGACTCCTCTATTTGTCTCCTTAGGTGAAGATATTTTACTTGCTCAAAGATATTAATAGTAAGTGTTTTGCACTGGTCTTGTAGTTCCCCAATGGTGCATAACAGGGAGCTTCGCTTGGCCTCCTGGCAGTGTTGAAGCTCTTGTACTTGACACTGATGCTCCATTAGCATGTGCTTCAAATGTGCAATTGTTGAAAAGGTTTCCTGTGTTAAAGGGAACCTCTGCTCCTTCAAATCAGTGGAAATCTGCAGTAAACTAGCCTGAATGGTTGATAACTCCTCATCTAATGAGGTTTGCTCATGAATCAGCTCTTCTAATTCCCAGCTGGTTGCTTTCTCATGAGCTAGCAATCCATCTAATTCTGTCCAAAGGCCTGACAGTCTGTTGACAAGGTAGCGGCTTTCTCCTGGACTCAACCCTACGGCTATTTCCCTGCAACTTTCTGCCATTGCTTCCACCAGCTTTAGATGGCTCTCTATCTCTGCTGTAACTAATTTGTGATTTTTCAGCTCACTCTCCAGCTTTTTGATGTCAGCTTTTGAAATATTGTCAACATGGGTGCAAGGGTCTCTTTTAGCATGTGTTTCTGCTAGCCATGCATCCATGCTAGCAAGCTGGTATAACAGTGTCTCCCTCTCCTGCAGGTTTTTTTTCATGGTGCCAAGAACATGATCCAAGCTGTCAGCAATGGCTTCATACATATCTTCTACTGTCTTCAATACTTGGTCACTTTCCTCCTTTTCCATATCAGAGGCTAGATATTTCATCTGCTCCACTTCTTCTTGCATCTTGGACCTTCTATACCAAATATCAGTCTGAAATTTCTTCATCTCAACAATCTGAATACGAGCCTCCTCGGGGAAAAGAGCTAACCTTTTCACAATAGTGATGTGGTTTTCTGCCTCTTTGGCCCACATGATCAAGTCTTGTAATTGCTTGTTGATCTTAGCTGAAGAAATGCTGCCACAGCTATACAAGGAAGTGTCATGCTTGCTCTTGGTGACATTTAGCAACGATCCCAGTTCCTGAAGACAACGTTTGATCTCATCCTTCTCTTTCTGACCCAGCGAGAAATGGACAAGAGCATCTGACTGGGATTGTAAGTGCAGATAAAGCTGTTTGTACAGTTTTAGGTCAGTGGTAAGACAAACAAATTCTAAAGCACTTTTGCAATCATGGCTTTGAAAGTTGGTTGCCTGAAGAGATTCAAGCTTGGCTTTAAGATGTTCAGCCTCTTTTATGAGAAGAGAGGATTGAGTGGCGGAGCTCGAGGCATGCTGCAGAGCTCTTTTGATACTTCCTTCTAAAAGCCTCCATTCCTCCTGGATATCTTCAAGCTGGGCAAGAAGAGCGCCTGAACTTTCAGCTTTGCTCAAGTGGACTGACAATTGGCTACTTAACTGGAGGAGCTCTTCTATCATGTCTTTTTTCTGTACCATGGTTTGCAGAAGGGCGTGGAGTTTGTCAGCTTGAAGGGCACTGCTTCCCAAAGTTTTTCTAATAAAACAGAAGTATCACATGTTTGTTCACAACAGAAGTATATGAGTGTTTCAGGTACAAAAACACATAATCGTAAGTTACAATGATGTTAACTAGAGTAGAATCTTACTGTCAAATCAAAGATTTACTCACAAGCTCATTTTGTCTTTCTCAACAGCTACAACCTCCAGAAATGCTCTGGTGATCTTCATTTGTTTGTGATACTGTTTGACCTGATCCAGTTGTGCTGCTTTGACCTGCACTGTGGCAGACGCATCCAGCAGTGCAGCACTCCACTGTTCTTCAGCACTTTTTAAGGCATCTGGGTCACAAATCCTGGCAGCTCTTATGCTTTTCATAGTAACCACTTGCTCCTGCACACAGCGTCTGTAGTCCTACAGCAGACAACCGATAAAGAGATTTATTTTACATAATTGATTTTTGAGAGCCAGTTTATAATTTACTTCATTTAGAAAAAAGGCCAATTTACATTTGTAACAAAGAGAAAGGGTACACACCTCTGCCTCCTTCAGTTGTTTGACCATTGCCATGATATCAAGTTGTGCTGGTTTATAGCGACATATCAGAACTTTTTGGACAGTTCGTACCAATCGAATCTCTGGTTCATCAGGAGAGGATTTCAGGTACCAATTCAAATCAATGTGTGGTGTCCGCTATAACATAATAGTAAAATAAAATGAAAATAGTGATAAATGAATAAACTAAATTATCACAGTAGTTGTTGATTACTTTTCTGTTGACTAATCATTTCAGCTTTAATGATAATGTAAAAAGGCAGAAAGAAAGAAAAACAAGCAAAATATGAGTAATCAGATTATAGTTTGATGCTACTAAAAATATTAGCCCAATTCCAGGCTTAAAATGACTTGTTTACACCAGAGACCCAAGTTGCAAGTCATTGCAACTTAGTTTGCTTGGCTTTCATACTTTAGTTTTCTTCTTTTTCAAGGTTAGACATATCTACATGACGAATAGCTTTTACAAAATTAAACATCACACTTGGCATAAAAAAAATTGTAACTATAGCAAAGCAAGTCACAGACTTTAATTATACCCACTAATGACCCTGCAGGAAATCATTGTATCTAATAGTTCCTTCCTGTGGACCTTTCCGTCAGCAGCATCATGGGAATACACAAACATCAATCAAAAACACAGCTACTCTTATCTGTTAACTGTTAAATGCATTTATGACCTCTTGTCCTTTTTTTTGGAGTTATGCAGTTAGACTTAAAATCATAAAACTAAAATGCTTAAATGATGATTTTTATTTCTATGTCCATTAAACATTCTGTGTGCTACTACAGAAATCCAATCAGTGCCACAAACAGTAAATTCATAACCTGTTATATACTTTAATTCCTCCGATCAATTCAGAATTTAACCTTTTGTGCACACACTTTATTAGCCTATATCACCATGTTTTGCAACATAGCAAGCCTACAACAGATCTAACTAAGAGACATGAAGCAAACAGTTTTTTCCCCAATCAAAACCAGTTAATACTCACATTTATTATATTACTTCGTTCCACCAAGCTCTGGATCTCAGACAAAATATCCTGCATGGTGGACTTTTGTTTGTAGGACTCTGGTGATCCACCTGCTGTCTTCCCGGCCTGCAGATCAGATGCCAAGCCCTGATGCCGTCCTCTCAGGCTCCATGCTTTCTTGGATCTGAAGCAAAATACACAGAAGACAGGGGTGGCGTCACATTTTAGCTTCCTCCTTCCCCGTGTTTGTCCACAGATAATGACATACCTTCCTGTTCTTCCCCTGCTCCAAAATGATAAATATTACTATGTAGACGGTGGCCCAGCGAGTCAGTACAGTTAACACAAGAATGTGCCTGAGTAGGGAGCAGTTTGCCCTCAGGGAGAAGGATTCAACTCATCTACAAAGTGCTGTCTCTCTTGCTTCATTAATTAAATTACTGATCTGTTTTAACTTGGTTAGATACCAAAACATGACATGAACTGCTTGGTTACTAGATTACAAACAGGGGAGGTGTCTCTCCAAATATTTTGGACATGACAAGGTGTGTCTTGGAGCTGGGTGCAGGTAGAGCGGAAAGAAAACACATAGCAGGTTTCTGATTCGCAGTAGGAAAAAACAGTACAAAGACAAATACATTTACCTGCTTAAAGCTAAGGTAGGCAACTTTGGAGAAACTAGCTAGACTGACAGTTAGAGTTTGAAAGTATCCAACTGAAAAAATCCCACCCCCTCCCCTGAAACTACATTTAGGGAACTGTTTAAATCTAAAGCTAGAAATAAGTGAACTACGAGATATCTGTATCTATAAAAATTCAGTATTTTATTGGAACTGCCCCCTGAATCACATTCACTGTAATGGTGGAACTGTTGTTTATACACACAATCTGTTGACTTCCAGCAGCCAGGAAACCAATCAATGGTTTCTTAAATACAAATATTTCACATCATTCATCCTTGTAAACAAATTTCAGCTGTCTACAGAGAGAAGGTACGCTGTTATTACCCACAATCATGACAGGTTGGCTTAGTGAGAAATTCCTCAATTCCTTTGAAGACTGTGGCTTGTACTATCAAATCACATATAATAATTAAAGAGCACTACATATAAACACTCTGACAAATCAACTTTGTTATGTGGCAGGCAGTGGAAGCATCAGTGGCATTAAGTCTGGTTTTGTGTGGTCCCCTGAATACAAAAGAAAAGGGCTATGGTGTTGGCAATTACAAAATTTGCAGAAGGGGAAAATGACAAGCATTAACAGCAGTAAAGTAGTAATGTAGATTTCTTTCTTCTCTTTCAAGAAACTTTCTAATGCTTTATTTATTTTACCTGGCAGTAAACACGTGTACTTCCTTTGTTTTTTTTGGATGTCAATGCTAACAGCCCGGGCCTAGTTGTCTGTAAACAAATATTTCTTCCTCATCATCTTTTTTTCTTTCATACCTCATTGCTTATCTGTCTTTGGACCTACTGCAGGCTGAGTTGGGGGAGGGGGGGTCCTTTCTAAATTGGTGTAATTTTCCATGTTTTTTTTTTTTTGTAGATTTCTTGTAGCGACTGAGGTTCTAATGTTGGAGTATATTAATTAAGCTTGTTTTCACTTTTTAACATGCACTTTTACTTTTTATTACATATTGTATTGCATCATTTTGAAGTTTATAATTGTAAAGTATATAATTATTCTAATTAGAATTTTGTGTCAAAAATAAGGTAATGTGCAACATGGATTTCATCCATTTCTCATGAGAAAAATAAATGTCTTTCCACAGTATGAACAATGTTCCCCAAAAAAGATTTGTATAACTGTATGACAGGAATTTAGCAAATGTTACGGCATTCAAATGCCAAATGCTGGGAGGAAGAAATATATTTAAAGCAAATACATTTCAGTTAAGTTTAGGAATGAATTTAGGCTCAAATAAAACTTGCAAAATGTCACAAAGGCCTAAGTTTCACTGAACACACCCAGCCTTTCTAACATGAAGGTACGATAAGGAAAGAAAATGGTTTGAAAATGTCAAAGAAGACCGTGTTTGATAAGTGTAATTTAGGAAAGCAAAGACTGTCGATTTAGGTGGGACATCCTGGTGTTCTGCCAGCAGGAGTGACAAACCTCTTCACATTGTTCAAACTATGTCAACGGGTAAAAAACTTTTTTTTAAAGTTAGTTGCTGTAATGATTTTAAAAGCTCAGATTGATTTGAAACTCCAAATTTGTCACTTGTTTAATCATCCAGTTGGTAATATTATTAAACAAACTATCATATTTGTTGACAAAAATCGGTGGGGCGATACTTGATTTATATAACATGTATATGCCATCAATGCCAACCCAAAACACAGGCATGGGGAGTGATGTGGAGTCACTTCGTAGTTTCTCATCCCTGAGCTGAGCTGCGTGTCTCCCGCCCAGCATGCCACACCGACAATCAAGTTAATTTCATATTATTATTATCCTGTGTACAGGATGTTTTGGGGGGCTGGAGCCAATCCCAGCTTACATTGGGCGAAAGGCAGGGTACACCTTGGACAGGTCGCCAGTCCATTGCAGGGCCACACATAGACAGTCAACCACTCACATTCACGCCTAAGGACAATTTCGGATACACCATTTAACCTAGCCTGCATGTCTTTCTTTGGATGGTGGGAGGAAGCTGGAGCACCTGGAGAGAACCCACACAGACACGGGGAGAACATGCAAACTCCACACAGAAAGGCTGGGGCAACTGGGGTTTGAACCCACGACATCGAAATCACTGCACAAAAAGGCAGGTTGTTTTTTTTTTTTTTTACCAGGGAAGCAAAATTCTGAGAAGTTGATCGGAAAGAAAAGCAGAAAATCTACTGAAAATCCAGATTTTTAATATGACATCTACCTGTCCCTGTGTCACCTCTGTGTCATCCAGCGATGCAGGCACCTTTAATTCACTTTCTTCAATTGGCAGTGTAACTTTGTCTCGTCTGTCTGGCACTTTTGAAAGTTTGGACTCTGGGTGTTCAGGCTCACTTTCTTCTTCCATGTTTTCCTCCTCTGCCATCTCCAAGTTTGCTGTACCTGTGTCCTGTGCAGTGTCAGCAACAGTCACCTGTTTGTCACCAGCAGGTATTTGTTTTTCAGTTAAGGCATCCCCCTCCACAGTACACAAGCCTGAGCTCATTGTTTGCTCTTCAGTGTGACAGAAATCTGTCATCTCCTCTTGTTTGCCGTCCGGAAATGTTGTTTCTGCTGCATTTGCACCAATGAGCTCACACTCAGCAACGCTGCCACATGATTTGGAGGAATTCGACACCTCATTGTGGGTTTCTGGGTTTCCTTTACATGATAATTTTTTGGCAATTGTAGAATTTACCTCCTCCAATTCTGTTCTTAGAACTGCCAAGGGATTTTCTGGCAGTGAGTCTGCCACTTGGGACTCTTTTAATGCATGACTCTTTAAATAATTGATTTTCAAGTTTGTCTCATCTGATTCAAGTGCGATTAATGTTTTAAACACTCCAGCTTTCTTCTCAGGAGATTCTATACTTGAAACTTCTATGAGTGTTACATCACAAAGCTCTGCTCCCTGTGAACATCTGGATACATCTGGACTGCTGGCTCCAACATTTTCCCTGTGCTTACTATCCTGTGGCTGGAACTCAGGCAGCTCCATGTCCAACACTATTGCATACACTTTATCAGGGCTCATGCTGATTTCCTCACAGTATTTCTCCTTTTCTTGAGTAACTTCCCTAAATGTATCTGATTGTGCTGCTGGATGAAGGCCTGTTTTGTCTGATTTGGGACTGATTAGTGCTGTAAAGAGTCCAGATTTCTTTTTAGGAAATCCTGTATTTGAAACATTCGTGAACTTTGCATCGCACAGATCTGCTCTGTGAGAACATCTGAGTGCATCTGGACTAGCCTTTTCGTTTTTTTGCATGTCCTGCGGCTCCACGTCCAACACAATTGAAACCACTTTCTTTGGAGTTGCACTTTTTTTCTCACAGTGGTTCTCTTGTGCTTGAGCATCTATAACTGCCTTAAATGCCTCTGATTGTGCTGCTAGATTTTCAGACACCTTTTCAGTGGTAGAAAGGGGAACGTAGTCTGGCTTTGTTGCTGCGGATCCAACCAGAGGTGTGACACAGTGTGCTGAATTGGTTTCTTTGGCATTGCTTGTACATATAGCTAACAATTTTGAGTCCTGGGTTGAGGTAGTGTCTTCTTGCAATGGTTCAGTGTTCTCTTGCCAAGCAATTAAACTCTTGCTGAGAGCAGAAAGGGAATCTGACTTTAAAGGCTCTGTGTTATTTCCAGGAAGTGTCCTGTACCCACTGCTTAAAGGATTGTTATCAGTGTTCAATTTGCCAGTATCATCTTTTGGCCCGAGATCAGTCTTCAAGTTTATTTTTGGTGGAGTTGATGTTAACTGTTGTGATTCTTGTTGGGTTTTTGATTTGACAGCATCTGGGATTTCTGCACATGGGACTTGATTACAGACAAAGGCATCTTCTTCGGCTGTTTCCAAAGTGCATTTGGTTTGAATTTTGTTGTCATTTTGATCAGAGTTTTCCTTGTTATCAGTTGCAGAAGGGGAAGGAGCAATTTCTTCAACAACTCTGCCTGATAAATATTTGTCCAATACCTCTTCACAGTGACCTTGACTGACCTGTGAAACCTATAAAATTGAGCATAAATATAAAGCACAAAATCCTATATTATTATTACATTGGATGGTACAATTCTGTGACTGAGGAGTAACTCACCAGGGATTTAGATAAAGTTTCAACTTTAGGTTTGCTTTCACTGAGAGCATAGGAAGCACTTTTCTCCAGTTCCTTTGTCGCTCTTCTTCCACAGTGACAGTGTAGAAGAAAATCTCGTTCTGAGAGCACGTCATGAACAGCTTGTTGAAGCAACAAACCCTCATCCAGAGCTGCCTATAAGAAAGAAATGAAAAATTTAAGGGATCACAAAATTTATTACAATTGATCACACAATTGTTGAGATATATAGCATATAGAAATCAGATCATGAATGCTTCAAGAATGAACCCCAAACCTTATCTAGTTGATGTAATGCTTAGACATACAAGCTGAAAATGTATATCATTTGGCATTTTACCATTAATAAATGGTAGTCTGTTACTGTACATGAACCAACTAAGAATATCACTCAGAGCACTGGCAAAACAGGAATACCACAGGCGGGCGGCACTCAGATATCGGAGTTTTTGGCAGTGGCTGATGGAAGAATGAGTCACAACACGTTTATTATCTTTAGTAATCACAACATCTATTATGTTCACCATGTACCACAAAGAAGAGAAAGTATTCCCCTTGATTTATTATCAGAGAGTAGAGGATGGACCTCTGCTCTACAAAAGATGAAAAAGGTCCTGTTAGGTATAAAAATCATGGTAAGCCAGACACAGCAAAACACAAGTGTTTGTATTAAGTGCACGCCCAAATGGAATTGGATGGCTGTATTTTTTTGCCTTGGTGGGAGCGTCTTCTGTTCCACAAGTTCGAGGCAATAAACATTGGCATCAAGGGCCGGTTCAAATCGAGCGCATCGAACAGCTTTTACTTTGTTTCTTTTTGGATATAACGGTTTTAAAAAGGACAAAGCAGACTCTGATGGCTACATTGTTTTATTTGCCTATTTTATATGCAAAGGAAAAATGATAAAGTTGAGAAACAGCCTTATCTTACAAGGTTTATAGTATATGAATGCTAAAGTAGTTTTTTGAGTGGACCACATATAAACAAAAATTCATATTAACAGGATAAGGCTGGCCATATTCTACATCTTCCTTATGGACAACAAATCGGATGAAAAGATGAAAAGTCTTTTCTTCCAATGGGAAAAGTATAGAATAAATCAGCCTCATCATTTAAACTGAATTTAATGAATGACACTTTGTTTAGTTTTGTTTGGCGAGATTATAGCTTCATTAAATCTAAATCTAATATTGTAAAGAAAGGTTACAACTGTGCAGATTTACAAAAATAGCAATGCATTCCCTGCTTTTCTAAAGCTTATTATGTAAATGAGCATATTTGTTAATATTCTGGGTTTTAATAATATAAAATAATAATAGACAAATGTATGGACATGTTGGTGGGTTTTACCGGGCTGGCTGATGAAGGTTCAGCTTGTACTGTTTGGCTCCACTTATGCAGCTGGCTGATGACCTGCCTCACCCTGTGAGCTGTGTTTTCGGAACACTCCTGCTTCTTTTGTAGATAAATGGACCTGAAGCTTAAGTGAGAACATGAGAGAGAGAGAGGGAGAAGAAATTTCAGGATGACAAGTTGTTTTTAAAACTCTACACGATACATTTAAAATAAATGTCTCCATGCATCTTGTGAGTAAACATTTGGATTTTAATCATTCTGAGGAATGCAAATTTTCTGTTTTGCAATGTGAAATGAGGTAAAGTACCTGTCAAGGTCTTTAGCAACAGCATCAATGGTCAAAATTACAGCTGCAGGAAGCTTTTCTTGTGTGTTGCTCAACTCTGCAGGCTTTTGGAGGTTGTTAACTCTTGCTGCCAACTCTTTCAGCCTGGTATCACAATCCTAAGAGAGAGATTTTTGCTTCTTTGATCATACTGTCTCCCATGTGAATGTGTTTAAGAAAGGCATGTGGGCAGATGGAAGTACGAGTTCCTCCATAAACTTGTTATTCGGGGATAAAATAACATTTGATTGGACCCTTTAACAATACCTGTATTGTGTACCACTGCTGTTTGAGCTGGCTGATATCAAGCAACGCTTCACGGTTCCCACACAAATTTTCAACATCTTCAGCCAGGTGTTTTAGTGCTGACTGTACACAGGATACCTCGTCCCTCACATGTTGAACTCCCTGGCTGCTGATCTCAGTGAGCAGTGCCTCTCTGATGCTACTATCTAGTGCCATCTTGTGGTTTTGGAGGTTGCTGACTTGTTGGGAGAGGCTGGACTGGGCCTCGGCTGTGGAACTGGCTGTGATAGAGTCCTTCAGTGTTAGAATTTCTAAAAGGCATTTTTCTGTGTCTGTTACTTCTTGTAGCAAAGCCTGGAAAGTGGAGAGAGTGACAGATAAAGTGTGTTTTGTGTACAATATAGGTGGTTAAAAGTTAGAAAATTCTCTATCCCCTTAATAAAAATGTCTTCTTTTTGTGTGGTTTTAATGTAGAAGGAAATAAAAATGTAAGGAAGCTTGAACATGATTCACCAGGTCAGTTTTCTTAATGGACCTCACCTCCAGAGCTGGTACATCAGTGATCATTCCAACTGAGATTTCTTTCTGGGCTTGACAGGCTGACATCTTCTCCTGCAGGGATGTCAATTTATGGTGGCATTCCTGCAGCAACTGGCCAAAATGTTCCTCATTACACACACCTTCCTCGAGGCGGGAACACACACCCTGTGGACATTTCAGGCACACCAAGCCACAGTCAGAGGGCTTATATATCATTTCACAGACTTATTGTGATTATACTAAACTTGTGGATTGCAACCTTTTTCATCTGATGTGCCATTACACCCCTATCCGATGAGCTCAAGTATCCCTTCATGGACCCAACCTGTCATGTTCCATGTGTGTTCATTTAAATTGGTGACTGTCACCAAAATTTTCAACGTTTTACTACCACTTGGAGTGGCAGAAGTTGAACCTTTTAACCATTTATCTACAACTTACGTTTAGCTAATAAGTTATTAAACATTTTTATACATTATTTTTATTTAGGTATTTTAACTGTTAATCCATTTTATTAGCAAAATATTTCAACTGTTTGTTTTTGCTGAAGTTTATTTGGGGGGGCATTTTCACCTTAATTAGATCAGACAGTGTGGTGGACAGTAAAAAGGGAGAGAGAGGGGTACGACACATAATGTTCTCAGCTGGAATCAACTGAGAAGTTGCAGTTATGTGGTTCTGTTTATTCACAATATAATACTATTATAATATTTACAGTATATAATAGATATATAAGAATGGCTATTTAGTGATTTTCATATTTTTGTTTTAGCCAACTATTTCAACTTGCTAATTAGTTTTCAAGCAATGGTAAAACGTAGCCTAATTTAACAAATTTAAATAAGATCAACCTCACACCAATTTTTTCTATCCTTTTTTGGATGTCCTCATATATATGAATATGTTTCTTTTTTTTAATCAATTCATAATTAATTAAGCTACTCAACAATCTTTCCATGTACTCCCTGGCTATGAGTACACCTGGTTGGGAATCCCTGTACTAAACCATCAATAATCACTTGACTATGAAAAGTCTAACCAGCAGCTCTGCCTTCAGTGATGACAAGCAGGTCTCCAGCTCAGCCGAGGAGGAATCTTTCCAGATGGTGTCGCTGCTTCGCTCACTCATCACCCTCCTCTGTTCAGCCAGGCTGGTAAGAGTCAATAGCAGTGACTCAGACTCATCCTGCAGTTGACGGGCTAGAAGGCAGACTTGTCTGCGCTCAGCCGTGCCAGGCCAGGGGAATAAAGTGGGAAGCCGAGCAGTTCTGTGCTGCAGCGCCTCCACTGTGCGGCAGGCCTGCTGTCTCTGGGCAAGGTAGGAGGAGGTGAGCTCTAGATCACCTTGTAGGACACTGAGGCACCAAGAGAAAAAAAAGAGATTATAACAAACCATCAAAAATTCAAACACTACTACCACAATTTCACTGTCGGGTCTTAGAGGGAGAGAGTCTTCAGTGAGGGCAGCGCTTACTACCCATAAGGGCATACATGAATAACAAAACACACCACAACACCACCATGTGCCAAAAGGCAAAGAGTATTTCAATTGTAAAGGGTGTGCTTTCAAGTGGGAGATTTTATATACATGAAGAGGCAATTCCAGCAATGTTAGAGAAGCAAGTTAAAAGTTTACGTATGATGAAACTCTCAAGGTTGAGATTGATGGTTGATGGCATTAAGAGTACAGAGACGTCAGGCCTTTCAGCAAACTCAAAGGTGTGCAAGAGTCTCTCAGGCAAAGCAGGGCCAGTGGATGAGTTTAGAAAGGAAAAGTCTTAGCTGCAGGGAAGTGTGTTGCACAGAAGCAGACATGATTAGATTCATGCTAGGAGCAACTTATGAGCTTCTGCCTCCCTAAAATCCTAGAAAATGGATAACCAAGGACCAGACATGTACTTTATGTTCAGGTATAGCTTCACTTTGGCACATTCATCGCCACACGCATGCTAAGGCAGCAGCCATTGAGAGTAAATGCTTAGAAGTAAACTCACTGGATGCAAAAAGTAAACAAGATGGGATTTTTTTTTTTTTGTGGGTGAACAAATAAAGCAAAGACAAGGAGGACTGAAATATGTGGGGGACACCTACATAGGTCAAAATGTCATTCTATAGGAATGCTCACCAAACCTTTGGCACAGATTATGTGTTGATAACTATTGCTTTAACTTTTCCAAGATTAAACCTAAGATTCACAGTTCTTTAAACCCATCCCTTTTATGTTTCATCTGCAATCACTGAAGAAAAGCCATACACTGGCTCCACTCACCTGTGATGAGACTCAACTGATTGGAGAAGGTCCTTCCACTGCTCCCCCGTTTTCTGAATGGTTTCCTGAATGTCACGTTTCAGGTCGTCTCCATCACACAGTCTGTGGCTCATATCATTTCCAATTACTCTGAGCTTTTCAAGGCGAGCCTCCTCCTCTGCCTTTCCACTTACCACAGCCTGAAATAATTTTTTTTTTTTTACAGATTAGTTATTTAACACGTTTCACTGCAAGTGCACCAATCTGTCACTGCACGGACTGAGGAGTGTGTTACAGGTCGTATTTTTTTTTAAATCTGTGCTTTCATTTCAAAAAATTTTAACAACAACAACAACAAGTGCACACTCCTTATTGAAGGAGAAGAAACAAATGTAGATCAAAAGAAACAATAGATCTGTATGACCACACCCTTAAATGGTATTCAACAGCACTGTAACAACTGCCTTTTTGGAACTACGTGAAACAAAATAAAAATTATTTGTTATTTAAAATACTATTAAAGTACTATTAATAATTATTATTATTTTAAAATGTACTCCGCACACATGTGATTCAGCCTAAGGTGTTCAAGAGTATACACTCATAGAAAACACATCTGCTGTGTCTTAAGTCAATGTTTTTTTACCTGAGCATGGTGAAGTCTCTGCTCTACGGGACTCTGGATATCAAGGTTTTCACCTAGTGGAGAGTCAACAGTGTGTCTCAGATCTCCAAACCAGGATTGAGTGGACTTTGAAAGGCTCTGAAACGCTCCGATGTCCCTGCTCAAAGAGCTCTGCCTCTCCGTGAAGCCATGCAGTGTGTTGGTTTGAAAGGTGTGGTATCGTTCCAGCAATTTGCTACTCTCTTTCACCAGAGCAGACTGCTGAAGTGGGCTGCTTTGTAAGGTTGACACAAGCTGATTGAGGGCCTCTGTTCTCACCCTGTGGGGAAATAATATGAGGTGTGTTGATGATCAGTTAATTGTTATTCACACTTTCAAATGTTAGTTAAGAGCTTCCTCTTTGTCAGAGTCAAGGTTATGTACTAACATGTTTATTAAGTAAAAAGAAGAATCAAAATCAAAATACTACACTTAAAAATAAAGTTTCATATTAAAACAATGTGTTTTAACTGTGTTGTTGTCTGTGATATAATTCTGGCCTTTTAAAATTGCTGTCCCCTGCACTATTAATGGAAAGTGGGATTAATAATAAGTTGTCTCATTAATTATTTCTTGATCTACAATTTCTCAACCTTTTGTGTGACAACAGTCATGTTGTAAAGAATGAGTCAGTCATCTCTAGTGAATAACAGGCTATACAAAGAAAACCACAACAATATGTATGCCTACATGGGATTTCTTTACTTTATTCCTGAATATTACAGATTTTAGTTACTGCTTTTTATATGATCTTCTAGGTCTAAATGAACGTATGTACATCTTCATTATCCTTCTATTTTTTATATCCTGTAAAATGTTACTATAAACTAAATATACAGAATACTGCCCTGCACACTGACTGATAACACTTTATAAATAATTGTAAAGTCTTGACCACAACTTTATACAAGATTTGCTTATTTGCACACAGAGCTGGACAGCATATATCTCAAATCAGAAAACAGTTTACCTTTGTTGAAGTGCTTCCTCTTGCAGGAGACTAAGATCCTCCTCCTTCACTGCTTTCTCCTCAACAGCTTGCAACCATTGTTCCAAATGCGCACTAACCCTCTGCAGCCTACAACACATACAGTAACAATGCAGACACGGGCATGACAGACACGTGTATGTACAGTATGCACAATACACAGTAGATTAAAGTTACATCATAGTGAGAAAATGGTAGTAGTACAAGACTGACTTCAGAAAACAAGTTGAACTTGTTCTGCTGTCTTTTTTTGTGTTTGGCCGTAACAACTGTATGACTGTAGACAGTTTGTACTTGGAGCTTGTGTCTACAGAGTTTCAAGGATAAATCTGGGGATATTCTATATGTAACTTTATCCTTGAAATCATGTTGTGAAAGATATACAGTACAGTGAATCTAAGGACACAGCACACCAAATGTAGATTTCTTTGCTGTGTACGCTGTCAATGTGAAAAAGTAATTTCAAAGTGCGACAGAGCACTTGCAAATGAGTATGTGTGTATTGTCAGACCCTGTGGTATGTTTCACTTATTGGTACAAATAATTCAGAAGGTGAAACATTAGAATCACAAAACTTAAAAATGAGTGTATAGATTCAGACAGTCAGCACAAACATACTGTAAAAATGATCCAAATCTGATGGATTACAAAACAGATTACTTTGAGTAATTACACGTACGATGTTTATGATTTAGCACTACATATCTATTCTTGTAAATCTGTATGCTTTTCTGAACATAGTCCTTGTCACATAGCTCTTAAACTCAGACTCATTAGTTACTATTTTCAGTCAGGTAAAGTCTGGTTTTGCCTGCTTTGTTTCTTTATGCAGATCCCCTGATGATAACCTTTAAAACACAGTTAAGTGATCAAGCAGCTATTAGACAAAGAAACAGAAAGCATTTGAACTAGCAGATAAGGATTTTCACTCCTGTCTGATGCCGCTCCCACAAAAATAATCCTGTCCTCTACCAATCCCAAAACAGAGTAAAAAAAAAGAATTGACTTGACCATACTGCAAGAATCCCACAGCAGTCCCATGACAAGCAGGATTACCAAAAAAAATGTCATCCTCTAATCTGAACATGCTCCAGAAATACCAGCCATGAAATGAATCATGAATATGAAACATCAAAGCAGTTACCTGTTGAGGGCCTGGATATTCTTCTCAGTCTGTTCTTCCACCTCAGAAAAGAGCTGATGGGTGTTTTTGACTTTATCTTGTAGCTGCATCCCGTCCACAGACAGACTCTGTAGGCTGGATGAACTTGCTATGGAGGCCATAACATGCAGATCCTCCAGCAGACTCTCTGCCTGCTCACCCTGGGTCTGGAGCTCACAAAATAGTTCCTGTAGAGGAAAAATCACTTTTAGTTACTATTAGTGATTAGCATTTAGTTAGACATCACTGTCGACTCTAATTTGGTCACCTCAGACATTTACATGAACTCTAACTTTGTTGTCAAACTTTAGCCACTATGTGTGGAATTTTTTTTATTATAGCTTCTATCATATCATTGTGATATATATATATATATATATATATCACAATGATATATATATTATAGTAAGTCGGTTTATCTAACAAGACACATTACAAATAAATAGATTGTAAGACATCAAAAAAACAAGAGTTTCCTTTAAACAAATATGAAACAATTCTGGTGAAAATTGGTGCAGATTATGTTGCTTTCAACCCATTTGTTTCAGTGTCTATATGCATCGCTGTCTACCATAGCTTTTTACTGGGGGCGCACCAGTGTCACATGTTCAGATTTGACATATAGTATAGTATCATTAAAATACTTTTTATCTACAGTTCAGTAGGTTCACTTCACAGGCCCAAACAGAGCTGACGTCATTATACAATTCTGCTCCAGACAGACAAACTTAAGTGAAATGATAAAAAGATTTCCTAAGCAGCAAGTATGCTCCATCATTAGGACTCAAACATGGCTACTTCTACTTATTTAATTATTAGTTTGGCTAATTTGGTTATCACTGATGGTAACATATGCCAAAAATAACTTATAGAACAAATGAATGAATGCAGATGTTTAGATTTTCTAATTAATATGTTCAACAGTTTGCAGATAATTCAAGCATATGCTGTCTTATAATGTGAATGTAGCTATTGATGATGTTTTATGTTGTTGTTCTGACAAGATAACAAGGTAAGTATAGGGACAGTCTCCTCTGTATGTGGTAGAGTTCTGCTGCTGAATGTTTGCCTAAAATATTTGCTTTCCTTTGCATTTCCTTCATGTTGATGACTTAGATGGTCTATACTGTATGTTACTACTGATGTTATTTGCACTCAAAATCCAGCTAATTTGTCATCTTAATAAAATGCATTGAAATATTCAAATGTTAAGAGTCATTAAAGTATAAAGCTTTAAAGAAAAACTCAATTTTCTACACATTACCTTCATTACCAAGATATCAGAATAAAGGGAAGTCACAACAACAGAAGCATACCGTAGCAATTTAAGCACTCACCTTAAGTTTTGCAAGGACTGTTGCAACATCTGAACCACTAAGAGTGAGGAGGGAGTCCTGAATCTTCTGGAGGGAGTTAAAACATTCAGCCATCCTGGCAGTAATTTGTCCTTTAGCAGCTACCAACTGCCTGTAAACATCCTCAGCTTCAGAAACAAGCTCTTTCAGCTGCTCCATCTTCTTTCTCATCTGAGTCTCGACAACCTAGACAAAGCAAAATCAAAATCAAGAAAGCGGTTGTAACCAATCTGATCCACCATCTGAAATGACTAACATAGTGCTACCTAACAGTCTCAGAAGTCACAAAGTCAGCCGTAATGTACACCACAACCTGCAACAATAAATGGTTACTGTTTTCGTGATACAAAAACAAAAAAAGGTGTCCAACACCTTAGATAGAAAACTAAATCAAAAATTACATGCTGTACCTGTAGCTCCAGATGGGGCTCTGAGCTTTGAAGCAGCACCTGAATCTCAATAGTTTTTCGGTGGAAACGCTCCATATTCTCCTCTTGGGCCACAATCTCATTCTGGAGACAGTTAGAGGGAGATGATCATTGTTTAAAGCAACTGCAGAAATCTGAAGAACATTTCATTTCCCATAAGGCGTCCCAGACAGGCCTGAACCTGTGTATTAAAGAATGAAACAGCGAGACAGCGTTACCCGCAAGGCACTGATGTCTTCCTCTGTCTGAAAGGATGGAGATTGAGCAAATACTGCCAATTTATTGGCAGTCCAGTTCTCCACCTCTGCTCCCAGATGGAGGATCCCATCCCACAGAGTCAGGCCAAGGTGTATATTTTCAAGGTGGGAATCTGTTCTTTCCGATATCTGCAAGAATTTGAGTTGCAATGAATGTTAGCACTCACCTTACAACACGCAACCAAACTCAACGTAAGATTAGAAATTAGATATTTTCAATGATAATTATCTATTATCTATCTTTAGTTTACTTATGGGATCAGCAACACAAAGAAGAAAATGAGAGGTATAATTTGTGTAGTCAAGCCTGCTTAAATAACAGTAGGTAAAATACTGAAGAAATACATTTAATACAATAATCTGCAAGAACAACAGACATCCACAAAAAGGCAAAATAATTAAAGCTAAACTAAAGTTACCACATCTTATCATTAATTAAACATAATATACCACAGACACAGGTAACAATAAAAGCAATTGTATAAAGTTTTGGAAATAATGGCAAAAACTTTAAATGACATGACTGCACTCACATCCAGCCAGCGGTCCATGAGAGCATCCGCTTCACCCTCAAATGGGATGATAAGTTCTGGGATCTGCCGTAGATGAGTGTGAAGCTGCCTGCAGACACTGCGGACCTCCTCTATGCCATCCCCAAGGCCATTCAGTTCTGCTTTTGTTTCCTGGACCTGAGAAAGCACACACACACACACACACACACACACACACACACACATATAAAACATCCTCAACCAAGGGTCCTCATGAAGAACCAGAGACAATGATTTATCAGACACACAGAAGAATTGGTTGTTGACTGTACTTCATTAGCAAGTTGGCTAACAACCCAAACTTACAAAACAGGTGTATTCCTTCATCATCTTAGTTAAACAGTGTGGTATACCTTAGTGTGCAGTCGCTGCAGGTTGTCTTTCCCCATGTAGGAGGCTTGTTCACTGATGGTGCTCTCTGCCCTCTGCAGTGTCCCACTCAGCTCACCACGAATGCTCTGAAACCTCTTCAGCAGCTCTGTTACAACATTACACTGCTCCAGCCTGTATGTGATGCATAACAAAACACATCCATCCACTAAACTCAGCAAAGTACCATAACTCAACATACCGGTACTAATTAATCAAGACAGAAACGGCTCTCTTTACCTCTCAGTTACAGCTTTTTTGGTCTCCTCCCAGACGTCCTCCACCTCTCTGGTTTGACTCACATCAGGGTTTCGTGATTGTGAGGATTCTTCCTGTATGTACTGCAGCTCAGTGAGGTGGGCAGCAAGACGACTTTCCAGTTCTGTCAAGGCACGTGACCTGCAGCAGATGAAATAATCATTAGTTTTCTTAGTGTTCAAATACCACAAGGTTTACGCAATCAAAGTAACAGCAACATACACTAGGAATGATTTATTTTTGGACTCAGTCAGTGTTGTACCTCTGTTGCAGAGCAGGTAGGGTGGGCTCCTTTAACCTCAGCTGCTCAGCTGTTTCTTTAATCTCCCTCAGAGCACCTAACAATGCACTTGTCCTCTGGAAACAGCTCTCCTTCTCTTCGCCCTCTTTCTTAACCAGACTTCTTCTTCTTCTCCCATCATTGGCTTTTAAGACATCCCCTTCAGACTTCCATGTTTGAGCCTTGTTCCCTTCCTCACTTTGCATCATTATATCTCCTTCCAGCCTACTCCTTTTGGCCTCCAACTCTGTCTCCTCTTCCATCATACTTGGAGTGGGATGCTCCTGCTGTGCTGAATCATCCCCTGTCTTTTTCTGACGTATCTCTAAACGATTCACCTCTTCATTCTCTTTGATTTGCTCCTTTTCAACTAGAAATTTCTCATCTTTTCTCTCCCTCTTCCTGGCTCTCATCAGCTCTTTCTCCACGTCCGCAGCTTGCTGGGACAATGATGTCACCACATCCTGGCACGTCACTGTTGGACCATCAATGGTCAGAGTCATCCCCACTGCCTTTAAAGTGCTGTCAACACTATCAGATTGTTCCACAGCAGTCTGCAACTTCTGTTGCATTGTAGCCTGCCAAGAGTGTCTCTCCTGCTCCCAGTCTGCCTCATTTTGCTGTCTGCTGGGGTCCTGGTTCGCCAGCACGGTTGAAATCTCAGCCTTGACTTCACGCACTGTGGCCAGGAATTGATCCAGGGCCTGGGCAGCTGACTGAAACTTCTCCAGCCGCTGTCTGAGCTGATCGAGATGATGGATACCGTTGTTGTGAGCCTGGCAGAGGGATGAAGGGCATGTGGTGTCGGGCCCCGGTCTTTCCTCTTCAATGAGTCGTTCTGAGAGGTTTCTCATTTCAGACTGCAGTCTATCATCCATCTCCTGGGTAATGCAAGGGGGGTTAATAATAATGTTTGCATATTTCACTCACAGAATTAAAGTGGTAATTAATTTTAAAAAACATAAAAGTACCTTTAAATCTGATACAAGTCTATGATCAGCCAAGGTGAAGGAGGAGATGTCCACAGACGTTCTGATGATCTGGTCCAGTTTATCTGTGATCAGTGTGATTTGATCATCTGCAGACTCTAACAGGTCTGCAGTATTCTCTAGAGATGCCATACTGACACAAACCAAAGTGAAAACAATGTTACTTACTAAAGATCATGTAATATGATTGAAAGCTCCAGAACAACTACTTAATAGACCTTGAAGTGGGCAAATTATTTTCAAGGTCAAGAATAAAATTTCAAACTCTTCTTATATTATATTTACAGTCCTTGTAAAATTATATTCTGCAGTGATGTTATTAATGATTTTCCAAAATAACACTGGCTACAATTATACAATATATCTGATAGGGTTAATGATTAAAATACACTAATATTGTGTGGGTAGTAGTATTACCAAAAATAAAAACAGAAAAGGGAAGACTTTCATTGTCAGAACTGTTAAATTACAGAAAGCATTACAATAATTAATATAGTATACAGTGATAGTACAGCAAGTTATAGTTATCCCACACTATTGTATTATATCATCAGTAGGTTTGCAGACTGGCTTTATACGTGAACACAGGTTAATTACTTTGTGTATATATGTAGGTACACTACAGTATACAGTATGCGCCAATGTATGTATATGACAATATAAAAAAAAGAAGAATTAGCAATTATGTGCCAGTGAGCTAAAAGAGATCCAAGTAAATAAAATAAAATAAAATACTTTACATTAATCTGAGAGGTGCACAGTACCTGCTCTGTAGGCACATTTGTTGGCCTTTCCACTGCTGATTCAGCTGCTCCCAGGCTTTTTCCACTTGACCTTTATCTTCCGTGGTCATGAGATGGGAGAACTGGGATATCTGGGCATACTGGAGCTCAAATTCAAACCATAGTGCCTCTGTCTCCTGTTTTAAAGTCTGTTGCGGAGAGACACATTTACAAAGAAATCTAAGCAATAATTTGATATTGCAAAGTTTGACCATGAGAGCAAAAGACAGCTTAACAATTGTTTGGTTTTAGGTTGCAGAAAAACACCAAGATGCAGAGAAACACACGTTATACACAGATTAGTATGCTTTAAGCTTGAAAAATTTAAATTCTAATTTTATCAAATAATTTGTGATTACAAACATAAAATGGTAAAGCTGTGCTTCAACTTGCCTGTAGTTGCTTCTTTTGGTTCTGCAGGGTGGAAATGGAGACTGGGCCTGGGATAAACTTCTCTAAATGTTGCTTGTTCTTCTGGAGTTCTGTCTGAAATACCAAGCAGGACTTTCGGTACCTACAGTGAAAGATTGTTTCAATATAACATGAGAACAGAGCCTGCTGCATAATCTGTGACATCTCACTAGTGTCTTTTATTCTTATTTCACTACACTGAAAACAAGGTACATGGCACTTTCATGTCTTTAAGGTAATTATGTTTGTATGTAAATTAGTATATGTAAATTAGTTAAAACATGTGAGACAGGCAAAACCCCATTAAATTGTAAATATTAATTATGTTTTGTTAATTTATTTAATAAGTTTTTTATGAAATTGTCAATGTCAGAAGATTCTGCTTATCCAGATGACTTCCTTAAAGCCAACGAAATGATAGATTTCAATTCTTATGTTCTACTGTGCTAATCTAGAAACAAAGGTCTAAGTTGAAGCTATATAACATGCTGTCATTTCACACACACACACGCACACACACACACACACACACACACACACACACACACACACACACACACACACACATATTAACCCATACCTTTCCAGTACTTCCTGTTCTGATGAGTCCTCTTCCTGTGGTGGGCCGACAGTCTCTGGGATGACGGTCCACTCTGCCTCCTGCTTGGTCTCCACAGTGTTTCCCCTGACCACCGCCTGGAAGATTGGAGAGTCGCATAGAAACAGCCCAGTGAAGAAAAGAGGAAAAGATGGAGCGGCGGTCTATCCACTTAATGAGGATTAGTGCCCTACAGCTGGTGCTGTGTCTTGTACAGGTCAGCCAATGAAAATGCTGAGTTATTTTCTGACCAGGAAGACTTAAGGAAAGAACACTTTAAATGCAATATATAAAGTAAATAAGATTAATTTAGGGCAATTAACGTGCAACATATAATGTCTAAAATAATTTGCTTTATGCAACAAGTCACATCATAGCATTTTACTTTGTGTTACCATCGGCCTGTAATGGCAACATAAAACAAAACCTGTCTCATATCAAATTCAAAACTTCATAGGCAACATTTTTATGTAAAAGAAAACATGAAGAATTTAGGAAAATGCACACATGTTCTTGTGAGACTCTGGCTTGCAGGTGGAAAGCATACTCTTAACTTTAATCCTAAAACGTCCAAAATGTCCAGAAACATGGAAGTCTAAAACATACATGTCATGTCTTATCATGTGTCATATTAGTTTGGATGTAACAGAGGAAAGTGTTACATGCCACATAACTGCTTGACTTACCCAAATTATGAACTACTGCTGAGTACAGAAGAGTGGATACAAAACTTCTGTGAATGTGTGCTACATCCAAAGAAAAGTGGACCTAGCAAGTGTCATTGAAACCACCTCCATATTGACCACACACTACAAAGAAGCTATTTACGTTACATTCATCAAACTTTTAAAAATGCAAATAGTTGTATCGAAGTGCAAACTGGTCCTAAAATACCTAGTGGAGCTGAAAAAATCTATATGAAAGCTCTCTTTGTACCTGTATATGAGTTTCGGTTTGCTGACTGCTCTCAGCGATGTGTAGTAGACGAGCTTTCAGCGGCTGCTCTTTGTCTCGAAGTGAGGGCTTTTGATTTTTCCCTGACCCACAGCCTCTACGTTGTGCCAGGTCATCCTCACTCTCTGTTGGGACATCCTGAGCCTGCACTTGCAGGAAATCACAACGAGGCCGCACTGACACAGCACTACCCACAGGTGAGAGGTCTTGTTGTGGGCTGTCCACGCTTTGTTTCTGCGGGAGACTGTTGCTCTGCTGCGTGTCGGCCAATATGCCAGTCGCTCTCAGCGGGGTCTTTCCATGGAGCGGCCGTCCCCTGCTGAGTTAAGAAATGTTCACCAGGGGGAGGTCGGGGCCAGTCAGTTAGAATCACTCAGGCATCTCATTAAGATGAACAGACTTAAACAATTACAGTGGACAATTGTTAATAAATAAGCTGCTGCTTCAGTTCAATCAATCAACTTAAATTCAATTCACAGTTAATAGATGCTGAACGTTGATTCAAGGGTTAATTCTAATGCTGCAAAATTCTGTCCTATTTCCGTCCAACTTAAGTCAAATAATATAAAATATCCTTAAACTAAAATCTGATGTTCTTCCTAATGTTTATTGTGCTCCTACCAATAAGTGGCTTTAGCGTGGCAGAAGTTGTAAGCCTCCTTGCTGAAAAAACATTTTTTGACTTGAATTTGGCTTTATGTTACATGTACCAAACAACTGCAAACACTTGCAGCACTAGGGTTAGACTTTGAGAGCAAATTGATGATAATGATTACAAGGTCCTGTTTGGTGAAAATAAGCACTCAAACTTGACTTGAGGTACCACATGACATCTTTCAAAATATGACTGACATGATTATCTCTAATAAGGTTTGTAAAAATTATTAATTTTAAAATTGTTGCTTTATCAACACAAATATCCATTAAGTAGTCGTAGTGGTAAGACAGTTGTGGAACATTACATATAGCTACTATGCAAAATAAATACTTTTCAGGGTATTTTTCACAAAGCGACAGACTTTCAACAATCTAGAGATATATCTAGAATCTAGAGATTCAGTTATAAACAAATCCAAATGAGACATGCATAAACTTTGCTCCAGAGCAGAGCAGACATGTCAGAAAATACATACAAGAGATGCAGATCTTGTCATTTCCTTCACTACCTTAAAGGCTCAGTGTGTAAGATTTAGTGGCATCTATTGGTGAAATTGCAACCATCGGTCCAGTTTACCACTACCCAGAGTGTAGGACAGCTACGGTGGCTGACAACAGCACAAAAGTGTCTCTTCTGAGGCAGCAGAAAGTGGCCAGTCAAGGGTTCTTTAGGTATATTTATTAAGTTAGTAAGTGTGGTGTTTCTGCACCACAGTCCATTATAAACCACACATTAGTTAAAGTTTATACAAACACTGACAAGGGAAACACATTCATTCTCTCTGTGATTATGGACCACTGCCAACAATAATATCTGGCCCGCTGCCAGATTACGGTGCTCTGATAGGGGCAAAAATATAAATAAATATATACTTTGATAGAGGTGCTGAAATAGATCTCAGTCATGACAGCAACAGTTACTCACACAATCACTTCCTCTTTAGTGGTTTTGCCTACAAAATAAAAGCTAGAGAAGCTTGTTTACTGTAATGCAGTTTTGGAGTTGAACTGAGCTTTTACTTTGAAGAATTCTGAATGACATTAAAAGTATCTGTAGCCTGCTTGACACACCTCTGAAAGAGCCATCAAAAAACGTGATTCCCCTAAATGTCCTCTGCCTGAAAATACTGGGGAATTGCAAAGGTAAGCTGATGGATGAGGATCAAACACCGAAACAAAAACAGTGCAGCACATGCTGTGATCTGAAAAAGAAGTTGTCTCAAGGTGGGGTTGAACCCTCATCCCTTGGATTGTGAGTCCTGCGCTTTACCAACTGAGCTAACAAAAGCACATGTTGACACAAGGCAATATTACAGCTTATATTATCAACCACGATCTAATAGATAAAACTATTTCTCTGATGCACAACTTATTTGCAGATCCCTGCAGTATATTATTACTACTTCTTCTTCTTCTAATGTACATATTCAACATAGTGACAAGTGTCTGCACTGCCTGAATTCACCAGAAGTAGAACAAGTAGTGACGAAGTGCGCTCTGTAGCGCTGTTTGTCCGTTTTCAGCTACTGTAGAAACATGACGATGTGACGTGGCGACATCCATGGAAGGGGGTGCCCACGGTTATATAGATATAAATGGCTCTTTCTAAGGTAATAAAAACATAATGGTTTATTATGCAAGGTCTTTAAACACCACTGAAAACATAGTTATGGATCTTATATTGCATTTCTGTCGATAGATCCTCAGAAATATTACACACTGAACCTTTAATATGATTATGTTTAATATGTTACACCGCATGATGCCTCTCCATAGCATGACCTTACCAGTCAGATGGGAGCATTGTGTCACTGGGTTGTGTCTCCTGTGCTTCATCTGACTCCCGCAGTTGATCTGTTGCTAGGCAGGAGGATTTTCTTGGTGTTAGAGTTTCACACAGCTCCTCGAGCGATTCAGCCCATTCCTCGACAGATGCAGCTCCATCTACGACAGCCTGGGAGGAATGTGAGCTTCTGATAAACTGAAGTATATTTCTTTCTGGCTATCTGATCTTTTGCCACAATCATACAGTTTGCACAATCAGACGTTAATGCCATGTTACAAAGTTACGCAAATACCTGTTTCTGCGGCAAAGACTCAAGGTCAGTGTGGTCAGTGGCTTCATGCAGAGCGTTAGTTTGCGTTTCACATTGCACAACAGAAAATGACTGCTTTCCAACTCTGATCTTAGACCATAAGATGGGAACAAAGGCAGCCATTTCTCTGCGTACATCCTGAGTGTGACAAAACAAGCAGAAACTTACTTTGCAAAAAAAATTTATCAAAATTTGTATGAAATATGTCAGTGGTCCCAGATTATCATGGTATATCACAGCTGTTAGAGCTAAGGGAAACCAGTAAAATACTGAATTAATCAGGTCTTCTTCTACAGGTGGGATAACCCCAAAAGTAAGACATTGTAAGTAAAAGAGTTAAATGAAACCAAATTGACACTTTGGGATAATACATTTAGAGGTGTTTTTTCCCTACTAAGCTTTACTCAATGGAATTTTTAAAGAAATTACTGTATTAAAACAATAAAACCCAGTAAATGTTAGGTGTGTTTTAAATTACTGAATACATTTACATTTATTCATTTAGCTGATGCTATTATCCAAAGCGACTTACAATTACTATATATCAGAGGTCGAACGCCTCTGCAGCAACTAGGGGTTAAGTGTCACATTGGTGGATGTGTCACAGAGGGAATTAAACCTGGGTCTTATCCTCTGTACCATAGCCACCCCAGTACAGTTACAGTACAGTTAGACTTGGTTTAAAATCAATTAAACCTTTCTTTATGACAGAAGAGGCTCATCTCTTTCTAGTGGGTGCAACTATCTTCTGTGTACAGTCCCTGTCATACCTCCCACTGCTTTCTGACTGAGTCAGAGAGGAGCATCAAGTCCTGGAGTTGGGGCCCAGCGCAAAAGGCCCCCAAACCCTCCACTGCATCCAGGAACTCCTCGAGGATGGCAGGCTGCAGAATCTTTAAAGCTTTCTGCACAGAAAGACATAAAGCTGGACAAACATACATAGACAAAACTGACAGCTATGCAAAGCGAAACACCACAAACCTTTAAATAACTTGGCCTAATTCTGAAATAATATTTTGAGTTTCCAAGGTTTGGATGTTTTAGCACGAAAAGCATTTGCTCTGTTTTAATCAGTTGATAAGCAACAAGTGGGTAGAAAGCTGTCTTTACAGTCAATTTGAAATGTATCACACAAAAAATCAGTTAGTGATGTCTTTTTTGTTTTCCATCATTAAAACTGTACCTGTTTCCTCTTGGCTTGTGTCTCCGAAATCTCTTTGCCCCCAAATAACTTCATGGCTTGCTGGATGCGTCCTTGCAGACGAAACCTGGCCTTCTCCAGTCTGCTCCTCGCCATTGACTTTGCTTTCGAATGAACTTCACCGTGGACCATGAGCGGTTGCCATGGAGATGTTTTATTACTCTGTAGAACGCTTACTCTGGGTTTCGATATCTGAGTTTGTGAGGGGGGTGAGCTTTGCTTTTCCTCTCGGACTGGGTGTTTTGTGTTCTTTGGTCCATCATTTTGACTTGGACTTGTAGTTTGAGTGAGGGATTTTGAAAATTTAGCCCCTTCTACAGTTTGAGCAAGAGGATGTACTGGTTCCTTCAAAGGCTTGATTTGGACATTGGGTATAACAATGGTTGGTCCATCCTCTTTGTTCATGTGTTGCTTTATAGGCCAAACCTGGAGACCTATTGTCCTGTGTGAAACCTGATTTGGGTCCTGGATTTGCAGCATAACGTTCCCAATCTGGTCTACATGTTTGGTTCTGGCCACAACAAATAACCCTGCGTCTGGCTGTCTCTGTGTTTGATGGTCTGCTTCCACATCTCGCATAAACCCAAATGACCTAAACATTCCAAGAATCTCCTAAAGAAATAAAACATATACAAATCACATAGTCTCCAAATAACTAAGTAACTGTTGAAGAACAGAAAAAGTTTATTTAACTCACCTGGCAGTGGGAGACTGCCTCTGAGATCCTGTCCTGCAATGAAGAGGCGCTGAGGTGCTGCAGAGGACAGGTTTTCTGAACTTGAACCACAAAATCCTGCAGATCCTGTCCCTCAGTTATAACCTGGTTCTCTAGATGCAAGCCTCGAGAAATCAGTACCTGAAATGATTATACAGCCGATACTGTGTTATCTGTATTGTATTGTTATTTTTAGTACCTAAACCAATCATTAGCATAGATTGACAACTTCACAGGAAAATTTTACGCTTTATATTTTCCCTTAATACACTCCAAAGGAATGCTTGAGTGGCCCTGTGGCCTCAAACCATGTTACTCAAACCCAGTTTTAGCCTATTTCAATGTGCATGCGTACCATCCGCTACCCAGGAGGGTTATTACAGTACTCAAATCATTTACAAGTAGACATTGTGAAACACAGTAAAAACACAACAATGAAGATCAAACAAAGAGAGACAAGAGAGTGAAAAACATCAGTCACAAACATTATTATTAAAATTCTGGGACCTGTTTCACCAAATATGCAACACGCCGCCACCATTTGTAATCTGCATGTTAACAATGCTCACAGATCACTTGTGAAAATGGCTTCAGCATAATTTGTGATAACATTATCATAAAACCTAAATAATGCCAAATTAGAAGGTGCATAAAGTTTTGGTTTGCTGACTTTGGCCATAGGTTCCAATGCAGAGTGTCCTCCGTGCTTTTTCCCCTTTAGGTGCTGGAGACAGTCCAGGGCCTCTGTGCTCCAGCGTTCCAGCTCAGCCAAATGGCCCTCCAGCCTGGACGCAGCCCGCTGTAGCTCTCTACATGTCCTATCTGCTTCAGCAAGCATCTGTTGTACAGATACAAGCAATTAGGTCTGAACCCAAACCTTAGTTTGTCATATTACAACACAGGGTAGCAGGACTATGTACACATGTTAATATATCAATAACAAATCCTATCAAGATGTTGTAATTGTAACAATGGCAACAACTGTTGTGTTTCCTCTTTCTAGTCTCCTTGGACATGACTGAATGTGTGTTCACCTGTGCACTGGTTTAATAAAGTTCAGCTTCAGAATGGGTTTAGTCAAAAACTGGATGGACTGAGGCCTGTTGAAATGCAGCAGAGTACCTGTGGGAGATTTTGCTGGAGGTTCTCTATGTGGCTTGTTTGAAAGTCTTGGGATGGACTGAGAGATGAACAGTCCACCTCAGCCATCTTTTTACTCAGTAGCTGATAAAAAGAAAGTACACAAAGTAAAAAAAAAGAGACTAGCTCAGACATGACAGATTTAAAAATGTGTCTATATTTTGCTGCAGATTTTTATCTAGCTATCCATCCATTAATTTGAAACTTTGCCAACCTGTAGTTTCTGTCTGTTAGCCTTCAGTGGGACTGAGGCCACCTCCAGTGGCTGCCTCAGTAGCCAGCTGGCCTCCTGGGTCAGTGAATGCACCATTTGAAGACAGCTCGGACCAACACTGGGCTCTGATGACACTTCCTAAGAAAGACATGCTTCATGAATAGCAGCCATTATTGGTGTCTGTATCTCCTATTTTTCCTACGTTTAAAGTTTCATTTACTTTTGTGAAACATTTTCATGGAAATCATGAACCTTTAAAATCGTTGCATTGCATTTTATCTTAACTGTCTGTTAGGTCTGTTCTACCTGTAGAAATAGCAGTGAGAACATGCATACTTACAAACATTTTCCTCTTCATGCATTCAGCCCACTGCATGTTGACCTTCCTGAGTTGCTCGGCCAGAGTGAGGCTGGTTGAAGATTCTGTCACTTCAATGAGCAAATTTCCCGCCTCATTTAACTTAGCCTGACATGAAGTCCACTCACCCATATCCTACAGTAACCAAACCAAAAGGTGAATCTAGGGCTTCCTGCAACCCCAAATCAGCGATTTTTTTTCATTAATAATTGGTCATTCAGTTTTCAAACACTGGACCTCACAGTGAAAGTCATACAGGAATGTTTTTGAGTTTTACAAAATTCTGGACAAACTGATTTTACCTGCGTCTCTACAGCAGGAGTCTGGGTGTGCGATTGTATGTTCTGTGCCACCCATGTCTGGAGAGAAGGAAGGCATTTGTTGTAAATCTCCCACGCAGACACCACTCTCTCCATCGTCCCTCTCACAGCCGTCACAGCCTGTGTGACCAATTCAGCTTCACCTTCTGCTCCCTTCACCTGGCGAGTAATAAGCTGGGAATCTTGACCTGGGGAGTGTGGATGTCAAGTCTTGCTTTTTAGAAATTCAAGAATTCACAACATATCAAAGATTAAGATAGCATAGCACAGATTTTGTGCTTACAGAACATTTGACAGACAAAAATTTTGCTCATACTTAGTGCTGCCTTGCCAGTGTAAGCATTTGCCTTTTCTTTCAGGTTTTGGAGCGCATCCATCAGAATCAAAAGCTGGCCTTGGCGCTCCACTGTTTCCTAGACAACAAACCAACATGAGTCATCGATTTTGCTGGCTTTTCAGGAAGCATAATATGTCAGATCACTCACTAGATTTAAAAAATGTAAGCTAGTCTGTTAGTTTGATAATATGCCATTCCCTGTTATCTCATAATAATGCTGCTCATATTAGTGTGTTGTTGGAACTGGCTTCATGTACGGCTCTTTCAAATACTTACATGCCAGTCCTGCAGAAGCACAAGTACTGTATCCTGGGAAGTGTAGGGCGATTTCCAGGTCTGAAGCTTAGCATTGATGCTGCCCAGAAGATCCAGTACAGTGTGACAGGATTCCTGGTATTCTAACTTGATCCCTTGATACTTGGCTGTGACTCTGATATTGGTTAAACTGTTTTCAAATACAGAATGCATCAGTGCATTATTTCATTAATTTATTGTAACCAAACTACATACACTTGTAATGCAAGGGACTTAAAAGCTTTATGACTTTAAACGTCCATTTTGGAATATTGATTTTACTAAGAATTAAGTCATTATGTACCGTCTTTTTATCGCATCAAACTTTTCAAGGGGCACTACTACGTTCCCTGAGTCATCCATGTTGTCATAAGTGTCAAGGATATTGATGTGGTGGCTCATCTCCTTAATTAAAGTCTGAAAAAAACAGCAGACAAGATAATTAGCACATAAACTAGATGATGATTGTGCTTCAAGTCTCAAAATATTGTTATGTTGCCTGTTCATATGTAGATCTGCCCTATTTGTGTCCCATGACTTATATGTTATTTCAAAACCCTTGCAAATTGTACATTTTGGATTTCTGAGAGCAGGAAAGATCAAATTTGTTGTGCAGCTTCAAAATAAAAATAACCTTTAGCGTGTCTTGTTGAGCTCTTGCTTTTTTTGCAGCATCTGCGTGATCTTGCGTTATTCCTCCATCTTCTGTTAATGCTGCCTCTGCACGCTGCAGCCATACAACAACAGAGTTCAGAGGAGAAGGAAGACTCAAGTCCAGGTCTGCTTTACGTCTCTGCAGCTGAAGAACGACACACACATACACAGCCTGGTCATTGTTATGCTGTCTAATGACTGCTCTGTAAGCCTATTCATCTGGAGAGAGACAAAGGAGGTAGATCAGAAAGACTAAAAGAAACCTCAGGAGAAAGTTTTTCCTCTCTAATTCTATTTTGCATAATGATTAAGTCATGTTAAGATAAAACAACAGCACAGGATGCAATAAGGGTGCAGGGCAAGAGTGACTAAAATCCTTCTGAGGAAAGAGTGTGACCCTGCTGCTTTTTTCCACAGTGGATTTCCTCACCTCCTCTTCCAGATGATCCCACGCTGTCACGAGAGCACACTGCTCTTGGCTCAGCTCAGGGCAGCGTCTTATGGCAGCAAGGAGGCTCATCACTGGTCTCCTTTGCTCAGTGAAGGAGTCAGCGAGGTTCTGAAACACCTGATGAACCAAACGCAGCAACAACATCTAATCGCTGTACAACAATGAAAGTTTTCTTATTTCAGCATTTGTGCTTCGCCTTACCTGATATTTTTCTGCATAGCTCGACATTTCTGTAGCCATCCGTGCCTCTGACAGTTCCTGGTAGGCTTGATGCAGCCAGCAAGTCATCTCTAGTATTCGCTCACTTGGAGAGACCTACATTATTTTTTTTTAATTGTCAATAACTACACTTTTGTATTAACTATGAAAAACAATGTGAGAACACCCTGAAAACAGCAGTGGATTTTGTTTTTCAAATTAAGAAAAGTTAAGAAAAGTCAAATTAGGAAAGTTCCATGCATAGCCATGCATCTTATAAACATCAAACACATACAGCTGAAATGTTCTTCACTAAAACTTGAGAGAAAGACATAAAAATTGGACAAATATTAACTGAAGAAGGACTTCTTTGCTTGGTGTATAGTACCTGACGTAAGGGTGAGACAGCAATTGCTGGAGTGAAGTGAGCAGGCAAGTTCACAGGTGAGGGAGAAAAGGGTTGGACTGGAGGAAACAGCTACACCACCGCCACCAGAAGAGAACAGGGAAAATAATTAATACCCCTCAGTTTCATGCAATAGATTGTGGGTTCACGCTCAATACAGGGACAGGAAGCAGCAGGAGCAGAGGAACAGTAGCACTGTTACTCTGCAGGACTTGTTTAAACTTTCATGAGGGAAGATGTATTTTTCTAAAAGCAATGCTTTCTGTTCTGCAGCAAAGTCTTTAGAAGGTGTGAAAGTCAATGTGATGGTGTGATTAAAAATATTAATATGAATACCTACCTGCAGATGGTCATCAGGTGCTGGCATGTCATTGGAATACTGCAGAAACTGAGCTACGTAAGTCATAATGGACTTCTCATCTGGGTCTTTAACATCAACATCTGTAGCGCAGATAAATACACAGAAAGTCTTTATTGTTGTTCAGTTTGGCAGCTACTCACCTCCACTGTCATTTTAAGCGATGTTGTCTTGAATGACATATAGTAGGAAATAATGAAAAATAATAGTTATGTTTTTTTGTGGGCGCAGTAATGTGTCAGTTTGCTTATTCTAACTCTTATACTGCAGCCACTGTTTGTACCTTCTCCCATGTACAAAAATCAATGTGACACATTTATGTCTGTGCTAAAATGGGTGAAGAAAAGCAGTATTCATTGAAAATACCCTGTCATAACCATCAGGTATTTTTTACTGATGAGTTTTAGTAAGTGCTATGCTATTGTGAAACAATACTTAGAACTACTCAACAATACTACTTAATCAGCCTCACCCTGTGGCTCCAACAGGCGGGGGATGTGGAGCTCCCTCTCAGCCAGGTGGAACGCCTCTTCCAGGTTCTCCTGGTTGCTTCTGGACTGGACCAGTGAGAGATCAACCAGCTGCGGTCTGAGAGAACACAGGATGGCCAAGAAGGCAACACCACTTCTCCAGCTCGACCTGAAGTCCTTCATACTGACAGAGCATCCAACCCTAGAGAGAGAAAGACAGATGGATGACAAAAAAAGAGGGAAGAAAACAAAGTACTACTCGGGATTAGTGGTGCCAATGAAAAGTGTAGGACTAGTTGTCCTGTAGTGGAACAGTGCAACCTCCGAGCCACAATGTTGCTCATAAAAAATTTCATGTTGCTAGCGTTACTGACTTACAGCCTGTTTCTTAAATTAAACACCTGTGTAATGCCTTTGTTTTAAGCATTCATATATATTGCAGATAACCCACTTTTGGCATTGGTCCCTGACCCACATGAGCAGGGCCTTCTTGGCGGACATTCGGAAGCGTCTGTGGAGAGGCGATGTCCGGCCTGCAGGGACCGGACTAGCTGGGACTGGGCTCCCTGACCAGGAGTCCAGGCTGGCCAAAGAGTCGAGGGAGGAATGACAAGAGCTGAAGGAGAGAGTGCTGGCCAGCTCCTCAATCTAAAACAGAGATAGTGAAACAATATAATAGACATTAAATTATCATTATATTTCAAATGGTTCCTCCATATGTGAAATATGACCAAAATGTACAATTTAAAGCCAATACTTTGACTAAGTTTTTTTTTTTAATATTAATGATGCATCACGAAATGCTTGTTTGTTTCGTCTTCCTCTGTTTCTCCTCCTACTTCCTTTTCTCACATTAGCAGTAGTAGGTTAATTCTGTTTGTGGTGGCATTAGTTTATCATTGGCACTCACATGACATTGGAGGATGATTGTCCATATAAGTCCGAGGATGATGGAGGGCCGTCCATCTATGATATCTGAGATGTTTATGTTCACCAATTTGATCTACACCAACCGACCATAACAACAGTTAACCAAACACACTGTGGATTCAGATGCTATGTTTTTTTTGTGTGTGTGGAAACTTACAGATTTTCTCTTGAGAAAGTTCAGTGCTGTTTCAATGTTGGCCCTCTGCTGGAAAACCCCACGGCCTCTTTGTCGTTTCTGTGGAGATAAACATCAGCGTTATTATGAGAATAATATTTATTTAGTTGTAATGGAGGAATATAGAATCTATTCAACTCATTGATATCAGAAGCACATGTAGTAACTCACCATCGGTTGGCCAGTCATCACCTCCAACAGGTCGAGCAGCTGTGACCCATTTCTGATGTCAGAAAAGAGGTCTGACACATATGAGGGTGGGCATCTCTGTAACAATGCACAAAAATTACTGATTTATCTGTCCAGCTGAACAATTCATATATATATATATATATATATATATACATATATATATATATACATATATATATATATATATATATATATATATATATATATATATATATATATATATATATACATATATATATATATATATATATATATATATATATATGGTCCCTCTTTAATTTCACTAGTTCCATCTACTACACTTCAGTTTCAGTAATGTTACTGATATTGAGATAACAAACATGCATAGTCGAAGGTTGTATGTTAAAAAATTACAATAAAATGTACTGCATTTCTTGCCTTGTGAATATCAGCAAATGAAGGCAATATACACAACATTCATTTCCATTGATAATTTCAAAACAGGAAGTAACAGAGCTTACAAAAGGTATCAAAGTTGTGCTAACGAATTTTAGCAATGAAAGCACCCACCACAGCTGTATATAAATAAATATAAATAACCTTGAGTCATATTTGGTGGGAAATTTACTGCCATAATTTTATACAAAACAGGAAGTTCAGGTTCATGTGGTGTCATGTGGTAAAACAAAAAGTAAAAGGCTGATGGAAAAATAAGTGCTGAGCTGTTTATGTTTTTGCACACCACAGAGTGCAACAGGAAGCAAACGGGTTTATAGGAAATGTGAACTACTTTGTGGGAAACACTGAAAAATTCTATATTAAATTTTTTTTTTTTTTTTTTTTTACAATGACATGAATTTTCTTAATGCTTCACACAGCACAGTTTACAAATGCATCCTTTACCCAAAAAGGTCAGAGCCTACAAATTCTGTCTTCCTTCCAACACCTACTGCCATGCAACTGCAGTTGATTCATTGAAATGTTTCCGGGTCAAAGCTTTAGGTCAAGTCACAACAGTAAACGTTGTCCCCCAGACATAAAGGAAATACTCCTGGTGGGGGTTGTCAGTCCACTCAGATTGGTGTAACAGATGGCAGGTTATGAACCAGTGATTTTAGAGCGCAGTCATATGGACGTGAGGTATGAAGAGGAGGCTGGATTCAGATTACATGCTGTTTTGCTTCACTGAAGCACTATTTATACTCCAGTCAAGTGTCACAAGCAGCTCAAGTCCTCTTTCCAACAAGATCCATGGTGAGCTGCCTCACTACACCTCACTGTCTGAACACTGACTCAGCATGATTACAGCTTTCTTCATATCATTTACAGCTCCACCACAGCATGATGTTTCAATAATACCTAGGTAGAGTTCTCCAGAACATTTTTTTTTTTCATTCTTGCCCAAATATTGCATGTTGAAAAGCAGCTAAAGTCAGAGCAAAACATAAATCAATACTATTGATCATGTTTTGCTTGAGACATCTCCTAAATTAAAGTTAAGTTTTAGAATATACATAAGAAAAATATCTTTAAAGGAAAAGTAAAGGCATGCAATACCTGCAAAAGGCAGTTTCCTTTTTACATTTTAGCCAATGCTGCGAGTAGCATATAAACCTTGAATTAACATTTTCTTGTCAGTCCCTTTCTGCATCACTACTCCAGCCTCTCCCCAATCCAAGGTAATCTCCAGAAGATATATCCTATTAAACAGCCAAATGCAAACTTTTGTCTGGGGGTATCTTTGACAAAGCACCAGTTCTTATTTATTTATACTGTATTCAAAGCAATAAAACCATCCAGAAGCATCAAAATCAGGAGTGAGCAGTTTTTGTTTTCATCTATAATAGTTTATTTATCTTATAAGCATCACATATAAATATGATATCTAAATGTACCTTAGAGAGTTGAGCATTTATCCAGTTGGTGAATGTCCTTTTCTGAATCTGTTCATGCTCCACTGATGAGGAAACAGACAAAACATTTTATCTATAAACATGGAAGCTTGTGTTTGCTGGCATCCCTGAAAAAAAAGTCATGTCTGGCTTGTCACAGTCCTGAAAACACCAACTAATGTAAACAAATGCACAAATCACTTTTCATAAACATTGCAGTATACTCCTCAAAAGCAACCTGACTTTCTCTGACCTTCCCTGTCTGGAATATGCTGCTGTAAAAATCCAGACATTTCATTACAGCAGTTGGAACCTTGATCTAAGCTGCAGCTAAGTCATAAAAAAAGATACTCACCGACATCAGAGGACTGAAGGATCTTCCGAACCTCCATGCTTATAACTGATAGTCAATAAACCCATATATAATGAGTGAAGATACTACTTTAAATAACATATTACTGTCTTCTCAAACACTAGGTGACCCAGACTGGCAGGAAGCTTGAAGCTAAAGTAAGGCTACCGGCTGGGATCTGGCTACAAGACGGCTTCCAACACAGTGACAGACATAGATACTGACGCTCACACACACACACAGCAGATGTACACAGAGACACACTCACAGCCATGATGAACTCCCAAACAGACATTTGCACACACACAGTAAGGGATTTTGGGCATATATGGTTCTTGAGAGTTACTAGACCTGATCCTAAGATTCTGTTGCCAAAACATTAACCTTTTACTATATATAACACTATAAAGGCATTCCGTGTTACAGTATTATAGAAATGACAGAACACTTTAAGTAATATGCAAGTAGTTTTGGAAATTGCCTGTTTGCCCACTTTAGTATGAAGAAACACTGACTGGGTAAGTGAAGCCAATGATCTCCTGGGAACACATGAATCATTTTGGTGTCCACTTTATATTTACATCAAAAGAAATAATGGGTGTTTAAATCAAATTATAAGTATTTTACTACTTTAATTAAAATTATTCGTAGAATATAAATAACTGTCTCCAACATAAAAAGTTCAAAAAAATTAAATGATTCTGCCTGCATCGCTTTCATAAACTTTTACCTACTACTTTTGTATCTATGTGCAATCATAGACTGTGTATAAAAAAGTGTGCAATGTTGCTTCAAGTCTCTTTTCCTGCAGACCAAACATGACAAAGATTGCACACTCAAAGCTACAGGAACTTAAGGTTTTGTCTGAGGCAATCAGAAATGCACACACTCACTTTCAGATTGAAGAACTCACACATGTAGATATCAGGTTTGGCTATGAATCATACTCAGTGAGTCTGCTGTTTGTTTAAGAGCCTCCAATGCAGGAATCTCCTGAGCATTTTAATCACTCGACTCCACCCAGTTCAGCTAGAACGCCCAATACAAACAGCAGTAAGAGGCTTCATCACTAACTTCTTACTTCAGGCCATTGTAAGATGGCATCAGTCAAGTATGTTTTCTCAGGTCAAAGTATAGCTCTTCACAAATGTTTACAACAAACATAATGTGAACACGACTTAATGTTGGAAGAGTATGTATGTCAATATCTAAGTATATCAACTTTTTAACATCAGTTTAGTTAAGTTACCACGTACTCAGACACTTGCCATTGTTTATTTTGGTGCATTGTCAAAACTGCTTATGTCTGATATTCCCTGATTCACAGTAAAATTCTTATTTTCAAGTACATAATTAGTACTGGACACTGATAAAACCATAGCCGTATTTAAATGCACACCTTCTTATAGCATTACATGACAAAATTCTGCACCTCTTGCCATCAAAATTAATATTTTCAGCTTGCATAAAACATAGCAAGATTTTTTCCTTTTAACACTTAATTCAGCAGGTAATTGTTCAAGATCGACAAGATTTGCATAGTGCATAGTTTTCAAAAGTGAGATAACACAATTGGGAGAACCACCATGTTTGGAGACTAAATCTTTGTCAATCAATGAATATGGTAACGTTCAAGGTAATTTTTAATGACTATCCATCATTACACATACAGTAGTTCTGCAGCCTGAAGTACCAAGAACAATGTGTCTGGTAATCAAACTAAAAATGTGAAGCAATATGATTAAAGCCCAGTATCACCAGGAAATTAAATGTTTCATCTAATTAGTGTTGGAGTCACATTAATGATTGAGCTTCTTCGTATGGACCAAACAAAAATCTCAGGGACTGAACAACAAAATCATTCATTGTCTCTGTACAAAGAACAAATATCCTATCATACTGCTAAAAACACAAATGACAAAAGAATATGAATTTACATATATTTTGTAAGCATTTGTTAAGACAAAGGCAGATATGTGTTATTTTTAATACATAAATATACTTTATAATATACCATTCAGAAGCCATGATTCTTCTCAAATTCAAAAGTGAAAATAAAGGCAGAAGCTGCAATTACCTTAATAATATGCAATATTTTGTAAAGTGGATGATACAAGTGCTATCTCCTGTGTGTGAGTAAGGGTATGGCTGTTAACTAGCTGTTAACTAGATTGTTTTAATTTTCAGAAAAGTCCTGAAAATGCAATCTCCACACATGCAAAATAGCAAACAAATAACTTTAACTTTAAATAGCTTTAACCTGACAGTCAAACTGCTTTTAAAAATCCACACAATTATCAATTTTCAGCACTTCCCATTTTCACTTCTTTAGGTTATGAATTCCTAGTGCGTGTTATGTTTCATATTAAAGTAATGCAAGACACAGAAACAGATCGCCTCAACAGAATTCATAGTTTGGCCATTACTATGATTCCCCACCCCAGCACATCACATGTCACAACATCTACAAAAGCACAGGAATAGACTGACCTTGGAGGAGCATGTGCACGTTGTCAATGTCCAATGGAATGCCTCCATCGTCTTCCTCTGCTCCACCTGAAGCCATGTAGTCTCTCTAACCACAGCACGAGATCAACATCAGAACGGTCCAGGAGACAGAGATAAGTAAATTGTCCGCACAATTGCAATCCACAATGCTACAAAGAAAAGAAAATGCTGATGGTAAATACTAGTATCAAAGCTTGTTTCAAAAGATTAGTTAGCTGCCTCCACTGCCATTAGTCACGTTTCAGTGAGAACGCACCCACCCACACCCTACATTACCAGACACACACACACACACACACACACACACACACACACATAGATGCAAGTAGACACTTGCAAACACTGAAACAAAGAGCTCAACGAGGAGGAATAACCGTGGTATATGGAAAGAGCAAGATATCCAAAAATAGTTCATCTTCAACATACCTGTAGCAGGGCTGTAGTCACTGAACACAGCTAGAACATACTGCATTACAAAGAAGAACCCAGTAGAGTGTGTACAGTTTACAATAAATGTCCTCAGCTGTGTCCTTTCATATTGGCACAACTCTGCGTTGATCCACTGTGTGTAGGTCCTTCAAATAGGACTTGGCCTTTAGGTGGTCATAAATGAAAAAAGGTGCCTCTTGGTTATTGGAGCGTGAGGACAAAAACGAGTGGAAAGTCCCGCCCACGCACACTGCAGGCCCAAACCACTCCTGCAGACTCTCATACAACCTTTTTATCCTGTAGTTAAAAGTAATCATATACACACAAATCTCTTATACTAGCTATATCTTTTGTCTTTATCCTTTTCTTGTTTTTACTTGTGAGCTAGTTTAATAATGTAACAGTTGAGAAAAAATGACACTGAAAAAGATGCATTATTTGTGAAACTGTTTCAGGTTCCTTTTATGGGTCATTCCCCCTCATGACTTTGCAATATACAGTTTTAAAAATGCAATTCTGCCTGTACTTTCTCAGCTGGTTTCATATTGAGTTATAGCGATCTAGTAAAGCTTTTCAATCATTATTAATTACAGTTCAAAGTAAGTAATCACTGGGAGCAAGTTTATTTAATACTTTACCTGAAAAGGATGCTTATAACTGAATTTAAACTGAACATTATTTATTTGTTTCACCTGAACAAAAAGAGAGTGTACTAACAGTAGATCATGTCATACAATGCCTTCTTTACCCTTGAGATCAGTGCCAGTGTTTTATTTGTTGTATTACTATGGTGAGCAGACAGAGCAGGTCTGTGTGTCACACAACAGCTGCAACCTCACCTCAAATTCCCACGTGTGTCATGGCAGTGGTACAGGCATGAAAACGTAGAACAGGATGGTTATAATTATAATAAGGAATATACAGTAAGGAATAATTGTTCCTTTGCAAAGTGTGTGATTGAAACTGAAAGTAAGGCAGGGTTTTTCACATTAAAAGGTTATTCTAGTGTATTTCTACTGAAAACACAGATTATAAAAGCATCAACTGAAAACTGGTATCGGGTTTAATTGCATCAACAAGTATATGACACCATCAAACTCTTACTTCCCCATGCATGTCAATTTTGTAAGTCTTATAAAGACTTGAATATACCACGAGAGTAATTATAAGATTTCAGTGGTCAATTATTGTTTACCTATACATGAAGCCAATGTGCAAATCTAAACGTCTAACAAGATGAAACCCAGAAACTCTTGTTGACCAATTGTTGGCCTTTGGTCCTACACAAAATGTCCATTCATCCATTCATTATCTATACCCGCTTATCCTTGCAGGGTTGTGTGAGGAGACTGGAGCCAATCCCAGCTGACATTGAGTGAGAGGCGTAATACAGTCTAGACAAGTTGCCTGTTCATCACACTCACATTCACAATTATGGCCAATTTAGAGTGTCCACTTCTTTTTTAGTTTTCAGATGGCTGACCAATCCATCAAATTTGCCACAACCTTAACTTCAATCTCTTTCTAGGAACCACCTTTTAGAATCCTTTTTAAACATAGTGTAAGAAAATCATCAAGGGAGGGAATCTTGAGAATGACCAAAATTAGCTTTATACCCATTATTCTTCTTTTTATTTTTATTCTTTTGACAGAACTATGATTGAAATCATGTTTCCATTGGCAGATGTCGTTTCAGTGACATGGTATATGACATCTTATCACATTTAATTTTGAGACTACAATTAATATAATTAAGTCTTTAGGTTACAGCATGATATCTACACTATACATTTACTGTAATAAATATATTTTTCATTAATTAATTACAAATCTAAATAAAATGATGGTGTCAGCAGCACATAATCCCCAGATTTCAGCAAAATGATTTGATGAAGAAAAGATCAGTGTTCACAAGGTACAGGGTGTATATGTCATTTTACAACAGGATTGTATAATTACATTAAGTTTGTAGTTTAGCATTTATGGTTAAGTCCTCAAGGTGGAGTCAACAGATAAAGGTAGGCATACTGTCTCTTAAATAAGCTAATAGTGTAACGTTACCTCCATTTGGTGGCGCTACATACCAAAACATGAACTAAATACTACTCAGTTAAGAGTAGAAGAAGACATCCCCCACGACTTTGACGTTTAGCAGTAGCCCTGACCTTCCTACTGCAGCGTGACAAACTGAAAGGTAAGGGAAGAGTTAGCGCTTATTTAGGAAAGTCACTTTATCATAACAGAAAATAAGCAGTTGTTGCCTCAAGAAAGGAATTTAAAAATAAGTAATCGTCTCTACTTATCATGCTTGTGTGTCTTACTTCTGCAGGTTTACTCAGGTAGCTAGCTAGCTTCTTGCTAAGTGTAGTGGAGTCTTTCCGTTTGTCCAGTGAAGATGCTAAGACGCTAGCACAGAGCCTTTCAGCTAACGTTAGCTAGTCAAGTTAAATAAACACTAATATATATATATAATGTGTCTGCTTGTAAATACTCTCTTATTTTAACCGACGTGTATGCATTTATTGCTAACGCTGTCTTGGATACTAGCGTTAACTTACAGAATCAAAGTTATAATGTTAGCAGTAACAACTAGCATAGCCAAATACGTTACGTTATTTTAGTAAATATACATGGTTGGACACGTCGATGAAAAAATCTCTTATCCCACTCACAGTAAAGATAAGAAAAGTGAAATGCTATTTTACCTCTTCTTTTGATCAGTATTTACTAGGTGGCCAAATTCATTACTGAGGCCTAACACAGCTGAGGGTCACGGTATCACTCAGAGTCCTGCATCCAAGTTAATTGAATTGAATCTGAATCAAGAAAATGAACCGGTTTCTAAAACGTAGCTTCAGTAAACATCAGTGCAACCTAACATATTTTATGGATTATGCCAAAAGTATGAACTCTATATGATTAATTAAACGCCCACATTTAGTTCTGCCTGGTAAGCTTAAGCACACCACATCAGTAAATTAGTTTGTTGTAGTCTTTCTCTGTAGAGATGTTCTTCTGATGTTCCAGTCATGCCTCTACTGAAATAAACTGTTATTTGAGGTTGTGTCATTGCACTGACCTAGTAAATGAACACCGTTTTGAGACTGTTGCTTTCTCCCACAGATGGCTGGACGTGCGTTTGCAAGTTGGTGGGGCAAGATGAGCCCTTACTACACTAAGGCATACCAGGAGATGTGGGTGGGTCTTGGCATTATGACATACCTGTACTACAAACTTTCCTATGGGGGTGAGTTCAAGTCTTACTAATTTATACTGTTGAAAATATAGGTGCACTTCATAGCACAGATTGATTGATTACTAATTTAGTTGTAGTAATAATAATATACTTACATTTTATTGTCCTAATACAATATATTCTTAGGACAATTTATTGCCTTAGGATATTGTCCTAAGAATACTGAAGTTAGAAACAGGTGTGAAATACATTTGGTTTTCATAGTATTGAATACATAAGCAGCTATAATTACTTAGATGTATTTAAAATGCACTGTTTCTCAGAGGTATGGGTTAATGTGTCTAATATAATGTCTGTTTCTCTTCCAGGCAAGAAGGCTGTAAAGGACAGTAAGTAGCCTAAAATTTTGTGTATTCAAACTATATAATTTAAAAACTTAATGACCCCAGATCTCTGAGTGTTTTGGCCATTGTGGGCCTCATGTTGCACTTGAGTAAACATTTGTCTGCAATATGCTTGTAATTTTGAATTTACCCTGGATTTAAATATGTTGAACAGAACAAACTTTATTAGCAATGGCACCAAGTTTGGGCACTTGGGTGTGTTCATTTTAAACACGTGTTAAAATGGTTAGGTAAGCCATCAGTCATTGCCCTCTCTGTCTGTGTAAAAAGTTTGCAGCAGTGATCGTGAGCTACTGTATGCTACAGCAAAAGTCAGATGTTGTGCAACTACATATATTTCCCTCTAGATGTCAGTGATTGACTAATCCCGTCATCAGTGGCGGCTATTTTAGTGAATGTTGTTGTTAATAAGAAATGTACGAGTCTGCATCAATAATAATCAATTTGGTCATCAAACATGTTTATTTGTGGTCCTCTCTTGTTGCAGAGCCTGCCCATTGAATTTCCACCATGATGTCCACCCCTCCACCTGCTGTGAAATAATGCCCCAGTCGTTAGCCCAGAAGTTCAGCTTCATATTTGAATTTTTGTTAATATGGAACAAATAAAGTTGTTATCCACAACTTTTTATTTTCATTGGTGGTGTTATTTTTGTATTGTTGTGGCTTTAAAGTAATGCCACATGACTTTTTTTGTTTTGTTTTATTCAGTGGTGAGTGTAGACAGAAGAAGCTACTAACAAAATAATGTATTCAAAATTAACATTAGGCGCTTCTCTACAGAACACTTTGTCTCCACAGAAAATGTTTATTTTTATATATGGTTAATACAATTTTGCTATATTTTCAGGGATGCTTACTGATGCAGATTGAGACTTGCATTATACGGTCTGACAACTCCATTTCATCAGTAGATCAGTTCACATTTGGGACATTTTGTGTCTTAGTGTTTGCCATATCCGGAGACAATGAGTGAGCTATTCAGAGCCAATGAATGTTTTGGGATTACATTTTAACTAATTTAAACAGTACTGCCATATTTGGTTGTGAGTGGGTGTGGATTTAGTTGCTTGTTCTGGGAGGCCAGACATCACTAATTTAACCTAATATTTGTAATGGGGTGAACCCACATGATAATGACGATCTCCATATGCACACTCAGCGCTATTACTTTTACATTTGATATTTACAATGGTATATTTAACATCAGTTATATAATTCTAATTAATAATAATATAATAATTCACTCTGATTGCACAAAGGATTGTAGCATCACAACTGGTTTGTTGGCAAAAAAAATCAATTGCGAATGAATCAGTTTCTATTTACAGTGTGGTTCACTGAACTGAGAGGGAGTTGAGCAGAGTCCTGCCTGGGGCCAGAAGTTTAGTGCTGGGTGAAGAGGTGGATAAACTGATTCCACTAACTAATCACACAAGTGTTGGACATGAAATGTCAATATAATATTTAATGGTTTGAAATCAACGTGTCAATTCAATAGTCTGAACTTATCTTGTGTCAATACGTTTTGTTAGGAACCACCTAGACTGAAGCTTAAGTCATGCAATCATATCTGTTGCAACTCATTCGTTGTCAAACATAAAGTCCACCCCCAAAACAGGCTAGGTGCCTCCAAACATGAACATTTTTTATTATTGTCTTATTGATGTCATAGATGCAGTAGTGGTCTTTTGTAGAGTTGACTGACTGACTGAGAGGAATCGATAGCTTCTGATTGGAGGGATCATGAGATACTGGTCCGGTGTGTAGGCATTCATGAATTTGTTCTAATGCTACATCATTAAATAAATGTACTACAGTCTGATGTGGGAGCTGTTCAGGTTTCTTCCTGCTCCTAGTACCACAGCTGTCATGCCATGGATGCCTAAATATACAGTACTGCCCCACAGAAAATGTTTTGCATATAAATAAGTTAGTTTTTCCACACAAAATCTAAGTAAAACATAAAATCAGATGTAAAAGTTCTTATTATGCAGAAAATGGCCCCTTTAATTTTTGTATATGAGTACTGACGGTCGTCCTATCTACTGATGTGATAAAGTATATTATACTGGATTATTTTTTGCTAATACAAGTAAGAAGCATTTTAATATTGTACTTGACCTAGGAGGAGCTAATTGTAACAACTGCACACCTTTGGCAGTTTAACCCAGTGTTTCCTAACCTTTGTATCTTATGAACCCTGAAAATTAACATGTATATGTCTGAGTCATGTGTAGTTCCACTAAAGAGTAGTTTTTCCCCCCTTCTTAGATTGTTTCATTTGAATAACTGTTAAGAGGACGGAAGAAGTAAAAGTCAAGAAAACATAAATAGCCTAATTTTGTGTAGCAGAAGCAGCCTTTGCTTTGTCATCTTTACTGTAAGTCATCTTGCGAACCCTCAAATTTATCTAGATCCCAGTCCCCTGGTTACTGCAATGAACTACTGCGATGCATAGGATTTTTATAAATTCAATAATAGTTTTGTGTGTAAAACCTCCAATCTGCAAAGTGGGGAGTAAATATAGCTATTGCCTGACATGGAAGTAAAAGTAGAAACCATAAAGCAAAAACTGAAAGCACAAATGCTGTAGGGTACCTCAAAATTGTACCTCATGAAGTTATCTGACCCTGCTAGGCTCAAATTCACATGCTGCATACCATCTCTGTATGGGCTTCTTGAAATGTGGGATCTTAAAAATTAGCCCACAACAGGCCAGAAAAGGTCCCTGCGTCTCTCGCTTACCACCTACACACCTGCTCAGATTAAGCTGTGTGGACAAAGTGTTGCAATAATTGATGGGGAAAACATAAAGAGACAGGGCAGCTTATCAACAATACGCGCGAAAAGATTAATAGGAGGCGCCTTGACATTTATGCTTGATATCTACATAGTGATAAAAATCAAAGCTTGCCTGAGTTTGCTATTTTGTTCTCGTGGACGTGTGGGGGTGGACAACCACTGAATAATGACAGAGAGAGGGCTCGCGCTCCCTCCCACCGCTCGTGCGCACCCACTGTGACTGCGCTGCCTATTTCCAACATTCAAACATGGCGAAACTCTTTGACATTATACCACCACCATCACCCTCATCCTCCTCCTCTTCATCGTTACCACCAACACCACCACCATCATTATCTTCACCATCACCATCACCATTATCTCCGGTACCGTGATGACCCGGGAGGATGGAGAAGTTGTCGGCGAGCCTGTCGGAGATCTCTTGGAGCCCGTTGGCGCTGCCGTTGGACGCGGTGGTCAGCAAGTTCCGTCTGCCCACTCTGGTCCGCCTGGCCCCCGGTAAGACACGATCGTTATCGGGTGCCTCGACCTCCAGCACGACTGTTAAAAAACGTTTTGTATTCTTTTGACAACTGTTAGCTAACTCTCACGCTCCTCCGTGCTCTCATGTCACCAGAGTTAAGATAACCATGACAGTAACGATGATAAATAACGATAAATATGGTTTTCCAGTTGTAAAAAGAGAAAACCTTTAAACATTCATCGACGAAAGTGTGTTTCGAAAGGGTTTTATGAGAATAATGACGCTGGGATGTAAGAACAAGTGAAGCAATTTACTTAAGAATCTGTGGAGTACTTTAACGGTGTCAAAATGTGCAGGAAAAGGCTTCACTTCCGGTTAAAGTTTTCAAAATAAATGCTTAACTTTGTCAATCTTTTCACGGAGAAAATTGTTTTAGGAGAATAATTAACATTTTTTAAATAATAAAATAAATATATGTAATCGCATATCAGTGGCTTAGAGGTTAACCTTGCATAATCTTGGCCACACAGCATATATTAGCAAAACAGAAATTTTATACATACTTTAATGGCGATAATTGAAGGAACCTTTTTGATCACGGGCCAAACGGTTAGTGAATGTTCAAATTTTACCAGCCACTCAATAGGTATTTAGACAAATAAATGTTATTTACTGTATGATGAGTTTTGTTTTAGAATATCTTATTTCTTCTCATGTTGATGAAGATAATTTGCATAATTAATTTATATCCTATGTTATTATAATGTTTCCTAATTAAGATCTGGAACTGCATAACAGGGTGTACCTTGGTACTGCTTTTCTGTTACCCACCTCCTGAAATTAATTTTAAATCAGTAACTACCAAGTTTATGGCAGCATTACACTAACTAGGGTTTGTTACATTACATTACATTTCTTCATTTAGCTAACACTTTTATCCAAAGCGACTTAGAATTATATGTCATATGCTATAATTTATATATATGCTATTAATTCAACAATTCCTGGCTCTGGGTGAACACTTCCCATAAGTGACAGACAGCAGAAAACACCTTCCTGGATGTGCTTTGCTATTGTCACTTGTTTTATTGTCCGATTTATGGTGGAAATGTCTGTATTTATATAAAGGGAAACAAAAAAATTGGCTGGCAGGTGACAATTCATAAATAAAAATACAACAGAATGTAATGCAGTAACCAGATGCTTGTGTTTTTTTTGTTTTTTTGAACTTAAGTTAGTTAAGTTAGTTAGTGCACATTTGTTTCTTCTATATTTAAATTATATTGCATTTATTCTTATTATGCAAATAAACCTTTCTTAAAGTATTTTTATTTGTTAGTTAAAATCTTTTGGTGTAAGCTATTTTTTTTTCATTTTAACAAATGCTTTCAAAAAGTGGTGGGGACAAAATCAGCCATTTCAAAAAGTGATGGGGACATGTCCCCAGCGTCCCCAGTGTAAATGACACATATGCTTTACAGGGCATACATTAGTCAAATGACTTTTCTTTAAAATGGGCTGTGCTGTCAAAATACAACTCCATTTAGAGTATGACAAATTTGGATTAGACCATTCGTGTTTTTGTTTCACTGACTGGCCCAGTTCCCTGGGCTCATTTGGTACTCTTATTTTGAAACAAACATCATTTCCGTTATTATTTTGTTCAACGTGGCTACCTTGATGCAGCTGCAGCATTTATTTCTCGGACTCTGACTTTTCTAGTTCACACCAACCCACTGACTTGCATAAGGGAGTCATTATGTAACATTTAGTGTTCAGTTTTTCTTTTTGTTTGTTTCATGTTTTGCCGCCAACATGCCGCTCTGCTTCACCAGATTTGGTGTCTTTACTTTGGGAACGGTCGATGTGTGTCATGGCCAAAGTTGTTCCAGTCCAGCGAGGCCCGGAAAGCCACAAAGTGTCTGTTGTGCTGCTGAAGTGCTGCTCAATTCTTTTCATATGTAAATGCTGTAATCTGTCGGTGAATGTGGTGAATACTAACGAGCAGCAACGAGGAGGAAAACCGTCCTTCGTGGACAAAAGCGCGCACCCGAGCAGTGTTGTGTTCCCCGAAAATTACGCACCTTACTTTTGACAGCACGAGTGTGCGAAAGAGAGAGAGCACGCGTAGGTGTTTGTTAACTGCACTGTAGTTGACACCCCAGATGGTGGTTAGTTATTTACAACAGGACGGGATGTCAGCATTTTGTGCAAGCCTTTTCCCTTCCATTTCTTATTAACAATAACAACAACAACAACAGTGTTCTATCTGTATGAAACTGTTGTTCAGTGGTATGTAAAAGTGTAGACTGTAATTCAGTGTGATGTAAAATACACTAGGCTACACAAAGGCATTTCTCCA